CGTCAGCAGGGAACACTGACATCTGAGGTTACGGTCGGGTCTACATTGGTTGGGACAGATTCTATCATGGAAGAGAAGTTCAAGAAAGATGCGGATGGATCAGAACCTCAATCACCCCCTCCGCAACAATCGCCACGCCACTCACTGCAGCAATCACCTCCTAGGGGACCACAGCATCCATTCCAGATGCACCCAGTCCAACCCGGGCCTATGCCACCGCAAACTCAAGGATACCAGCCTCCGACGCTACCCTTGCTTCCACCTCAGCTCATGGGAGGCAACCCCGTTCAGAGGCTTCCTCCGTCTGGTCCCTGGAAATTGGAGGAAAGCCACTTGTCTGAACCTCTTCACCGCGTTACTCCTAAGCCTCAGGCAGTCCCACCATCGGGCCAATGGAAGTTGGAAGAAAGTCACTTGGCCGAACCCCTTCATATGGTTAACAGAAACCGAGCGGGCACGAATGCCTCGCAACTTTCACAGCTCTCGCAGCGTTCACAACGTTCACAGCAGTCCCAACATGACCCTTTCTATGGCTACAACAAAGAAACTGGAGATGTTCCCCCTTCTCCATCTTCGAGCTCTACAGCTAATAAGCATCATCAACGGCAAAAGCCTTCTGAAGTGCCGCCTTCATCGGCCAATCGTTACCCTGGTCTCTTCCCTGGCCATCAACGACAACCGAGCAGTCCTAAAGAAGTTCACTCTGGCCCTGGATCTCAGTTCATCAGACGCTTTTCTCAGGAGGGCATCACCAGAACCGGGACGGGCGACACTACTAATGAAGACCGGGGACGTTCTAAAAAGGCCTCGGCATTGTTGAAGGACATTGGCCATCGTTTCAGGAAGAGCTCGACTGAACGACGAAGCACGCCTGTGGATCACCACGGCCAGCAGTTCCATCCTCCGCAACAACAGCAGCAACTTCAGCCACCGCACGCTGACGTCCATCATGATGCGGCTTCCGTATCAAGTGTGACGACGGACGGGACCCATGACAAGAAGAAGTCGAGAGCCAGTTTCATGCTAGGCCTGAGGAGTAAGCAGAGCCGAGAACGGCTTTCAATGCCTCCCCCTCCACGCCCGGATGACAGCAGGCCCGCCACATCGACGGAAGAGAGAAGAGGATCTCGGCTCAACCCTGACTTCGATCCTGCTGCGGGTCAGTATCGACCTGCAGGTCCTCCACGCGCAGCTACTTCGAACTTGGCCAACGAGATGAGCCAATCTGCTACTCCTCCGGCAAAGAAGCGATTCTCGGCATTCAATACCAAGGCTGCTATGACGAATGTCTTCAATCGGCCCAGTAGTGGCACATCCTCGAAGCCTGGTACACCCACCTCCTCAAGGCCGATCTCAAGTCATTTGGGAGCTCAGCAACCAGTATCCCCGGAACGCCCTGTTCATCCAGGCTTTGAGCGAAGTAGCACTGCCGGTCCTACCTTCAACCAGATTCTTCCGACTCCAACAGGTACACCGCCGGTTGATGCTAACGAGCGCCGTAAGAGACGAGGTTCGGCTGCTGGACTGATCTCCGGCCTTTTGGGACACGTCCACAAGAGCAAGGAGTCTCAGCAGGCTACGTCACCCCAGATGCAACAGCCTTATGATCGCCGCGCTTCTGGTCCCCAGCTTGGTACCCCTCACCCGCCCGCCCTGCAGACACAGGGGCGAAGACCTTCGGGACCCCAACTGACCAGCCCTGTACTTCCAGGGGGTCAGCTTGGAAGCCCCCAAGGCCCTGCACCGCCATTGGCTAGTCCCCAACCTCAGAGACCTCATCAATTTGGTGACCAGCAGTCGATATCTAAGGAACAATCCCCGATGTCATCTGCCCGACCTCTATCTGGAGGACTAAGAGATAACCAGCACGCTCAAGCTGCCTACCGCAACTCACGTCCATCACCTCTGGGCTTTGGCTCTACCACACCAGCAGGAACTCCTCCTATCGGATCAGTGACTGATTTCAGCCGCCATGGGACCCCACAGACACCTTTCAGCGTGGGACAGAGCTTCCCGGACGCGCGAGCTGGAAGAATGCGATCGATCTCACCAGCTGCGTCCGCAATCCGAAGTGCCCCGACAACGCAGACCTCTTTCAACGTCCCAAGCACGGCCCCAACAACTCAACCGTCATTCCACCATGCGTCACAATCGTCGCAGTCGCTTGACAAGCTCGCGTATGCAAAGCAGGAGGGAACTCGGATCCAACGACCAGTCACAGACTCACCAAACATGTCCTTCAGGCATGAGAATAGGGCTAGTCATGGTGCATCAGATAATGACATGCCCTTGTCTCCAGTGTCGCAAATGTCCAAGACTGGCCCGCCGTCTGTATCGTCGATGGCTACTCAGAGTCCTCGTCTGAATACTACTACTTTGGCTGCTGGAAGACGACAGTCCTCCCAGCTTTCACAGCCTGACACGCCTGTTGTATCTGCAGTGTCTACTTCTCCACAACAGCAGACCTTTGCAAACAGGATGGGAATGTCACCGCCACAGCAACAACAGCAGTTTCCTTCTGGATTCCAGCAACAGCCTGTGAATGCTCAGCAACAGGCACACCCTCAGATGAACCCTCAACATGGTGGCTACCAGATTACTCCGGGTCAACAGTACGAGCCCAATCTCCGCCAGCCATTTGCTGGTCAGCCTATGCCAGGCTCACACCCGCAAGCCACTTCTCCTGGCCGTCCACCTACGCAGATGCAGCACTCTGATTCAGGCCCTCCAGTCCCTCCAAAGGACGGCTCGGGTGCTCTCCAGCAACCCCAGATTGCCAATCAGCCAGCTCGCCAGGCAAGTCCGGGAGCTTCGAAGTGGAAGGGTTTGAGGAATCGCATGTCGGCACAGGTCTCAAACAAGCCAGCAGCGAGTCAAGGAAAGGGCGAGAACGACAAGCTGACTGCAAGCAAGATCCTTGGGGCATTTAAACGAGGTTCCAAGGAGAATCGGCAGTCAATGGTCATTCCCGATCTGCAGGCTTATCAGAACCATGAGATGCGGCCTGTGCAGCGACAACAGCAGCCTCAACAAGCCCAGCAAGCTCCGCGACCTCAACAGCCCCAGATTCCTCAGCAGTCCCAGCAGCAATTTACTGGTCAAGCTCCGCATGGACAGACCCAGTCTCCCCGTCCATCCTCGAAGGCCAGCGGCCAACCTTTCGGACAAGTGCCAACTGCTCGCCCGTCATCTCAGTTCAGCAACCAGAGTATGGGACAAGCGCAGACCAAGCGTTACTCATCAATGTTTACCAGCCCAATTATGCCACAGCAAGAGTTCCGAAGCCCTTCGGGGGCTTTCGCTTCAGGTTCCCAGGGTATGAGCCAGCCACAGCCTGGCCACCCGTATCAGTCTCCTCCTCAGATGCAGGGCCAGTTCCCGCCGACACAGTCGCCACAGGCTCAATACCATTCTCCGCCGCAGCCCCATGGTCAATTCCAGTCTCCCGTCCAACAGCAGGGTCACTTCCAATCACCTCCTCAACCGCAAGGCCAGTTCGTGTCTCCACCCATGCAACAAGGCCAATTCACATCCCCCATGCAGCAGCAAGGTCGCTTCCAGTCTCCCGCACAGCAACAGGGACAATTCCAATCTCCTCCTCAGCCCCCGGGTCAATGGCAGCCTCAGATGCCTTCCCCTGCTGGACAATTCCCACCACCTCAACAAAGACAGGCTTCTTATCCTGGCCAATGGCACGGCGGAACAATTGGTCAAAGCCCAAATACGCCCTCGTCATACAGAAGTCCTCAGCATTCTCAGTTCTCGTCGCAGCCTCAAAGCCCGCAATATGGGTTCCCGACAGGACAAAATGTTCATGGAGAGGAATCGCCCCCTGTCCATGTCTCGACGCCTACTCAGGTTCACTCTCCTACACCAGTTCACGCCCCGTCGCCTCGTCCTTCACTGTTGAATCTGCAAGCTATGGTTGCTGCCAACCCTGAACACGACCACACTCAGGAGGGAGAGCGTGAGCACTCAGATGCCGCTCCTCGAAATGACCCCAATACAACTCATCAGGGAACCCCCAATATGCAGAGTTTCAACAGCGGCAGTCCTCATAGTGGCAGAACTAGCGGAAGTCCTAGAGTCGGTGGCAATCCTCCGTCAGCGCAACACGTTTCCTCGAGAATAGGCACAGAGCAGAACGGTAGCTCAAAGTCCCGAGCTCCTAGTCTTCCCATGCCTGTGCTTGTTGGAGGCGATTTCATGGGAGGTCATGCTGCGCCAGGTGCCAGTTCGCGATTCTCACCTAAGGCAGAGGAGTCTCAGGGCGTCTCGCTCAGTCCCCCATCTGGTGCACTGGGCAGTGTCAGCCCCAACTCTACGAGGCAATCCCCCTCAGGTGGTAGTGATCTCGGCCCTCCCGAGCCAAAGAGCAGGCGAGGCCCATCGTTCCACGCCGAACTCGAGGATACCGAGGATGCCCGGAAGCGCACATTGCGAATTGATTCACAAGAAGAGAAGATTCACTACGATCCCAATGCTGACTCAGATGGAGAGGTTCCTCCTCAGATGAGCGCGACTAGTTATCCTGGACAAGAGTGGAATCCCTACGGCATGCCCGAGATGGGTGACTGGAACGAGGCGACGGACCGCTAAGCCGTTCCTCACTGCCTATACACCTACCTATACACGCACTACCTACTCCTATACGCACAGCATATATCATATTTCTACCGCTCTACTCGAGATTGTTTCTTAGACTGCCAACCCAGCGATATAAGTCGGTCTGTAACGGCCGCCCTTGCCCCAATTCTTGGATATATATATTAGTTCATATTAGCCATTACTGGATCTATCAGTGATTGGGGTTTTGTAATTTGTCCCAATACAGCGTGGCGTCATGGCTGTACATATCTTACCGTCTATGCATTTACAGAATTTGTCAAGAGATGGAGCGAAGAGTAATAACAGAATGGAGAGATAGCATGGAAGGGGTGGAAAAGTACACGCATTACGCATATCTAATTCTGTAATCAATTATATATTCATTTACACTCCTTATGGGCAGGCTAATAAGAGTGTTTTCCTCTGCAAGAATGTATACCCTTGACTGGACTCCAGAAGTGAGATGGAGTGTCCGTCATGTATGGCATTATAGAAGTATAAAATTATTTGCGATTTTTTCCTTGAGAGCCTTGAGTGCTCAATATGAAAATGAACCTATCAAAAGTCCAAAGAAGCATTCCTGAATGGTATCAGGGCCAGAATGACGGCCTGTGTATAATACGCAGCTCGGTCAACAACACCACCGGTCAATAGCCCAACCGAGCCCTGCTTGTTCTTTGAATCTGTCTGTCCAAATACCATATCATCCGCGTGTCCCAGCTCAACACCCTCTTTCAGCAATTGACAAGTCCTCTCCGGTAGAAAATACGCCGAAGTCCGTGCCTTGCCGACCTTCCCATCTTTTCCAAAAACAACAATCCAAGCAAAAGAGCAGATTGAGCCATTGTGAGTTTCAACACCGCCTTCGATGCCAACCCAGAAATCAGCTTCTATTCTGGCTGCTTGAGCGTTCTGTGCTCGATTTGTTGCACCACGCAGAGTCTCTTCGTCTGAGAAGGGCTGGTCTGAAACGTTGGAGTCTACGCTTATGCCTCGAAAGTCATAAGAGTCTGGAAGCATTTGTGTGAAGCCATCGCGGGTTGCTTTGATTTTGGGGATGTTGTTCGAAGCAACGACCACAAGCTTTTGCTTCTGAGGTGACTCCATTGTTGGTCTTTGAAGAGCGAACTTCTTGGCGAGGACGTTGATTATGGTTCGATGGTTTCGAGATGTGCTCATGCCTTGGCGGTCAAAGAATATGGGTATCCCTGGACAGCCAGCTTGTGATTTGTTGAATTATATGTATGCGTCCAGGGCATGCCTGAGGGGTTTTGCAATGGTTGGCCTAGGCTGTGTTCCCCACCTGTCACTGTTATTGGTAGATTCAACGGCTGATATCAATCCTATTCAGAGCAGAGTCACGATAACCATTTAAACTATTTAGCTTTCGATAGTCCGAATTCCTTATCAAGATGTGCCACTAAAAATAGTTTGTTATAGAAACTAACTACTATCAACTCACCCTTGACCGCCAGCATGAGTAGCCTCAGATGTGCTACATCTGGACGGACAGGTTCTCGCTCCTCCAAGCTATGTCTCAAGACCCCCAAACTTTAGACCAGTCTTGTTCTCTGATCCAATCTTCAACACTTTCAAGTTGAGGAGGCGGGTTCACCTGCATAAATATCAGCTTCCATCATTATCTTATCACAAATATCAAGAGAAGCTTACCTCGTTGGGATGGACAGCAGGAGAATTATCACCACCATGGAGCCCAATTTCATTAGCGAATGCAAAGTTATCTTGCAATTCAGCCCTCAACTCTCCTTTACAATCAAAGGTAAACTCTCCGGGTGGTATGTGTAGTAATTCAGTGTTGTACCCCGTGACTTTACTGAAAATTCGTACGAATTCCCGTGGTGTGATCCAAGCACGATATCCGACGACGCTTTTCCCAGGCGGGTTTTGAATTAGGGCTCTGACGAACGGACCAGAATCTTGGTCGTGTGATATCAGAGGAACTTTGGTATCGAGGTCTAGGTTGTTTGCGAATTGTATGTTTCCGTTCTCTTTCTGCTACAGCGTCAGTTTGAATATCATTGGATTTGGACAGCTGTTGAGATCGAACCTTGGTTGGCTGAGCCATTGGATGAGTCAAGAAGTTGTTGAGAAAGTATCCAGGGAGATATACACTCGTCTTAGCCCAAAGCTCTGGCTGGTTTTGTTCACCGTACTCTTCTGCATCTGCCTTGGAGTCGTGATGACAAACATTTGTGTACTTTCCTCCCGATAGTCTCGTCGGACCCGGAAGTGAAGACATGATGAAACGTTCTAGGCTTGATACTCTGGCAGCTTCATCGATGATATTCTTGAATTGTTGGGTTTCTTGTACCTTTGTCCACTCGTTGAGAGCCTGTCCCGGCTTTGGTTTATTTCGATTCTTTGGATCGTTGTAGATGCCCCAAAAGTCGCTGACTGCAAAGATAACATTTGCGTTTTGGAAGGCTTTGGCTAGTGAGGCCCTGTCGTCCAAGTCGGCTTGAACTACTTCGACACCGCGGGCCTCGAGGCTCTTTGCTTTTCGGCTTGAAGGGTTTCGAGTGATGCCACGAACACGCCATTCTGGATCATTGATGAAGGAGTTGACAACTGAGCCTCCTTGGCCGCCTGTTGCGCCAATGACGACTATGAGCTTTTTGGTGGTCATGTTGGATGCAGTTGGTGCTTGATTGTCAATAGTCCATTACATCTCTACCCATTATATATTTCTGAGAGAATATAGTCGGTCATTCATTATTAATCGTCTCACTCTCAGCCAGTCTCATCACGTTATTTTCATGCCTGTCTCGCTGTTGGTGTTGGTTGGTGGTGTCTTATACAGGAACGGTTCCACTAAAGTCCGCTCCAATTCCGCCTCTGTCTCACTCCTGCCTCCCTATTACCCGCTCACCTCCGCTCTCAGCTCTCAGCTCTCGGCTTCTCTCTTCTCTTCCTGCAATCAATCTCTTCAGCCTGTTCACGATCTCTCGCCCCCACGCTCACGCTCACGCTGCAGCCCAAGAGGTCCCGATTGATTTATAAGCTGCTTTACAATCACTGCAGATCGACGAGGCTGTCAGCGGTACGCGGATCGAGATGCCAGTGGCTCGTCATTCATGTGCAACATGTCGGTAAGGCTAGGCCCTCCAATCAACTGAAGCTTCTCTAACTTGTTCAGCCGCCTGAAGAGGAAATGCATGAGAGAATTGCCATCTTGCTCCTTAGTACGGCTCAGAACTGGGGCAGATATAGCCTAAAACTGACGGCTTACAGTGTCGGCGCCTTGGCAAGAAATGTGAATATATAGAACTTCCACCACCTCCAACTGCTCCTCCGCCAGATGGCACAAGCCAGCCGTCTCTATCAGAACCAAATCAACCGTTTCCCTTGGCCTTCTTCTTGGATCCAGATCTCTTCACGCCACTAACCGCCAGCAATGCATTAGCACCTGGGCCAAGAGTCGATCTACAGCAGATTATAGCTAAGCACTTGGAACCAGATGACTTGCCAGTCCTCTATCACAATTACTTTTCTTCAGTACATGAGTGGCTTCCCATGATTAGCAGAAAGCGGATCACACATCCCGATCCATTCAGTCAAGATGCTTGCCATGATCTACTACTTTTATGCATGAAAATATGCACGCTCAGACCCAATGGCCACCCTCCATCCCAACATCCGTTGTATATGTTGGCAAAAACTCTATGTGCCGCTGCTGAAAGTGCAGGCCTAGTTTCACTTCGCCTAGCTCAGTCCTTAGTGCTATTAGCTCTCTATGAAGCGTGCCAGGCTATATATCCTGCCTGTTACCTCACCATCAGTCGAGCGGCGAGACTAGGCATACTAATGAGTTGGCATGATAGAGATGCACAGCAGCTCTTCAAGTTTGCTGATTCCTGGTCTAAACGAGAAGAACAGCGCAGAACATGGTGGACTATCTTTGTGCTTGACAGGTAAGTCATAACTCTGCATCCTTGAACCTCCATCTAATTAAACTATGTTCAGATTCATCAGTATGGATACAAGTGGACTACCATTTGCCGCTCCAGAGCCTTGTCCTGACGAGCTACTACCAGTCAACGATGAAGATTGGGTTTTGGGTAAGACAGTACCAAGCGAGCCACTGTATACAGCATGCTTCAGCTCCATCACAACTCTGGGCTCCTTTGCTAGAACATGCCAAGCAGCTCATATGCTCGGCAAGGTCATTACACACAAACATTTGAAAACCAAATCTTCGCACGATATCCTACATGTTGTCCAGGAAGCCCAGAGCCTTAATAGAGCACTAAACTCACTACAAATTTCTATTGAAGAACAATCCTTGAGCAACGCTTCTTCTTCTTCAGCATCCTCTTTGGCATGTGCTTCCGCCATTTGCATTAGTGCCCAAGCGCTCCTATACGGAGCTTATGGTTGTCCTGACGCCCCTGGAATAACAAGTCGAGAACGCTTAACACACGAAACAGAATTGCAGAGTATTAGCGTTCAGGGCCTGAGAGCACTAGGTAGTACTTTGGCCCCTAAGCTGGCTCAGATTCAGTCAGATTGTCCTCTTCAAGCAAGATGTTTTTATACCGCTTGTAGTGCATGCTCATGGTTTATTCGGGAAGACGATGAACCACAGATGAAAGATGCGTTGGTGACTATCGTCGATGGGCTTAAAAGACTAGCTGAGCGCTGGCCAATTGCGAGTAAGTACTTCAGACTTTGTTCCCTGGAGTGAACTGACGGTTTCCAAGCTGAGTACATTTCTCTTCTCGAACAGGGTGGGATTTTGCGTCTCATTGATACCAGCTCTGAGACGGAAACCATGTCTTGAAGTTTAATGCTCCTTGGTATTTCAACTGGCCCTCAGGTTCAGAAATCATGATATGGTGCTTGATATGCTGTCCAACATCAGGCATGGCGGATGAGTGTACTGGACTGACATCGACGCCACGTGATATAGCTGGCCTCAATTGATCTCCGAACGTCATAACCCAGAATGTCATTCACGAGTCACGGTATTCTCCATCAACAAAGGTCATGTAAGTTCATGAGTCGTCCAAAAGCATCAGGCAATTCTTAGCAATTGAGTTCGTCTAAGTGGGCCTGTCATTCTGTCTTTGGTTTAGTTCCCTCTTTTCGTTGCTGGGTCCGAAATCGGTGGATCACGTCTTTCTTTTCGCCTTTGGCACTGAAGAATTCTTCTTATAAACATCCTCTACCCAATTCGCCCTCAATTAGTGGATCTCACAGGGCTTAAAAGCGCTATTGAAGCTCGAGCTTTCATCAATTGAGCCGAGACTAACAGCAAATACACAACACGAACGCCAATGCCTTCGAGCGAACGTCGGCGCCGTGAGGGTCACCAAGACTCTCACTCTCACTCTCATGATGGCGTGTTACACGATGAGACTTCGCCTTTACTTCCAAGGATATCAGAAGTCAGCGAAAATGGAACGGCAAAGTCGTTGACCGACGTCCACAGCCTCTTGGCTGAGGCGAAACTGCTATGCCAATACTCTCTCCCTTTGATCGCGACGTATCTTCTTCAGTATTCTTTTACTGTCATTACAACCATTGTCGCTGGTCGCTTGGGTGCTGAGGAGTTGGCAGCTTCAAGTTTGGGCTTAACAACGATTAACATCATTGGGTTCACCATCTTTGAGGGCATGGCCACGGCTCTCGACACATTGTGTGCGCAGGCCTACGGGTCTGGTCGCTATACCGGCGTCGGAATGCACATCCAACGGATGATCGTGTTCATGTCAATCGTCATGATTCCTGTCGGCGCAATATGGCTGTGCTCGCACTGGATTCTACCATTGCTTGTTCCTCAACGAAGCCTAGCCTTGAAAGCCGCCTCTTTCTTGCGCGTCAGTCTCGTTGGGCTTCCCGGCTATGCATTCTTTGAGGCTGGTAAGAGGTTTCTTCAAGCGCAGGGTGAATTTGCTCCCGGAATGGTCATTCTCATCATTTGCGCTCCCGTCAATGCCTTTCTGAGTTGGTACTTCGCCGTCAAACTCGACATGGGCCTCGATGGCGCTGCTTTCGGTCAGGCTCTTGCTAATAACCTTCGACCTGCGCTTCTTCTGTTGTATGTCGTCTTCATTGGCAAGAAGTCTCACCGATGCTGGGGCGGCTGGGATAGCCGTGCTGCGTTTGCGTTCCGCGAATGGGGCCCTATGGTCCGTCTCTCTGTTGCAAGCACCGCTGTGAATCTTGCGGAGTGGCTCGCATTTGAGATCCTCATGGTCAGCACCTCTTATCTTGGTACCCGCCACTTGGCTGCGCAAACTGTTCTCAACACGCTCTCCATTGTTACATGGCACATACCGTTCTCGATTAGCGTCGCAGTCACCACTCGCTTCGGTCACCTGGTTGGTGCTGGGGCGCTCAAGGAAGCACGACGTGCTGCAATTCTATACACTGGCGTCTTCACCGTGGTTGGTATCCTCGATGGCGCATTTTTGTATGTGTTGCGAAACCCACTCGCAGATATGTTCTCCGACGACAGCACTGTCAGAGACCTGGCCACAGGATCAATGGTTGCTGTAGCCTGCTTCCAGGTCATTGACTCAATAATCTGTGGCACTAATGGTGTGTTGAGAGGTCTGGCAAAGCAGTCTGTTGCTGCGTGGGTTGTATTAGCAGTCAATTACCTTGCTGCCGTTCCATTTGCCATATGGCTCGAGCTAGGAAGCCCAGACCTCAAGCTCGACGGTCTTTGGATTGGTCTTGGAAGTGGTATGGTTATCATTGCGATTATTGAATGTGTGTATATGAAGTGGATTAGCTGGCAGGATTGTGTAAACGATGTAAAGGAGCGAGAGGATGACGGGACATAGAAAGTTTCCGTAATGACTTCACACCTGAACTACATAGACAAAAGTAATGAATCTTCCATGGCTCTTTTCAGCCACATATCTCAGCTGAGCAACACACTTATATGTAAAAGAAACCCGATCTCATAAGTTTTCTTAGGCCAACATTGCTTCAATCACACTTTCGGTGCCTTTGTGATAGATCCTAGTGATCTTCAATCCCGCATCATTGAGAAGCTGATGCCACTGACTTTCACTTCGCTCGCGATTCACCAACATGCCCATCATTGTCCAGTCGAGGCTCGTCTGTTGCCAAGGGGCACCTACATCTCGCAGAACAGTTTCATTGATAAGTAGTCGGGAGTAGCCCTTAGCCATGGCATCTCGGAGGTGGGACAAGATGGCAGCACACTCTGCATCAGGCCAGTCGTGAAGAATCAGACGCATGAAATACGCCTTTGCTCCTTTGCACTCGACTGGCTGAGGAGTGAAGAAGTCGTGAGGAGTGGCTTCAATGATCGCGGGAAGTTCACCAGATGACTTAGCTTCTCCTATGACTGCCGGAAGGTCTTGTAGTACCAATCTTCCGGGGACCTTTTCTGAAGCCAGGCCTAACAGCTCATGACCAAGGCCACCACCAATATCAACCAGCCAAGGGGCATTAGCGTTGGTATCCTCGCCCAGTCGTTCTTTATATGGATAAATCTCAGTCCAACGAGGCCTCGCTTTAGCATATCCAGCCATGAAACTATTGAAAGCTTTTCCTAGGCGAGCATTATCTCGGAGAATACTGAAGAAGGGCTTATCAGTCCTCAGGCCATATTGAACAGGAGAGTTGTTGGCATCTTTGGGAACCTGGTACTTTGTCTGAGCCAGAAACTCAGGAAGCCCTTGGAAGGTTGGAATCATGCCTTCGAAGCTGTATATAAGGCCTCCCTCCATAGTTGGATCCCTGGTTGACATGGAGAATGGCGTTTCAATGTATGAGTCTTGGCCGACTTCTTTGATAATGCCATTTGCACCCAAATGCTTCAGAGCTCGAGCTATCACAGGACAATCAATCAGAACAACTCCAACTATAAGAGAGACTAAAGGATTACATACCAACCAAAACAGGATCAGCTTTGGTACCAGCCGTCAACTGCTCACTGCTCTGAGGTTCTTCCCCAAGCCTCTGAAGTATCCCCAGATCAAAGAGTGTCCGAAGAGCAGCTGTTCGAGTTGGTTCTCCCCAACCAATGCGCGCAAGTTGCTCTCCAGGGTTTTCGAGTTCTTGGATGAGAGCACTGGCTGCAGCTATATTTTCTGTCTGGAGGTTTCAACTCCTGTTTCTATAAAGTGCTTGCCATCTATGGCTAGGGACTCTAAAAGTGAGGCTGCCATGTTCGAACTTGAGAACAGAGTTCAGAGTAGAACAGTGTGAAGATGTTTTACTTCCATCTGTTACATGAGTGCTTATTTATGTGAAATGGAGTAGAGAGGCAGCTAACGTAAGATCTGATGATGCTCATCACGGTTAGCGTCAGCTTACTGTAAGCCTCACACCATCATATAGAGCAGTCAGTCCTTATTACAGTTATATCATTATGTTGGCGAGAAAGGCTTTTTTATCTAATTCGGGTCATTTGCTTAATCCTTAAGTCGGCCAAATCACCTAACCCACGACAGCTGGCTTAGACGCTAACCGCAATGAATATTACGAGAGATTACAGTATTCCCTTCATAACTGCATTTTCATGAATAGCGATGGTCACTGAGTAAAGACACGAGGGAGGCAGCTCCTCACGGTGCTTACTTTGAAAGCTTGGAGGCTTGTATCCCCAGTCAGAGTCTTGGGATCAAAGCAACGCTTTCTGGTTTCACTATTTGAATTTTGATTCATGGTTGGTGAACTTACAAGATCCAGAAATCTAATATAAAGGCAAAGTGGCTGTATATCAGCCAGTTAAAGACATAGGTGAAGAGTAGATATCACAGAGTACATATGAGGATGATGAACGAACGGATATGTACCAATTCCTCCAGATGCCTTGGCTTTGTCCTAGGCTGATTTCAAAGCAAAGCCAACCCGGCAAGAGGACACATTGAACCACTATGAACGTACAATTTTATAGTTCATAACGATAAGAATATTATTCTTTTGCACACTGTCTGAGTTGACTGCTTGATACGTTGTCATAGTGAGGCTCTACCGAAATTCCATCTGGCTGCGTAAGGATCTCGCCCAAATGGCTAAACGGAATTCATTATCGTGCCTCAGACTCCAGCTTCTTTGGTCAAAGTACAGCACTGCAGGGGAAAGTCCCTATTTTGCGCGGCTGTGTCGAGACATTTCTCGGCTGTTGGTTAGGGATATATGTCATGTGGTAGCCGTGATATAACGGGCTAATGATCATTTCATGAGCCGTAGGTAGGGGCAAGTGATGGAATGTACGTCAAGAGTCTGTGCGACATGTTGATTGTGGTGAAACCAAGCATGAACTAACTAATTGTCCTTGCTATTTTCCAGGGCAAAAGAATGACGATGCAAGGCCGTTGTTCCATTAAACTTGACGTTCAAGGGAGATGCTGGCTCTGATGTCATAGGTCACATTGGACCCTTAGCTTGGAGAGATAACTAACATGGATGGAGACACTTGGACCTGGGCACAGACAAACAACGGAACATGACAGTCAGTGATTTAACTGAAACTTCGGATCTAGGTTGAGGCGGTTAACGGAAGCGCCAACTCATCAATTCAGCCTCGAGTTACACTGCAGTGCATGTCACATAATCACAGCACATCACTCACTCACTACGTGTAATGTTACTTGGTCAACACGCCAAACATATGCACAAGACGTTGGACCTGCAGGGGCTACAACTAGTCAGGGGTAAACTGATCCTCTTGGCTGGATGTTTCTCTGATCTGCCCTTGATTTAGAGGAAAACATTCCAGTTGATCTGCAATAAACAGGCTCCATGCCTGTTGTTTTCCAGTTCGATACCGTATCGACAACCTACCCTGGATCAAATCTGGTATTCGTCATGGCTTGCGCTTGTCTCGCTTCACTCTCCCTTCCAATTCCGTTTAGCTCCTCCCTCGACGTGGCTTTGAAAGGTGGATCCTCTCCAAGGACCCTGTCAGTCCAAGCCTGTCCTATTCATCGTCATCCTTGCCCAAACTTGATTGAATCACTCAAATGGACCCGTCATCACTGCCCACTTTTGCCAAATCAATTCTCCTCCACTTGGAGCTAAGCAAAGGGAAACACTTTACCTGCAGCAGCAATTGACCGTGTCTCATCAAATGATAATGACCCTGTACAGACTGTGCTTACTGCAAACTCGTCTCGTCTCATATTTCCTCAATCACGCACGACTCAGGAAGAATTCCTCTCCTTCTACCCCTTTCCCCTTTTCAGCTCGTAACTTTGAGCCATGGCAATAGACTCCAAACGAGACGAGACCCAAGAGCCTGGTCAAACACGAGGCCCAGGCCTGGCTCTGGGTTGGGCTGGAACTGTAAAACTTGGCGATAACCCACTGAAGCCCTTCCACTAAAAACTCGGCCTAGCTTCTGTAGGTCTGCTAGCCTCAGCTGCCAAAGAGAGCCCGAGCAAGAAAAAAAAGACGAAGCCAGCCCCGGATAGGGCGCTGGAACGGCCCCTGCCTTTAAATCGCTAGCGCACGGGCTCGCACTGAACGCGCATCCCGTTAGGTCGTTTTCTCGATAAGGTCTACTTCGCTCTCAGGTATCGACAAATCGACCACCGCAGCAACCGTGAGCATTGGCTATTCCCAACAAGGATTAACTCATCGGCAAGCGCCTGCGATGTGATAGCGTGGCGTCAGCAGACGGTTCGTGGCGCAGGCGGTTCCTCTAAGAGTTTGGTTGGAGGAGCCAAGGCCTCGACCCCATCGCGTCTCTCCTTCCCTGCTAGATCTCTGCTGCGTGACTGGTCGGCACCAAAGAGGTACCTGCCTGGGGCGTACTGCACTGATGCTCCTTCCATCAGCGAGTCGAGATTGGAAAGACGAGTGAGGCGAAAAGGAAGGGGAACATGCAAGAAGGCGCGATTCATGATGCACATGGTCGTTCCTAACCAATCTGAATTGAACCCCTTCTTGCCTTTCAAGTCCCTGGATATTTCTGAATCAAAATATCTTGGTCTGTTCTATTTTTTGCTTCGTCTGCATCATTACATCGTCAAACGACTTTCCTAAACGACTCCACCTCCCAATTACGATCCGCGACCGATACGATACGACACGACTTCTGGGACTTTGTCGGATTAGGACCCATCTCCATCTCACAAGCTTGCGGAGAACCAGGGACCGCGGCCGCCCGTGCTACACTGCTACCGTACGGTTCAGGTTCAGTACGGACGGTACCTTACCATACAATACCCACGTATTCGTACATACCAGGATCTCTCATTTTCCCTCTCGTCTTTCTCTTTTCTCATTTTACGCTCTTCGTGCCTGCTGCCAGAGCCTGGCAACAGTAATCGAATTAAACAAGCCACAGCATTTCTCGACCCTATCAACCCATCGGCTTCTCAGAGCCCGTGGAACGTGGCTCATCTTGTCTCAGGCCCCGAGGTCTCACAGTCACCCGCTCGGATCTCTCACTTGTCTCGCCGCCCTCCAGCTCCAGCTCCAGCTCCCGTCCGTCGTCCCCCGTTTGGCACTCACGGCCGTTTCCCTGACTGGATTGGACTGGCTTGTCGTCACTCGTCGGCTCCGGAGGGTCCGCCCATCTCTCTCCATTCCCTCTCCAAACTCTCTGAGGGATTGACTTTTCCACGTCTGGTCGGTCTCGCAACGGACTTGTCGTCTCATCTTGACCTGTCACGCCAGGTCAGGTCACGTCTTTCTCTGCCCGGGCCGAGAGCACAGGACGTATTCAACTGACACACATACGCCCGATCACAATGGACTCGTACGTTGCCATCATTGCCACCTTGAATTCTTGACTCAGGATACCTCCGTTCTCCGCGTTCGCTTGCACCTTCTTCTCTCGTTCCGCTACACACACTCTGCAGCCCGAACTCTATCACCAAACTTGGCCACCACATCCTGTCGGCTTTGAGCTTACGCGTTGTAGATTTATTCCAATGTCCGCCGCCGCCGCCGCCGGTTGGGGTCAACCACTCGCGACAAAATCGCCAGCGTCTCGGCGGTCATTAGGTCATTTTCGATCTCTCTCCTCCATCGCAGCGACCCCTAGCTATCACCCTCGAACACCTTCGCTCACTCCGGACCACACCCCGATTAAATCTTCCTCCTCGACACATCTACCGATTGTCTCACCGAACCCGCCTACAGATTTTGGAGATGAGATGAGCACAATACCTGATCCTCGAAGTCGTGCTATGAGCCCGGCCGATGACAGCGGTGTCGCGACTCCCAGTCATCACCCCGATCTGAATGACGAAGTCGCCACCCTCAGTAATAAGCTCATCAACGCTATTAATCACCAAACCGTCCTGGACGACTCATTATCCGCCGCTCGCCACGAACTTGATGCTGCACGGGAACGAATCCGCATGCTTGAGACTCAAAATGCCTCACAACGCGAAATGTTGGCTGGTGACGTGTGGGTTCGCAAGCACACCGTTGAGGACGAAAAGAAGGTGTGGCAGGCCAAGGTCGCCGCGGAACGTCAAAAGCGACTTGACACAGAATTGGAAAAGAAGAAGATCGAGCAGGAGCTCGAGAATCTTACAGCTGCATTGTTTGAAGAAGCAAACAAGATGGTGATTGCTGCCAAGGAAGAGGCAAAGGCTGACCATGAGGCTCTTCAACGCAAGAATGACCAACTCAAGTCTCAGCTTGCCGATACTGAGAGCATTCTAAAATCTCAACAGGAGCAACTCGTCGAGCTCAAGCACGTTATGGAGCATATGGCTTCGGAACGAGGAGATCATAATAACCCCACTGCTCCCTCTTCTCCCGGCTTGACGAAACCTGATACTCGTGACGATCTTCGGTCTTCAACCGAGGAGCCTGCTGCTTCACTCTGGAGCGCTTCCGTCGAGCCTGCTCACCCGACCAGCTTCTCGCATCTTCTCCAACCCGTTCTGCGAACCGATTTGTCGTCATATGACGATTTTCTTATACTCGCACGGACTTCTCGAAATCGCCCTGGCAGCCGCGTTTCTTCAGGTTCAGTCGGTGCTCTGAATGCTCTGACTGGCTTTGGACTTGGTGGTTCAATATCGAGCGCCCATCCCTCCAACGCCTCAACTACCTCGCTTGGCACACCTATTGCTGGGGCCGGAAGTGCACCTCAGTCTCCCAACACACCGGCCTCTACCGTCAGCGCTGCTTCAAATGCATCAGCTACCCCTCTGCCAAGCTTGAAGGAAACAAAGTTTTACAAGCGAGTTCTGGCTGAAGATATCGAGCCTACACTTCGTCTAGATATGGCTCCAGGCTTGTCATGGCTGGCTCGTCGATCCGTTATCGCCGCCATCGCTGACGGATCTCTGGTGGTTGAGCCCGTACCAACCACTGGCAGTCTTGTGGCGCTGACAAAGCCGCAATTTTACCCATGTGCACTCTGCGGTGATTCACGCAAGGACCCTCAGTATTTACGAAACCATCGATTCAGAACCAGTGAGACTGATTCCGCTCAACGGCACCCGTTGTGCAAGTACTGCCTGACTCGCGTACGGTCAACTTGTGACTTCTTGGGCTTCTTGCGTATGGTTAAGGATGGTCATTGGCGAGCGGACAATGAGGATCATGAGAAGGCTGCCTGGGAGGAGAGTGTACGACTCAGGGAGCAGATGTTCTGGTCTCGCATTGGTGGTGGTGTTATTCCATGCATCCCGGCGCCCCTCTCTGTCGACATGGAAAAGAGCCCGCGTAACAGCCATGACGGCAGTGTAAGGTCTGACCATCTCGAAGTTCCTGGCTTTCAAACACCACCGATGACGATAGAACGGACACGAAGCGATACAACCAAGAGTGGCCCGATCGAGGAGCCACACACACCTCCTATGCAAACTGATGGAGCCAGAAGTGTGCGCAGCTCCGTCCAGAGTCTCGATGTGAAGAGCAACTCTGGCTCGGAGGAAACAAAGCGACTATCTATCACGATTCCGACTACGGATTAAGAATCTCACATCCTTCAAAGTCCCTTGGAGTCGGTGATATCGACGCCACTGTGGACTTTGTGTATGACTATGTATACTATTTTGGGCTACAGGATCGCATGCATTGTTTTGGATTGCACCTTTTCGGTGCTACTACTCTATGGGCTGGTGGGATTAACTATTATGAGCTCAGGGGATGGTAGGCCCCTAATATTTCCTTTTTGAACGAATATGGCACGGAAATTGGATGGATGGAAGGATTGGAAGCAAGCAATCATTTGGTCGTTTATGGACTGCGTGCTTTCTTCTCAGATGGGAATTTCATTGCTGGCGTTTGATGGAAATATGCGCATCATTCATTCGGGGCGGCGCAACGACATGGGAAATGGGCCTTTCTTTTTGGAATGATGTACTTGTCCTCTGCTTTTTCTTGTTATCCAGAGCGTTCATGATTGGGTTGCTGATATTGCGCAACAAGAGCGCACAATACGCAGGCATGCCTTGGCATTCTTACACAATAGATTACTCAAGGCCGTCAAGCATGCCCTCTGACGATGCCCTTTAGTTGTAGTAGTAATAGATATGATACCAACTACAACAGACTTGTCCTTTGTAACACTCTGGTATCCAACTTGAACTCTCTGGCTAATGGACTCTCAATAGCTTCGAGGCTTGCACTAATGAAGTTGTATCAGGAACACTACGATTATGCATTCTTCACTACAAATTAGACAAGACTCAAACTTGAACATGAAAATGTATTATGTGATAAATGTGTACATCGCAGCCAATCGTACCGATGCCACAGTATTACCCTCGACATAAGCCAACAAATGAGAGTACGTCATTGCTAGACGTTCTGGTTCTGGTTCCGCGTAACCTCGTCTCCCCTCCTTCTTTTTAGATGTTTTCTATAATATCTCAGTTTCAGAACAAGACATTGCTTTCTCCTTTCCAGCCTTCTAATATCAGACCACCGGGGATTTTCCCATCCTCCCTCCATAAGTCGTAAGTGATAGAGTACATGATGTTACATGAATTGTGACGAGATTTAAATGAGGTCGGTTGTAGAGCAAAGGAAGGGTTATTTGTGACCTGGAAATGTTGCTGGGCGAGACGGAGGCCTAAGGCACTTTACAACTCTTCCTTAATGGTGGCATCCTGCTGGTTCTCACTGGCAGGCTTAGCCTTGGCCTCTTCAGCCTCCTTCTCACCGTCCTTGCTGGCAGCCACATCTTGAGGAGCGGCGGCACCTTCATCCTTGCCCTGAACGGTCTCGCTGTTGACACCCTCGACGTCGGGGTGAGGAGGAGCAACACCGGCGAGATTCTGATCCCAGCCCTCAACAGGCTCTTGGACTTCGTTGCCCTGCTCATCAACAACACGTGTCTTGGTTTCATACTTGGTCTTGAACTCAACCTTGCCCTCAAGAGCCTTGACCTCCTCAGGGTCGAGAAGGTTGCCATCCTGGTCACGATACTCCACCTTCTCCTCCTTAGCAACAACTCGGTGCTCAACCTGGGCCTGATCAGGAGCAGGGGGAGCTCCAGAGATGACAGCCTCTTCCTGCTTCTGGGAGACAGGGGCCTCCTCCTGCTTGGGCTCAAGGTTCTTGGCTGCTGAGGTGGTAGGGACTACAGACGAGCTGATGGAGGGGACTTCGCTGTACTTGTCATACTGTGAATGATGTCAGTCAAGGTTCATATCTTGTTAATGTTCGCGGTGAAACTCACGCTATCATAAAAGGTGTTGCAGTCAAAGTCCCAGCTGTTGAAAAGCTTCATGCGCTTGCAGTCGGCCTTGGTCCACGGGCTTCCGTAAGCAAGGGGAGAGTAGAGCATGAAGACGGCAGTCGACAGGACAAGGAATGAGACAGTAGCAATACGGTTGATTAAAGCGGTATCGCGAGCACCAGCTCCGGGGATGCGGGCAGTGGCGTAGTCAAAGAGCTGGCACAAAGCAATGATCGCAAAGTAGAGAGCAGGGAAATAGTGATGAAGGAAAAGTTGACGCTTCATCAGGTAGAAGGGGAAGTAGTGCAGAGCCCAGCCGAGAACTGAAGTACCAATCTCGTAGTCAAATCGCTTGAAGGTGGTGTTGGCGTAGTCGTTGCAGCTGCGCTGCCAGCGGAGAACAGCAATTGCCTTGAAGACGACCCAGATGGCAACGGCAACGCTGGAAGACCACCAAATGATGGGGTTTCCGAGGAGATAAACCTGCTTATGCTGACGACCCCAGAAGTTGATACCACGGCGGAGAATCGGCCACGACTCGGGGCGAGAATCCCAGGCGTGAGAGTCAGTGAGACCGGCGTTTGTTCGCCACATGACCTTCTGAAGCTCCCAGAACTTGCCGAAGAAACCAGGGTTGCGGTAGTTGACCTTCTCGACATCGCCCTGCAACTGGGGGTGAGAGTTGCCCTCGATATACCACAGACTGTTGGGAAGAGTTCCGCCTCGGGCGCAAGTAACCTCCTGTTGCTCAGAGGCCCAATCAGGGAGCTTGACTTTGTGGGAGAACAGAACACAGCCAGTCATGACGTGAACAAGACGGAACTTGGACTCGATAGTACGAAGACGTTCCTTTGCAACAGATCCATATGTCTTCTTCTTCACAATCTCAACACGGAAGAAATCGTTGGCATCTCCCTCAAATCCTTCGTAACCGTAGGCAGAAACCTCATTTTGCCAGTCGGCCTCAGTAATAGGTGGGCGAACGTCATGAGAGTGAAGGCGGCGATGAGTGGGACCATGGTAAAGACGAAGGACGGTACCGTCGGTGATGTACTGAGGCTCAGGAAGGGCGTCCCAGGCCTTGGTGCCATTGATGGGCTGGCCATCAATTCCAAGAGGCTGAGTCTGGTTCTCAAGGAGCCACACGTTGTTGTCGTCCTTGTGAGGGTACAGGGTGATCTGCTGCTGCTTGCTACCGGTAGGGTACATGAGAGGATGAGAGTGGAGGTAACCACCCTGAGTGTTGACATGGCGGATGGTGACACGGCTGCCCATGATGACATCGGCGGGGACATCCTTCATACGCTTGTTGTTGAGAGTGGCCTGGAACTCGGAGCTCATGAAGCCATCACCGTCACCAGGGTTCTTGAGGCAGACGAAGTGGATGGCGAACATGGCCATGTAGAAGGTGAGAGGAATGATGATGAGACAGAAGACACGAGCCATAAAGTGCTTAGTGAAAAGACGCTGTTCATCCGTTAGTAACCATGTTCATATACGTATATTAATCAAGTGCTTACCATGGACACGTTCTTATTGTCACCGAGAAGGACCCAGAGTTGAAGAAGAGTGAGGGATCCAACCCAAGCAATGGTGAAGAGTCCAACCCACTTGATGCTGACGGTGATACCCAGCCCAAGACCAGTAAGAACAAGCCAGAACCACCAGCTCAGTTGGAAAGCCTTGGAAGGGCCAAGCTCGTGCTGGTTGGTGAAGCAAGAAAAGGCGAGGACGGTGAAAGCGGTCGCGGCGACAAGGGGCGAATCGAGAAGGATGAGACGAGCCTGGGTAAGAAGACCGTTCTCTTCAAATAGTTAGCAATAGTCTCTCCGAGTCAGTTGAAGGGCCAGGAGAGATACGAACCGAAGATAATCAGGCCAGCTCCCATGGTAGCAGTCATTGTGCGGCAACCAACAGCCTTGAGAGTAAAGAACATGCAGGGAACCAAGAGAATACCGCAGATAGCAGGGAACATTCGCATCGCGACATAGGGAACACCAGGCTCAATGTAGTCCTTGCCAATCTCCTTAAAGTCGAAGCTTCCATCAAAACCAGCAAGCCATCCGGTAAGGGCAATAAGCATCTTGGCCAGAGGAGGGTGAACGTCCATGAAGAACTTGCCCTTGATATACTTTGTAGCAAAACCACCGAAGCTTGATACATGAGTTAGCGCATTGATGGAATAGACGGGGTGGAAGCTGCAACAGAGCTTCAGCTGGCTGGGGGGACGCACTGGACCTCGTCGAAGACAACGCTTGCGGGCTGATAGATCTTGTACACGCGAACAATGGTAGCAACGAGGATGAGGGCCAAGGCTACCCAGTAGTCGGAGAGGGGAAGGAGGAAGACATCGTTATCCTCAACACCATCGGACTGGTACGAAGTGTTCTTGATGTTCTTGTTCTTGGACTTGGACTTGGTGGTGACAGCAGTGGTCTGCGGCTGAGGAGGAGGAGGAGCTGCAAAAGGTTGCTGCTTCTCGGTCACAGGCGTCGGGACCTTGACTGGCGGTTGGGGGCTCTTGCCCCTCGTACGAGCCATGGTAATCGAGTATCAATATGGAATTCGAGTCGATTCGATCGCTAGGGGACGTTATGTCCAAATCGTTCGTTCGATGTAACGAGAGTTGATGAAGAAGAGCTATAACAGAGACCGGGAGGATCTAGAGATGCCTCATCGATGGCCGGTTCTTGGTTAAACAGAAAGTGAACAAGAATAGAAAATGAAAGAGAAAAAAGGACCCAAAACTCAATCGCAGACCGCCGTTATGATACGGATATCAACGGACGATAGGCGATGTAAAAAAGCCTGGGGGGAAAGAAGAATGGATGTAGGGCGATAGTTTGCAAGGAGTAAGAAAATAAAAAGGGAAGTGGGAAAAAGAGGGATGATGAAGCTTCAGGGGATATTTTAGCACCACCTCAGCTAGCAATTACCTTATGCGGGCTGAGACTGCACCTATAAATGGTGATAGGTAAATTGACGGTTGCAGTACGATACGAGCAGTCGCGTCCAGCGTCGTACCCGTTTCCTTCCAGGTCCCGTCAGGTTCCTCGGGGCTCTTCAAAAAAATTGTAGCTACAGTGGCCTCTTCGGTTCCTGTCTCTGACCTCCCGTCTAACGGGGCATGTCAGCGTCAGCCCAGTGGATGGTCTCCCTAACATCCCTTTACCCCTGCAGCGAATCAAACCCGGCCCCGGCCGTGAAGATCCCCTGGCGTCCCCGCAGCGCTAGGCTCAGAACAGAGCTTCAGCAGGCGCTATCAGACCTATGAATATCAACCATTGGCGATAGCTCTTTGAGAGCAGCTCGACTGGTTTCAGCTCCCACAAACGTGTTTGGCATTCGAGATCTGCAATGGCTTGTCATGAGGCTTCTGTAAGTGAATCATAATTGCATTGTTTCCGACTCCATGCCTCTGTACCTTATCTCTATATCAGAAACAATACAGTACCTCAAGATATGGCAGATGTGGCTACTGCAGCCACACAGGGGCCGGCTCCCTCGAATGTGGCTTCAGCTCCAAACAAACGACACTAAACATTAGGTACACGGACAACTTAACCCCTTTTCTGCCCTTGATCTCCAAATTGCTACGCACTACTTGAAACACGCGTTCTAGACCATGAAACTTTTCCTTCTACGTTATCGTGTCGTGTTTATTACCGCGAGGGTAACCAACCCAACCAACGACCTTGATATAGGGTATCTCAATTCCAACACATATACCTTGCTCATAATAACATCATTGACTTTTGGTCAAACCCAGACAAAACTATAAGTCATGTCGACCCCGAGATTGCAAATAATCTGCCCATTGTCGAAAACCAGCAATCCAATGCGGAACGCCTTCAGGTTTTGCCAGCTCATTCAGTGACGCCCTGCGAGGAGATTCTCGCGTTAACCAGTTGTGACCTTGGGCATCCAACACGTCAGCCATTGACGCTGATATGATAGTCTGTACCTGTCCGTCGACCAAGGAAAACTCTTGAAGTGCCTGCATCGCTTCACTCCATCGAGATAATGCAACCTCAAAATCCGATCTGATGTGCGACAGTTTTGCCAAGATGACATATACTCGCAGTCTCTCATACTTCAGAAGACTAACCCGAGACTCAATGTCAACGCATATCTTCTCTGCCTCTTCATAGCGTTCCTGAGCGAAAAGAGCCTCCGATAGAGCCAATTCCAGAAGTGATTTGCCAGTCAAAGGGTCGGGTCTCTCGGTACGCCGCATAATCTCAGTACGAAGATAACCTTCACCTGTCATAGGCTCGTCAAGTTCTCTTAGAGCATCGGCTAAATCGCATGTCAGATCCCGTAGGTCCTCATCAAAGACGAGCTGACTCGGTTTCTGCGACACTTCGTGTGCTGTCTCCAGCAACTTTAGAGATTCATCGAAATTGCCCTGTAGTCGCTTGACTCTTCCCAGCAGCGAGTGTTTGCGGAAACTGAGGATCTCTTCCAGGGGCGAAGGCTCATCGCCAAGCGGGTTCCAATCCTCCAATAGCTTCTGCGCAGTGGACAGATCCGCCACTTGGATTGAGTTTAGGGAACGTTGGATAATAGCGACCCCAACTTCACAGCTTATGCGCTTATTCACAGCGGCCGCTGGGTCGTTGGTTATGAAGTCCTGAAGACTTTCTGTCGCCTCATCCATGTTGCCACTGAGACGTCCCAAGACTGCTTTGGTTTGGCCAATGCAGAGCCGGAGGTGTGTATCTTTCAAGCGCCCAGCAGCCAATTCTGCCTGACCAATTGCGAAATACTTCCATGCCATGTCTGGAAACCGGAAAGCTTCAATGAGCGTGAGCATGAAGTCGGTTCTGGTGGCTGTAGGCAACTCATCGAAACAGTCGTGGAACGCCTCAGCAACATGATGTAGATGTGGTAAGAATGATTTAACCACGGGTTCTCTTGTGTAGTGTCAGCGGTTCAAGCTCGCTGGATATCGATTTCAGACTCACGGGAACTCGATGTACTTCCAAGGTATGGCTCTATATGCCACAATCAAAGCCTGTTGTCGCCAGAACGGGAGCGCATCTGGAGCAAGGCTTCGGTGGACTCTCGCTGACATATCTTCATTCAAGTGATACGTCTCATCTGGATGTTTGAGAACAGCTGCCAATTGGCATAGTTCACGAAAGGCTCGTGTAAGTCGTTGGCCATCTGCTAGTATGTCGATCAACCACGAGGCCAGGCCAACTTTGGTCGCATCAACAAGCTCAACCTCTCCCTCGATCGTCCATCTTTTTCGAGGTGTTGACCCCCGTGTAAATAGTTCCAGGGGAATTTTCTCGCATGGTGAAAAGAATGAGAGTAGGACTAATAGGACACTGGCATCTTCGGACCGGGTGGAGCTCTCGTCAAACAGAGACTGAGAAGCAGCCTCAAGGGCAGAGTTTCTCCGTTCTGTCAACTCCATCGAAAATGACCTATATGAGATTCAAAGCTGCGCTGAGGAATTGTCTCGGCATCTCATGAAGGAGAGGAGGGATTTATTCGACAGCTGTGTCGACGACGGAGAAGCGTTACACCGAGAGCCCACTCCAGTTTTGCAGTGTTTTACTTTTTCCCATTGGAAGAAGCTCCTTTGGTATTTAACCAGACTTTGTCTCCAATGAGGCTATTGATAAGACCCCTGATAGACTTGACAGGTCTGGACTCTGGATCGCGGTTTTGAATGCCGAATACCGGTGGTGTGTTGAAAGATACTATGCCAGCCTGGGGTTGTAGGTCGGGGAAAACGGCGAATGCTCCGTGGTAGATGATAAACGTCATTTAGGGTATTGCGGGGTATCCAGATTCAGATGCAGATGCTAACCGATATTGTGCGTGGAGCTGTGGAAGTAATCCGAAGTAACACGATAAGCCAGAGATTGGCATGTCAAGTTGATGGTAGATATCTCAACCATGACCTAAAGCGGTAGCCCTCGAAGGTTTGAGATAACCACTAAGGTACTCAGCCCTTGGAGGATCTAATTACGGAAGAAATCTGTCACGGATGGAGGCAGTTTATCTTCAGACCCTTCTTGCAGAAACGAGTGTCTACTACACTTTGGACCGTGCGTGTCATCACGGCATGTAACTCAGGATAACCAATTAATATCATGAAAGGTTGGCCAGTAGTATCGGCATCTCAACCATCAACTAAGCCACAGAAGCTCATGTACATTAACTGACTGTTCAAGTATAGTCCCAAACAGCTTACACCGAATATAGTATTTGTTGACTAGGCTTAACGACTGAGACAAGTATAGTGCCTGCTCGAAGGAAGAAGTTGCCGCAATGGATATTGTCATGTCGTAAGTCAAATGATTGACTGAGACTGTTGCGTACAATGCCCTGGCCTTTAAGTGCCATTTCAATTTAAGAACAAACAGCGAGATTCACAGACGCCAGCTACTAGAATAGCCAAGGGTAGTTCGTTAATTCTCCTGAAAATAGACTTACAAGCAGGTCAAAATAAAGTTGTCGTCAAAGTCGAGGTAATCGCGGGTAGGCACCTGAAACCCCCCGGAACAACAATTCGCCGACCAAAGCTTCGCGTCGCCAGAACACCTCGAAATTTCCAAAGTCGCCTGCCTTTCACTAGCAGCTCCATCAGCCTTTTCCTCTTTCTCAGCGCGTCCTCCTCACAATGGCAGCCGTAACAACCAACGGCGATGCCGCCGCAAATGTTCTCGACGATATTAAACCCCCCGCTGGAGTAGTCCTTCCTCCTCGCGAGATCCGAAATGTTCTTGAAAAGACAGCCGGTTACGTAGCGCGAAACGGCGCCGTCTTCGAAGATCGCATTCGCGAAAAGGAACGATCAAACCCGAAATTCAGCTTTCTCAACCCTTCCGATGCCTACCATCCCTTCTACCAATGGCGACTAGATGAGGTCAAGAGTGGACGTGGTACAGCGATCGCTGCTGGTCGCGTGGGCGAACCTGCGGCCGAGGCTCCCAAGCCTCAGGGACCCCCGAAGCCTGCCGATTACCAATTCTCCGCGCGAACGCCTCGCATCAACCGCAAGGATCTGGATGTGATTCAACTATCGGCTCTCTTTGTAGCCAAGAATGGGCGACAGTTTATGACACAGTTGGCTCAGCGCGAAGCTGGTAACCCACAATTCGGCTTCCTCATCCCTAACCACACTCTCCACAACTTCTTCCAGCATATTATCGATCAATACACAACGTTATTACGTGCAAGCGGTCTCGGTGGAGAAGGCGGAAAGCTTCAAGAAGAGCGCATAAAGGAGCTCGAAGCCAACATTAATGATAAGTTCCTTGTGTTGAACCGCGCCAAGCAACGAGCCGAATATGCCAAATACGTCGAATCGGAACGACAGAAGAAGGAGGAGGAAGAGGTCAAGGCGAAGGAGGAGTTTGCGATGATCGACTGGGGCGACTTCGTTGTTGTCGAGACAATCACTTTCAACGAGGCCGACGAGCACGCCAACCTCCCACCCCCCACCAACCTGTCCGATCTTCAGTACGCTTCGCTGGAAGACCGCAACAATGCGTCTATCAGCGCCAGCCTCAGAATTGAGGAAGCCATGCCTGACGAAGACACGACCTACAACGCATACCCCAATCAACCCGCCCCCTATCCCATCGCTCCTCAACAGCCAGCCTACCAACCCGCTCAAATGCCCCCTCCTGTGCAGCCATACTCCCCTGTTCCACAAGCGCAACCACAGCAACCGCAGCGATCAGCCCAAGAGGAAGAAGAGGAGCGCCGTATTCAGGAACGCGCGGAGCAACAAGCACGAAAGCAACAGGCTACTGCTGAAGCACGTGGTGGTGCTCCTCCGATGAAGATCAAAGAAAACTACGTACCTCGTGCCGCACAGAAGGCTGCCAACAGACAGGGTGCGCAGACAGCACTGTGCCCCAACTGTAAACAGCAGATTCCCATGAATGAGCTCGAGGCTCACATGCGAAGTAAGTGCTCCATCCTAACACTTCATTTAGTCAGAATGCTAAACTGTTTTTAGTCGAACTTCTCGATCCTCGCTGGAAGGAACAGAAGGCCAAGGCGGACACACGCTATGCATCCTCCAACACGATACATGTCGATGTCGCCAACAACCTCAAGCGACTTGCCAGCCAACGCAGCGACGTTTTCGACCCTGTCACTGGACAGGCCATTTCTGAAGATGAACTAGCGCGCAGAAAGAAGGCTGCCATCCACAGCTACGATGGCGCCATGGATGCCAAGAGCCAAGCACAGCTGGGTCATATGCAGAACGTTAACGTCGAAGATCAGATCCGCGCTATTCACCAAAAGTTCGCTGACAAGAAGTGAGGAACTCGGTTGATGGGCAGATTGTACCCGATCGGAGACGACAAAGAAGAAGAGAAACAGGCCAGCCCCTCAAGGGAGCATGCCGTCCTCGTGTACACGGATCATGTGTAAAACTACATGTCGCGGTAGGCGTTGTAGGTTGAGGCCCCAAGGTGAGGCACATCTGGCGTATGGCGTTTCGTTAATCATATGGGCTTATACTTGTTTGATGCAGCTCAGTTTTTGCACGAGAGTTTTGGGGATGCCGAATCGAGAATGTCTGGGGTAGTAGATTGGCCGAGAATTGGGTGAATGGGCTGCCAGGAGATGATCGGAAACGTACATCTTCAACTACGGCCGTATCATGTCATGTCATGCCGCAAAACAGACAAACAGACCGCTGACCATGCTCATGATGGACAAATGCTTGAATCAGAAGTTAAGATGTCCCGCGTCAACGCAGCTTGGATCGATAAATAATGAAGCATTCTAGACTGTTGCTCGAGTGCCATCTGACGCTCTTAAGGAGCACCTCGGAGCCCTGTTACTCGAATATAAAACAATATGATCAATCCTTTCGCAATATCCAATACTCGCAGGTCAAGTGAACCAATGCTGTCTCAGAAACATATTAGCCACTATATTTAGGTCCCATCTCTATTTATTGGTTGGATATCTCCGTCTTGACTTGTGCGATGCAATGTCGTAACGCTCATGGTTACACAAACAAATCATCAATCAACAAAACGTAGCCCGAGTGACCCGAAACAGGCTTTAATACCCGTTATTCTTGAACGGTTATATCACTGACCAAGGAAACGAAAAAAGGTACTTTTGATTATCCTGGTCCTCCACCAATTGCTCAAGTACCCCGCCCTGTCCTGGTCCCCCCACCTCCACTTTCTTTCCACTCTCTTCCACTCCTACCTCCGACCTCATTCATCTCATGCGACAGCCTGAACTGGAGTGAACATCACTCTCTCTACTCTATACAACATCACCACCAGCCTCAACCTCTTCCCTGCGCCGATAGTCGACTGCGACCTACGCCTCTAGCTCTTAATACCTATTACCTTAACAACTAAACCCACTACAACATCGCCAAACATGGCGTCCGATCAGGACAACTCCGGCCTCGATGCGCCCGGCTCACAATTCCACCGACCAATCTTGCAATCTATGCCCGATACGCGACAGCAGAGCTTTGACGAGATCTACGGTCCTCCCGAGAACTTTTTAGAGATTGAGGTGCGCTCTCTTCTCCCTCATGCGCCATATCCGCGACCATACATCGTCAGACGGACAAGCAATACACACAGAAAATGCTAAAAAGCGCCATATATAGGTCCGCAACCCAAGAACACATGGCATGGGCCGTCACATGTACACAGACTACGAGATCCTCTGCCGCACAAACATCCCCGCCTTCAAGCTCCGTCAGAGCAGCGTCCGTCGTCGATACTCCGACTTCGAGTACTTCCGCGACATTCTCGAGCGCGAGAGCGCCCGCGTTACTATCCCTCCTCTACCCGGAAAGGTCTTCACCAACCGCTTCAGCGACGATGTTATCGAAGGTCGCCGCGCAGGCCTCGAGAAGTTCCTCAAGATCGTTGTCGGTCATCCCCTGCTGCAGACGGGAAGCAAGGTCCTGGCTGCCTTTGTCCAGGGTGAGTTCGCCGCCATGTCTATCTTTGCCATCATGATGTCTAGGTTGACACAGAATCGCAGACCCTAACTGGGATCGCAACGCTTGGTGACGCCTCCGTCTGATCTGGCCCTTTAAAGCCATGTCTTCTCGCTCTCGCTCTCCATCTCCAACTTCAGCTCCGCGCCAACCTCGAAAGCTCCGTAAGCGGAATCCGGCTCTCAACCAGCGAGACGCCCTTCTCGACAACATGCCCTCCCCGTGACTACATGAGAAAGGTCAAGGAAACGAAAAGAAACGAAACGACAGGAGAGGGTGGAATTGGCGTTCCTCTTCACGAACATACTATTCTCTTTTTGTTTCATGTGGGAAAAGCAAACTCTGGTCCAGCCATTATGTTTTCAGTCCAAAGCTGTTCTTTCAACTTGCATCCCATCCTACATTCGAAGCTCTGGGACTCCCTTCTTTAGCTTGGGGCGTTGATGGGCTAAAGGGTTATCTTGTATCCATATCATTTACTCTGAATAACAAGAGTGATCCGACTCATGAGACCCAGACCATGAAGTTCAAGCGCATTGTTTACAACAAAATGTCAAAGTCAGCAAAGTGGTTTGATGTTCATTCATATTGGCTTCTAATCGTCATTCCATGGAGACAGAGTTCTCATCTCCAGAATGGGCATAAGTTTGTGACGATACCGCCAATGTGTGATGATATCCAAAAAATAGAGGCGCCTCTCCTATTATACATAATTTCGTACATGGCCTTTGTGTGAGCATGAGCATAAGCATGAGTGTAGGTGTTTACATTTCCCCTTCTACTGATCCATCCACTCGCCAAACGCCGAAAAATAGATATGCCTTAGCCACGCCATCTCCCCTTTTGTTAGTTTCTCGTAATTCTTCATGTCCAAGCTTCGTTTGAAGACCCTGGGTGTTGTACATTGATACAAGAGCGAGTAGTGTTTGTGAAGCTTTCAAGGCTTCATAGCGACTCGTGTCGGATAGTATTACAGGACATCGATGAGCGGATCGGTTCTAGGTATGACCCTAGTATTTGATCGCTTTGTGTCGAATCAGTGCGTTGCTCATTCATGGAATGGTTTACGCAGGTGTATGGAACAGTCGAAGGATGCCTTCATACATGGCAAACATGATGGCGGCGCTAGGTACTGTTCGCATCAAGTGAGGTGTCAGACCCCCGTATAGACCCATGACACCCTCTTCAAGCCAGACAAGCTTGAAGCATTGAACAAGGCCGGTGTATTTAGGTAGTCCATTCTCCATAGGCGCTTGTCGAAGTCGTGTTCGCGCAACCTATTTCATCCTCGTTAGTATCCTGTAAAGATTCCAATGTCTCAACCCGATGACGTACCTCGTGGGGATAGGCGATAACGGCGGCGACCAGCTTAGCGCTTCCAGCAGCGAAACCCTTTCCAGTCCAGTCGACAGTCTTATCCCACCAAGTCAGTTCACGACCACTGCGAACGATCGTGTTGTGTCTACGAGCTAGCGATGCCTTCATTTGCTCGTAGAGCATCCATTGCATCGTTGACTCTACCACGCCGAGGTAACTAGCACTCATGCCACGGTAGAGACTTCGAATACCTTCGTCCCGGATGATTTGACGTATGCAGTCGTAGCTGTTGCGATATTTGCGCACTTGCGCACCGCCAGCTGCGACATTCTTGTCCAGCTGCAGCCGAGTCTTGATCATCCAGATAGGGTTTGTAGCCGTTGAGGTAATGACACCGGCTGCTACACCAGCCGAGAGGTGGACCCAAGGAGCTTCTACACCATTGTTGAAATGCTCAGATATTAAGCGTTTTCCATTGCCGTAGACATAGAAGTTGATGGATCGAGCTGGTACAACTCCAACTGAGGTAGGGCCAAGACCCTTGAAGAGTGCTCGCCAACCCTCATTCCTGTATACTGAGCCGAGAATCTGGAGTGTGTCGTTCAGGTGATATAAAGCGGCTCGGGCAGGGTTTAGTCGGCCAATGACTTGAGCTTGAGCTTCGCGTTGAGCTTGGATCTGGGCCTGGTAAAAATCGGATTGCAATCGGGTCTTTAACACATCGAGGGGGGCTGTAACTGCAGCGGCAGTCATACCTCCAACACTATGAACACAATCAAGTCAGCTTCGTAGTTCCCCGCAAATTACTCTTACGATAAGTTGTCGCAAGCTAGTTGGGTACCATATGGAGGTTTACATACCCGCCAGCAAACATATGAACCCATGATTTAGCAAAGGGTAATGCCTTAACATTGCCCTGGATAGGGGTGTCATCAGGAAGTACATCGCCAGTCTCCCGTGACTGGATGAGTGCCGAGTGATCGATTGGTGAATGGGAATGATGGAATGGTTTCTCGTCGCGGCTCGACATGATGTGCGACGTAGGCTGATGGTGTGACATGGTGAGGCGCAGTTTTCAGGTGTGAAGGAAGAGGAGGCTCTTGATTTCCGTCAATGTTGGTTGTTCTGTTGCTTTTACTCGTTCCGTCAGTCGATTCGTCGTTAAATTTCGATTTTGCGCGGGACCGTCGGTGGATAAGAGCGGCCTGTAGTGAAGCCTGTCGACGCCGTATAATTAAGAAAGCAGGCGTAGTACGATCATCAATGAGCAATAGACAAGGACCCAGTCGCCAAGTATTGATGAAGAAGAGGAATCGCCTCTGGTGATTGGAAGAGATGGAGAATCTTTTTCATGAATTAGCGAAGCATTAGCAGCAGTGGCAGTAGCGGTAGAAGAGGTCATTAGTGCCTTATCTAATCGCCTCCTGCCAAAACTTTTTTTCTATGACTGCCACTGGATGAAGGAGATGCGTCTCGATCCGCAAAGTGGCGCTGGCGGGTCTTCAAGGTACGTATTCTTTCCCACAGCAACTTAAGTGCCTTGTATGTGGGTCAGAGGCTACGTAAAGCCGATTAAAGCCAAGATGAAAATGACGGAACACAAATAATGGCAGTTCTTTAAATGCGATGATATGCTTGGACATGATTTTAAATGTCTTTATATTCATTATATTCATAAAACGTTGACTTCTTCTCGCACACTCTCTTCCTTGTCAAGCCATCTCCATGTGTTGACTCTGACAAGTCGGTACTTTCATGCGTAAAACGCCAGCGGGGCTATTCTGACTGATGCAGTATCAGCTGGCTGAAGGATTCAACGAACCATCACTACCCCTATACGTACTGTTCGAAGGTGTTGCCAGCGAACTCGCCAACCCCGTGGCTATCGATCCAGGTGCTAATGCTTCGACCGAATGGTTGCTGTGATCCGACCTGGCTGATTGCCCCATTCCAAAAGGGAGCCGATGTCGTTCTGCGCTCAGATCGAATCGGTGCATCGATGCGGTCGACGGCTCCATTGTACTGGGAAGATGCCCGTTGTCCCGACTAGGAGGCCTCGAACCTTCATCCGTACCGTGTGTTCCTGGTGTTCTATCCCCGGACGTTCTGCCTGCTTCTTGCCTCTCCCCAAGTCGACTCGAATGTCCGTCTTTGGGGTCTAATGTGTCAGGACCTCGTCCACTGTCTGATTGCCCATCAACATCCATTTCATCCCTGAGACCCATGTCTCGCTTGAGTTGTCGGAACTCATCATCTGTGACTGTTTTCCAACTGCATTTTGCATGCTTTTTGGTACATCCTGAGCATGCTGTCAAATGCTTAACACATTCAACCCTTAGTCGCCGACAGCGATCGCACGGTGGGTTGATCACATCCCCCTTACCCAGCTGGTCAGTCCTTTGTGTAATAAGAGACCGGAAAGCTGCCTCGCGGCTGTCCATCACAGGTTGCATCGTTGTCTCTGCTGCATGGCCACTGTACCTCGGACCGTGCGCTTGAGAGTGGGTTGTGCTGTGCGATGGAGATGGTTGACTCAAAGTGGTTATAGGGATTCCTGTAACTGAAGTTGACCGAGATGGCGGTGGTGAAGCTGAAGCTGCGAGAAACTGCTGCAGCAAATCTGCATGTAAATCATAACCGGCGCTAAAGTTGGCCGTTCGCTGTGAACTGCTACTGCCAGTGCTGTTAGTGGGCTGATATCGTGACGGCGGTGTGTCCTGTGTGCTCCTGCGTCGACGAATATCCTGCTTCCTCTGCCCCAGCCGATGGTTAAGTATACGGGCTCTTGCCGCCACTTCGTCAGCCTTCTTGTACAGAATTGATGTTCTTTGTTCGAGAATATCCAATGTCGCCAGTTCTGCCGTCTCATCCTCTTCAAGGGGGTGATCCAGGGGGAACCGATCTAAAGCGCCAGACCATACCAAACGCCAATCGTCCTCCATAATCTCCACCTGTGAGCCCTTGAGAACAAACTGGCAGCATCGGGAGCCATCCGCCTTTTGAACGAGGGTGAAATCCTTTGGGTTTGATCTCGCAAAACTGACAACGTCCAGCCAACTTATAGGGTTGGAGAAGGGCTGAAGTGGTGTCGTCTTGATTGGTCCATCGAAAAACTTCTCAATGCCTCTCAAAAGTCTTGGACCGGTAAGTTTAGCCCCAAGACTTGCTGCAAGACTCTCATGCCTGTCCAACACGTCTGATGTACGTCAGTAAATGGTATCACATTAATGGTTTCAATGGTTCTCTTGGCATCCTTACTCTCATATTCGCCAATCAGACCGATGATGTCGGCAAATGTGTCTGCGTCACCTTGTACGAGGCTCAAATGCGATGCATTTGATCTCGGGAGATAGTGGATATAACCGGGAACGCCTTTGAGGTTGGGTTAGCATACCCTCCAAGCGAACAAGCTGTGCCAGCGCACCAAGACAGAAAAGCCGGATACAAAAGCAACAAGCATGTGCGTCCCTGGAGGAGTCGAGCTGAACGCTACTTCCGGCGAGGAGTCAAACCAAGAACATCGGCTTTTCAAGTGCCGTCTCGTTTGCGCGTGCCATCAGGCGACGACATGCATTGAAGAATGTAGAAGACACGAAGACACATGCAAGTGTGCAACGGCGAGGTCAAGGCAAACAAGACAGTCTCGTATGTGGTGCTACAAACGAAACGTCTCAGGATTTGAGGCGACACAATATGGTGCAGCCTTTGACGGCTGTTGTCATACTAGACATACCTTGCTGAAGAGATGTAGGTGCGTGCTGAGCGCGACCTTGACCACCGGCATCATCGACATCACGCTTTCGTTTTGCAGGTTCCGAGTCGGAAGTATGGCCCATGATGGGTGATTGATGAGTGTAAATGCGGTATGTTGACCAAAGGGTCGAGATTGATAGACGAGCTTGGATGCCAGGCCAGCCGTGTGACAGAATGAGGCGCTTACGCTTGACCAACAAACGTCCTAGCCGAGAATGAACCCTGAAATGACCTATGAAGCGGACAGATCTGCCTGGGTTGCGCTGAAAAGTGGACAGAATAGGGAGATATCAAAGCTTCTCTGAGAGATTTGACCGTAGGACGAATTAGAGTCAGGTGAGTGGCAACGTCGCGAAGGGATTGCGACGGGGATTCCAATTGATCGATTGACTGATAGGAGAGAAGAGGAGAGAGTGGATGGGACGACAGCGGTTATTGGATATTCATGGCGACGGAGTGAAGCCGGAATAAGTTGACGATGGATTGAGAGGATATGTCGATTTTGTAGTATTAGAGAGTCCGTCCCCCCCAGATAGATATGCAGGTAAATGGGCGCCAAGAGGAGAACAATTGTTGATTCTCCGTAGAGCAGGCTCAATTTTATTCCAGCACAGAAAATCCCTCGCGCAAAATAACGCACCGAGCTACGACGGGTAACGTTGGAGTCCAAGTGGGTGAAGAGGAGCCTTCAAGAGCGAGAAAAAAGGAGACTGAAAGGGTTCAAATATTGGACGGGCTGGGGGAGAAGCACAAGGAAATACGGAAAAGAGACGGGGAGCCTTGGAGCAAGAAGAAAGTGCCGGGGAATCGGGACCATGTGGGGGAACAGTGCAGCGGAACGAGGTGCGAGGCCGAAGGTGACAACGGTCGAGTTAATTGGAATGGATATGAATGGAGGGTATGCCAACACCAAAATCTCCGACTTGTAGCGCCTAAAAAGGACGACGATAGTTAATAATTCCTTTGAGGACGAAAGACTTTTTGGAAACTTCAGAGAAAAGAAGTAATGAGGTAGGCCAAGAGGATTTAAGGACAAAGAGCGGTAGCAGCAGTAACCAATTTGAAACTGACAGACACAAATGCCCTGGTGATGCCCTATGAATGCATCGCATCAACTATACCTGGGTACTGCAACCACTGCCAGCCGCCCAGACACACAGCTTAACGGCGGGCCAGCGGGCTCAAGACCCAATGCTAATGTAGCTTGATTTCCTTTTTCGGACAGTTCATGATGGATATTAAGAGGCCTCCTCTGAGGAGTCAAGTACATGCCAAAAAACAACTCATAGACTTACAATGAGAGTCGCATATCACTCCTGTCAATCTGTACATAGGCGTCTTAATGCATGTCCCAGCGCGGGATCTTTGTATGAGGCTGTGCTGCTGCACACCCCAAGGTAGAGAGTAGCCTGCACGGATGGAGGGAGGGATGCTTTACAGGCGGTAAACAGGAAAAGAGACAAGCTCAAGCTGCATGGATCTAGTTTCAAGTCAGATGAGTGAGGCAATATCACTGGCGCTGCATCATCCCGCTCGTCGATCTGCTACTGCAATTTGCGACGCTGGTCTCCGAGGCACGCGAGCGATATATTTCATCTTCTTGTACTTCCACTTCCACTTGCATTGATATTAGAGGTCCAATAGTATCACGCTCAGTATTGCGGCACTGAAAGTCCGTAAGTGACCATCACTAATCGACAAAGCTCTCCTGCATTTTGTTAGACTTGTTTCTGATGATCAGTGTCTTTCCTGCAGTTGGCAGACTAGACCAGATGATTACGCGGTGTGAGTTATGATTATCGTATTCACATGAAGAAGTGTTGCTGTATCAAATTCCTGCCACTCATTGGTCGAATCGTATGTATCAAGCTCAAGTCAAGCTCTCTTCTCGCACTCCACTCTCGCACCAATCTCACACATACCTCCCCACAAACAGCCCAAATCCACACACGTATATCTCCATAATTGTATTAGCATCGCTCACCCCACTAGAGCCATCACAAGTTCCAACTTCAACCCAAACCTCAAGCTCATCACCGATATCACATCCCATCTCCTCAACCTAGCCCCCCCAAGATACGCCATGTCCGATAGACCCTCACACCGAGGCGGCCGCGGTGGCCAAGGATCGCATCCCCGAGGTGGACGCGGAGGCGGTCGTGGAGGAGGCGGCGCGGGAGGCGCGCAGCAGGAGCGCGAGAGACCCAAGAAGGAGAACATTCTCGACTTGGGCAAGTATATGGACAAGCAGATCACTGTCAAGTTTAACGGTGGTCGCGAGGGTATGTTTGTTCGAGTTGCGTGCGAGTGAAGCCGAATCACTAACTTCTGATTCAGTCAAGGGCACATTGAAGGGCTATGATGCTCTCATGAACCTGGTACTAGATGATGTACATGAGGTTGTTCGAGGTATGAAGCGCGACTCCTACAAACCATCTCCTGATCCATATTCTGTTCGTTCCTGGCTGGGTACTCGCAACTAACACGATGACTACAGACGACGAAGGAAACGACTCGACTCGATCCCTCGGCCTCGTAGTTGTTCGAGGTACCCTCCTTGTTCTCGTTAGCCCAGTCGACGGCAGCGAAGAGATTGCCAACCCTTTTGTGCAAGCCGAGGATGATTGAGGAGTCAACTGTTATCAAGCTGGAAACGAATATTACGACAAAGGCAAACAACAAAACGTCCGACCTGGAGCTGGTTACCATATAAACGGCCGTGTCAAGGCTGGGCTAAATCCAAAAAAAAAAAACCGAGCGACACAAATAGATCGCCAGCTACTAGCATGGCAATTTTGGTTTATGTATGGGCATCAAAAGCAGCATTTCACGAAAACCCCTGGCTCCAAACGTGAAATCATCACGTCAGCCGCCACTTCATAGAATATTGTAATGAATGAAGGCAATATATCATATTGAAAAGGCAAATAAGTTGTTTCTGTCTCGCTATCTCATCTCGCTCTGCTTCAAAACCACCACTAACCTCTTCCATATACACACGCAGTCTAAACATCATCAGTCATGGCAAACCATCCTGACCCTGTAGATTGCATCCAATGTCCTAATCCCCATCGCGTTATATGACACAACTAGAAATCTTCTGACAATATTGCCAGTCATGAGTGCCTGAGTGATCCAAGGCGATGCCCTTATAAGTACCCAAGTTGTCGTGATTGTCTGAGAGACTGTTCTCAAAAATCGGTGCTCTTTGTTTTTCTGGTCCTATCGTTCTCATGTTCATCTCCTTCTTGATAGCCGGGGTTTCTGTGTTGTCCTGAGGACTCGGTCCTTCTTGTAAGCCGTCGTTTGATCCCTCCCCAAGCAATGGCGAAGGCTTGCTTGGGCCTGCCTGTGCGTTGCGTACTGGTTTCTTCTCAAAGCCTCGGTGTGACTCGCCGGGAAACCCCAGTGAATGGTCTGATTCGCTTTGAGACCTTGCTCTCTCCTGATAAGTTTGTTCCCTTGGAAAATATTCTGTTGCTCTATAAGACTTTGGCCTCGTGGGAATAGAAAATGCACGAGACTGGCTGGGCCAATACCCGCCGATCTACCATCAAATCCAGTCCCATACTGTCTTCCTCGCCCTGAGCATGGCTTTTTCTAAAATCCTGGCGGTGGCCGAGGCCTTTTACCGTGTTTGTCTGAAACTTGCCACGAGCTAGGTTGTTGTTCCTGCTGGGACTAAAAGCTTCGACCTGATTTGCTCGCCTTGACAAGTTCTCCGTAGGAATTCGCCAGCATCTTCTTAAGCTCCTTGTAGCTGACGAGGAAGCTGGTCTGTTCGTCTCGACTGGTAAGACAAACCCTCTCCTCCGTCCCGATATCTAGTTTGCTCATGCAGCGAAGCATGTGTCCCATATCCAGAACTGGATTGCCGTTGCTGTCCACTTGATGGAAAACGTAGTCTCTGAAGAGTTTGAGCATATACCGCTCACCATTTTCGGACCAATTCTGATCGCCGTTGAAGTCATATCGCTCGTTGACAGTCGCGAGCTTCATCATCAGTCTGGCAACCCTGCCGTTCTCCACCTCCCGCATGACGTCGGCGCGGGCCTTGTCGTAGGCTTGAAGATTTTGGTCAAACGTGGATGTGATACGACCAGCAATTCCGCGTACGAATTCCTCGATGCCTTTCTGTGCTGGTGGTTGCTGAGGGGTGAGGAGCCACAGCACAGTATCCCTCAGTTCGACTGAATATACCCTCGACAATTGTTCCAACGACATGTTAAAATTAGTAAGATGGATTGGCAGAGTGTTAGTCGTTAGACAGAGCAATAACCGGCCGAATTGAATGAAGTCTTCTTGCTGAAGCTCTTGAATGGATCGATGAGCATCATATTGAACAACGTCCAAGATAGAGCATGCGCTGAGACGGATGCGGCCCTTGTCTGTAAGAATAATTTTGCTAGGGTCGATGCACCGTGCTGCCAAATTGACCGAATGGATAGCCTGGAGCGCATTGGCAATCTGTGAAATGTATCCCCATAGGACGTTCTCTGCAATGGGTGTTTTAGCTTGGAAACGTGTACCATGGGTACTGCTTGGGGTCAAGTGAGCCTCAACAAGTGTTTTGGAGAGGGGGAAATAGTTTTGTACAAAGATGAGTGAGCTGTCCCCGAAGGCGCGGGTGGTAAACGCATCGATGATAGAAACCACGCTGCCATTATTGATGCGTCGCCACTCTTTGACAAGCCTGATGGCATTCTCGTTGGTGAGCCTGTAGCCTTCTAATCGCCTGAGACAGTAAGTGTGACCCGACTTGGTTTGAGTAGCTTTGTAGACCCAGCTCGGATAGCCGAAGATATTGGCATTTTTCCGATGGGTCGTATCCAAGGGCACCAAGTTGTGGTAATTGTCGAGTTGCGGCAACTGCGAGTTGGGGAGAACTTGGCCAGTTGCTTCAAGCTTATTGACAATCTCAATTCGATCTTTCTCGGCCAGGAAAAAGTCGTGAGGAACACGATGATATGGCATCAAATCATCTCGACGTGGCCCAGCGGGGAAGTATAAGTGATGTTGCAGAGGCTGAACAGGAGCAGCGAACGCATTCTGTGCTGGGAAGTACCCTGGCCCATGGCCACCGAGAGCTCCCGGATCTTCGGCATAAGGATTGTACTGAGGAGTAGTAATGCCTTGATTCATAGTAGGCACAGTGAAGGGGTCATAAGACATCCCGCCATCTTGGCCGGAGCCATTTGCGGAAGTAGTCTATCTAATCAGCGAAGAGTCTCGACATTGGTAGTGACAGTCATACCGTGCTGTTCACGTCAAAGTTAGGGGTAAATTCGCGGACAGTTGCAGGATTGAAGACGCTGCTGTCGCCGTCTTGGGGTCCAACGGGGGTGGCGGCTTTACAAACATTTTGTCAGTTGACTGACACAAGACTGAGGGTACTTATGGGGACATACAGCCTAAGCCACGTGGTGTAAAAGCTGGAGCGCTGGCAGCTTGTGAAGAGAAAGTAGCCTTTTTACTTCCAACGCTAGCGGGCGTGAAAGATGGCGATTCAACGTTGAGTGCTTTCTTGGATCTGGATTCATCATCATTAGCCATCTTGGAGGTCCGGAATCGCAGTGTCAGTTGCTGAATACGGAGTATCAGCTCGCTCAGAGTCAACTTGAATATGAAAGAGCGTGGTATATTTGGAAATGATATGTCTGAAGTAGCGATGCAGTATCATGAGTTGCTGATACATGGGAGCGTTGTGTTTTGGAAGAGTTGAAGTAAAGTTGGCGAGGCAAGGCAAGTCATTAGTGATGAGGAAGTATCGGCCGATGAGCGGAGAGGTCATGCGACATACGGTCCTTCCTGCTGCAGCATTGAAGTCTCCCGTCTACAGAGAAAAAGTATGCAACCAGTGTATACAATGGTCACTTGTAAGCCTCATTGACAAACTCACCATAAACCGACAGGGTGAGGCTTTCGTGGCTGAAGTGTGTAACTTTATAAGCCAAGCGAAGTCGGATCGAATTTGGGTACTGCGAACTGTCGCATCATGGGTCCATCCATCCCGAAAACAACAAATAAACAAAACAAAAGTTTGAGTAACCTACAAGTCTGAATTGGAGTTATTTTTGTTCTGATCGTGGCTAAAGGCGCAGCCTTGGTCCTCGTATCGACAATGGCCATAAATGAGTACGTTTCGGCATAGTGTATCTTTATTCTCTGGGAGAGCGCAGGTCAGCGTTCATGTTGGAGTTGATTTGATGGTGGGGTGTGTCGTATCGTGGGATGGAAGGGCAAACGAACCGCGTCCTTTGGGTCTTGGGGACCCGACTTGGCGTCGTAGATCGGCCGTTTGATATCGCGAAGTCGCCATGGTCAGTTATATAGTGTTGAAGGTAGTGCAGCCCGCTTGGCTGTGTTTACGACGTCTGAAAGAGGAGGACGTTAGCAAGCTGCCGACTGAAAAACGACCTTGTGCAGAAAACAATTCCCACAGGACCTAGGCCGAATACTGACAAAAACAGCACCTACTTGACTCTGGCAAGCATTTCCCATTGTTCAATTGATCGAGGCGAGCGGCCGCCCATGGAGTAACGAGACGAACGGCGGGGTCCAGAGGCTGGCCGTCGCAGACCAGCTTGAACAGTGATTAAAGCGCGGGAAGCCAACGACCGTGTTCGAGGGGGAACAAGGCGCGGGCCGTCGCCTCTTGTAGCGGGAGCAAGCAAAGTCTTGCGAGGTCGGGAGGAGAGGTGAGGTTGAGGTAAGGTATGGAGGAGTTGAACGAGTGGTTGGATTAGGTGCGGATGTGGATGTGGGCGGTGGGGGGGGCAGTTTTGGTGGACGGACTAGACACTTCAGTTGGGTTGGGTGAACAAGCCTGCAGTGTCGCAAGCCTACCCGTAGCAAAGCAATGCGCTTAATCGTAGTATCTTTTCTACTATTTTGTATGGAAATATACTTATACATGTGTCTCCACGGCATGACGCCAAACCTGAAGCCAGTTCGTTGTTCCCAAGACACCAATAATATCATTGTCCCGAAGAATAGCCCACCCCAAAATGGGTTTAATCTGACTTTTGATAAGCAAGCCCGCCCACTTTAGCTCTGACGCGCTTGATGCCATCATTCGTCAACCTCATCTCTAGCTCTCTTCTTTCGATATCACATACAAGAGATACTTCAATAAAGTCCAATTCAAACTTCTTATTATCTCTGTTTGCCTGAAGCTTTTAATTTTCCTACACACTCTTTTATTCATTTATATACAGCGAAGCCGGAATCTTCCATCCACTTATTTACGAATGCTCAATGTATTGGATCTTATAAAACCGTGGGGTTACACCACAAGCGAAACGTAGACCGCATTCACTCTTCGTTCCCGCACATTTGAACTCGGTTTCTTTCCCCTCTTGTTGCTATTCACCTGAGATACATTCTTCGAACCCTGCAAAAAGAGCAGTGTGGATGATATAGGTTGACAAAATGGCTGAAGGCGATATGGACTTGGGACAACTGTCCACTACTCAGCAGGAGGCTCTTGATCAATATACACAAGTGACCAACCAAGAGATCAGCGAAGCTATTCCGCTTCTCCGACGCTCCGAATGGAATGTTCAGGTATCAAACTCGCTTCTTTGCTCCTTTTCATGCTTCTAACGATGCATCATAGATTGCAATCGCCAAGTTCTTCGACGGCGAAGTTGCAGACCCAGTAGCTGCAGCACAACAAGAAATACCCCGAGCGACAGCGCGGCACGAAAACCTACAAGAGAGCCTTTTTGATGAGGCAATTCGTGCCCCTCGAGCTTCACCACGACAGCGCACCGATCTAGCTCCAAGAATCGTGCCTCAGAACCCTGTCACAAATCGAACACCATGGTTGCTGGGTCTGCTCCTCACACCCTTTAGCTTAGGCTGGAGAGCTGCCTCGACTCTGTTTCGGACTTTGATCTATGCGCTGTCTTTCTTGCCCGCCCCGATTCGGCCACGGGCTGTTACGAGCAGAATCTCGACAGGCTTCAGAGGCACCAATGGTCGCCGACCTCTCATGCCTCGAGACACCGCCTCGAGATTCAAGCGAGAGTTCGAAGAGGAGTATGGAGAGAACGAATTGCCCTTTTTCGAGGGCGGTGTCGCTCAGGCGCATGATCAAGCCAAGAAGGACCTCAAGTTTATGCTTGTGGTATTGATGTCGCCTGAGCACGATGATACCGAGTCTTTCGTAAAAGAGACTTTACTAGCACCAGAAGTGGTGAACTTCATCAAAGATCCTTCCAACAACATAATTCTGTGGGGCGGAAACGTCTTGGATTCCGAGGCATATCAGGTGGCTCAGGAGTATATCTGCACCAAGTTTCCCTTCTCGGCACTGGTTTGCCTTACACCAAAGGAGGGCAGTACACGAATGGGGATCGTCAAGAGACTAGTTGGACCCATGCCTCCCTCCACTTACCTATCAGAGCTTCGAGCAGCTATCGAAAAGTACGGCGCAGATCTTGATGGAGTACGCGCAGAGCGAACAGCCCAGGAAGTAACGAGAAATCTACGAACTGAGCAAGACTCGGCCTACGAACGGTCGCTAGCTATTGACCGAGAACGCGCACGCCAGAAGAGAGAAGCAGCGGCGGCCGCAGCAGCAGCAGAGAAGCGCGCGCAAGAAGAAGCAGAGGCAGCAAAGAGACTCGAAGAGAAGCGCGAGCAATGGATTGCTTGGAGAGCTACAACTATTGTGCCTGAGCCACCAACCAGCGATAAGAGCGTGGTACGAGTCGCACTCAAGATGCCCGAGGAATCGGGTATCGGCCGAATTGTGCGGCGGTTCCCCCAAGATGCCTCCCTGGAGGACCTGTATGCCTTTGTGGAGTGCTACAGTGTTCTCAAAGAGGAGGGTGCAGCGGGTGCTGAGAAGCCGGGGGAGTACGAGCACGAGTACAAGTTCCGAATCGCCTCCATTCTCCCCAGAACGGTGTACGAGCCTAGCACAACAGTGACGATGGGGGAGAAGATTGGACGGTCAGGAAATCTGATTGTGGAGGACATATCACCGGATTCGGAAGATGAGTCGGACGACGAAGGTGATGACGAAGACTAGGAGGCGGAGGGTGGTCAGTCAGTAGCTAGCGCCAAGAGGTCATGGCCAGCGATCGTCTGTTATGGAGACTTTTCATGGCGGTCAAGAGCTGTACTGTTATATAATGAAGAATAGATACGACTTTGACTACAAGAGGGTGTCGTGGGAGCATGTGTTGGAGGCCTGGGTGACAGGAAACGGTGTCGCTTATCAGATGCTCGCTTGTAGGCTACACCAGCGCAAAGAAAACTGCCGAGAGGTTTGAGCGTCTGTCGGACTTATACAACCTGAAGTCCGCAGCAATTTAACGAATACAGCGAGACCCCTGCCAACCTCACGGTGTATGCGATCTCTGAGTGTCAGATTCTTAGACAAGCATGATCTTAGTAGATGAAGCTTACGTAGTTCAAGCTTATAACTTGACACATTCTACCACTCACTTTTAACGGCGTTTACTGTATGTTAAAGGGTGCACTATAACAGTCTCTCCAGCTTTCAAACTTCGGGCCGCGTGTTAGAGATCCAGAAGAACGGCTACCAATGTGGAGATAGCGCGGATCTTCACCTTTTAGATGAACACTCCGCATATTGAAATGCCACGCGTTCTTGTTTGTCCGTCTCTCTCTTAAACGGATGTACGTTAGTGAGAAGAGGTCCGGCAAATTTCATGACAAAGCCCAGAGTGAAGCCAAGACACGATGCCAATGCTAATGCTAAGGGTAATGCTAATGTCATGTGTTACGGCGGCGATAGAGAGGGGTTGATTGCGTAGGGTGATGAGGCTGTGCAACGGCGGCCGCTTTACAGTTGGGTTAAGGTAGTTATATTTGTTGATAATTAGGCCATTGTCTAGAGCTTTATGTTTATTTGATGCGTAAATTGATATCTTCTCTTTCCTCGCGCCTCAGCTTTTTTGCCTATCGCAAGATTGCTCTATTTCGACCTTGTAGGACCCTGCAAATCCCAGCCCAGAGAGTGGGTGACGCACGGGGCTGTATTAGCGGGAGGCGCATCACGGACCCTTAACAACTCCGAACTTTGAATATCGACGAGACCAAACAAGAAAGGAACAAGTACAGTTACAGTTACAGAAGAGTTACGGGTAAACAGCAAATCACTGGACAATCAGTGTTTAATTGTTGCTTTGTCATCATCTATTATACTACAGCACTCGAATCAAAAGCAATTTTATCCTCAACTTCAAACCAGTCCAAAAGGATCAATACCCTTGCTACTCCCAGACAACGGCGCCAATCATTCGACGCTCGCTCCAACATCGTCAGCTCCGAGAGGCAGAAACGTACCAAGACCAACCAACATCACCGTTCGCTTCTGAAACCGTGATAGTAATTGCATTGGATCCTCGGCGCCTTCCCATTTGAGCCTTAATTTCCCTAGATCTTCAACTTTTCGAGTCACAACTTGACCTCAACAACTTTGTTATTCCTCATCAACCAAACACCGCTATAACTCTAGGCATCATCTCGCCTCCTGTTCGAAGAAACCCCCCGATTCCTCCACCCCTAGAGTCGCCCGCTGTGGCGCGAGCTTCCAACACAGCCATGAAGTCCATGAAGGGTCTTGGTATGAGCAAGGTGCTCGGTAGCATCAGAAGAAAAGCCAGCAATGTCTCCAATCGTACGTGTTCTCATGCGCGCTGCCTTGCGATCAACCTCTTTGGTTTCGGGCAGCCCAAAATAAACACAGCACACGTCCAGAGCTGACAATTCATAGGAGCATCTGACGGACCCTCCGGAACTTCACCTTCAGGCACGACACCAGCCGGAACACCCGAGGCTACAGCTCACAACAGCGTGGTATGTCCCTATATTATCGCGCATCCTGCGAAACCGTCCGTGTCGTCCGTCTGGCCATCGCTGACCAGAGCCTAGAAAGCATTTTGCGAGTCTGGAGGAAAGTCCAAGGTATGTTTTACAGTCGCCCCCTCACATGTCATGCCTCAGCTAATCTTGTGCGAAACAGCAAGACGAAGTTCTCTTTCTACCTCCCATCGTCGATGCCGCCGAATCCTCCCCAGCCGCTGCCGCAGAATGCGCGCGCCTGATCCGCAAGTACCTGTCCAAAGAGTACTTTTCAAAGCCATCATGGCAGTACAACGCAATCATGCTCTTGCGCATCTTGACCGACAACCCCGGCGCGACTTTTACGCGGAACCTAGACCAAAAGTTCGTCGATACTGCGCGAGGACTCCTCAAGGCTGTACGAGACCCCAGCGTGCGCCAGATCTTTATGGAAACACTCGATGATTTCCAGCACACCAAGGCGTACGACGAAAACTTGACTTTGCTCACTTCAATGTGGCAAAAGGAGAAGGAACAAGCTTATAAGAACTTTGGTGTATGTGCACATGATTCGGGTTGGGACCTTTCATACTAACGAGCTGCCGCAGGGACCGCAGCAACCCATGATGTCGCCAGGCGGTTATAACACCCCTCCTCCAAACCCACACTCGCAGAATTACTTTGCGAGACACCACACGAACAAGCGCTTGCCTGACCCCATTGAGCTGGCTAGCCGACTCGAAGAAGCCCGAACATCAGCTAAGCTCCTGGAGCAGGTTGTCATGAATACGCCTCCCGGCGAGATTCTCGACAACGAGCTTATCAAGGAGTTTGCTGATCGATGCTCAAGCGCATCCCGCAGTATCCAAGGCTACATGACGTCCGAGAATCCCACTCCTGATAACGACACGATGGAGAATCTCATCGACACCAATGAGCAGCTGCAAACTGCGCTCAACCAGCACAAGCGAGCTGTCCTGAGTGCCCGAAAACAATTGGGTTTGAACGAACGATCCGACTCACAGTCGCCCAGTTTGACCCCTCAAATTCAGCCTCAGCAGCAGTCAGAGTCTCAACCTGAGACCAACGGCAACAATCACTACTTCAACAACGGATCTGGGTCAGGTTCCGGCAAGGGTAAAGAGACGCATTCTTACCCACCACCTCCAGGTCCTCCACACCAGACTGGTGAGGGAAGTTCGAACCGACCCTACGAAGAGTCCGCCGAGAACCCCTTTGCAGACCCTCAGCCAGGCAATTCTTCCTCGGTCCAACCACCATCCAACACAGCGACTCAGTACTCCGAACACGAACGCCTTGCATACGAGCCCTTCCATCCTGGCTTCAAACCCACGGAAAGTTATCTGGGCCGACAAGACAGCGCCGTTGGTAAGGTCCACATGCACGGTGCTGGAGCTTCAACACCATCAGCCCAGCCGCCCGCACAGCAACGACTCGACGAAGTCTCCGACGACGATGACATCTACGATGCGCCAAGTGGACCACCTCCCAAGAGCAAGGAGCCTATATACCGGTACTAGAGGCGATGTTAGGAATGGAGAAATGCGCACGATGATTGCTGTCTATAATCCAAGCGCCGCAGTTTACTGGAATTACTAGAATGTGCTGCGTTGCTTCAGCTTGAGATGTCAACGGCCTGGGTCGAGTAACCCCAAATTTGTGAGGAATGGACTCTTTTGGAAAGGTGGAATTGTGTTTCTGGATCGACATTCTTGTGTTATCGTCCATGCATGAAATAGTTTGGCGCGGCGAAAGGGCAGATTCCCATAGCGTTCTTTACTTGTTGTACCTATCGTATCGTTAATTGCGTCAAGGCAAGGGCATCAATACCCGTTCTCAGCCCTTAGGACGACTTGTTCTTGATCCTATGTCTCGGTCAGTGTTTGAAGTTGAGGTGGAATTTATCACCTTCCCTCATCAAGTTCCAATATGATATGTATTTGAGAACTGTCGCTATTAGGACGACAAAGAGACAGGACATGTTTCAACCCGAAGCATCTCCGAGATCGAAAAGGTCGCGGTACCCAAAGGTCAATTCGCAAATTCAAGAGGTATCCAATCGTGCCACGTTCCCCTCAGCCGGTTCGGAATTGGTTATAGCAAAGTGTGGTTACTTTCACGAACGCTGCGTGGCCCATGATCCACCAGGTCGGAGCCTTGGAACCTGCTGACATCAAGTATCGACGTCGGGCAGACAGATCTAGAGTCATGCATGCCTGTTTAGGGTTCACTGCAGATGCAAATCTCAGGTTTATGGTCTCGAGTCTCGGACTCGACAGCGTGGCTAAGGTATCTCTTGCTTGTCGTTACAGTAACACAAACATAACCGAGACATGAGAGACAGCAGACAACGGTTGTTCATCCACACTGGTTCGTAACCCTGTGTGGAAACACATTGAAACGGCGCGATGCAACGTAAAATGGTGAAACCGTTGAAAGCGCGCATCTTGAAGCACTGAATCTCGGTACGCGGTACCTAGGCGTAAATACCCCAGGATCGCTGACTGGGAACTTGAAAGGATTCTATGATTGCCGTTCCGGGCACTGCGACTAATCAGTTGATGTAACCATGAGCAGCGTTTACCGAGCCAGTCGCATTTTACGACGACCTGACCACAATCACCCCATGTGAAGGCCCATGCTCAATTGCTCCCAATTATCTGCAATAGGCAGTTGGCATATTTACGAGGTGACAATATGCATTGCCCGTCACTATCATCACTGCGTGAATGTCGAGAAGGTCAAGACCGTTGTCATCAGATCATGTCGGCTATCCTTGATATGAACTGGAGGGAAATGGATGAGAAGTCGTTGGGTTGCACTGCAGGTAGCAGGCTCCGTTGACTTGATTTCGAAGATACAGATGACGCCGTACATGGCTATCGAGGAAGCATGGACGGAATCTTTGACATTCTTGTTCCACTGCTTCACCGTCTAGTTTGGGCCTGGTCTGCCCCGCCTTCTGAGGACACACGAGATGTAGGAACATAACGTTGCTGCGATGTAATATTGAAGTTGCAGCTGGAAGCTGATGAGACGTGCAAGGATACTCGGAAAGTGGATGCACCGAAATGGATTCGAGATTGACAACTCCCGGTGGATGAAGAACGATCGTAAAGCAGACCTCAGGAGATTACCAAACAAATCCAGGGATAAGATGCGACAGGTCAGTTGTAGAGATGTTAAAATGAAGTTTGGGCCTTAACAGACTGGGGGCTGTTATAAGTAAACGGGAAAGCTCACAATAAAAAGCAATCACCTGTCAAAACCCATGCTTCCTTCCAGAAAAGCACAGCAACAAATCTTAATTGCAAGGAAGGCACCAGCCATGCCGACACAGGATCCGGAAGGAAGCAAGGACTGCTGGGTAAACAATACCTTACATGGGAAGGTCTCACATGACAGCTGCCATTTTCCGTTGAGCTACGGAGTAAGCAAGCAAATTTCATACTCAAACCGACAACTTGCATTGCATTTGACGGCATGCTTGAAGCTGATATCACCACAGCGGCCGGGATCTAGGGTCGGTGAGCCGCCAACAAGCCAAGCCATTGGGATCCATCGCTAAATCCAAGAAAGGAAATGCTTGCTTCGACGTTAAATCAACCTATAGCGTTGGAGTCAAGGCCAACAAAGCCTCGAGCACAACACGATATCTCAAGCGACAACAAATCTTCATGTGGCTTTTCCTGCTAGTGCATTGGCCGAGATCTCTGTCGACCCATCAACACTCGAGCCACCCAATGCAACGAGGTTAACATTGAACAGTCAAACAAGGGTCTCGGAAGAATGCGATTGAATGCTCAAGTTTCTTTTCTCCCCGCTGCGCGCCGCACCGTGGTCTGGGGCGTTTCAACATCTGCGATTGGTTCCAGACATTGAAACCATGAGGGGCCACCGTTCCCTTCAATTGGGTCCATTTCCCGATTCGGGGAACTCTTGCGAGAATATATCAGACCTTGACTTTTACTTCTCTGTACGACAATGGAAGCGGGAGGTGCCCGCACACGGCATCAATGTCACAGGCCATTCTATTCGATGGCTTGCGGTCTCCTATCTACTGCGATGAAGCTTGTTCTCTTATGGATAGAACCACATGGCTTGTTGCGTACGCAATCTTGCTCCGTTTCTCGTGTGTTTCTCCCGCCTCGGCACGACTCGATTCATCACAAGATACGGCATCATGTTCAACTTATTTCTTAAGCTGAGTCCCCGCCCAACGGCCGAGGTCGTTGGCATGGCTATCCTGGTTCGAAGACGAAGACGCTCTTTGGGCGTGATGATGCATCAAAGTTTCCCAAATTCTGATCGGCATTGGTCATCACTTCTTATTCTTCTCATAGAGACAACACCTCATGCGTAGCATCGCAAGAATCTCCTCCCTGTTCTGTACCTGATGTCGTTTTACACACCATGTCTCTGCTCTCTGTCCACTATTCGTCCCGTCTCCTTAGCTTCCTGTTCAAAGTCATAACAACGACAATAGCTGGCTTTGGCTTTAGCTCCATGCCTGCCTCTCATCTGTCACCTCCCGAACCTGGACTAGAATCCTTGTTTCTTCTTCGTCCACACTTCGCATCTGTCTACCTTTGCTTTCTTAGCCTCTCCACACAGGGGAACCCCGATCTTAATCGCTTCGGCGGCTCAGCCATCTCCACACATCCCTCCTGGTCTCTCCGCTTTTAGTTTGACTCTTTGGTCACTCAGTTGTCTCGAGATAGTCCAAGCTTCTGGCATTTGTCTGGCGTTTTCTTTCTTTCTGTGACATGACCATCACCATCTCTCGTTCACTTCCTAGTTAGGCATCTGTTGACTGTTCTCAACATTCTCTCACCGACAATGAATCTCGCTCATACATGACTCTCCTGCTCCTTGCTTGGGCAAAGGACATGCCCATACATAATCCTGGTGGATATCATTCCATCCCTCCCGTCTTTACTCTCATATCCTGGCAATTAACCCTGCTATGGTTCCGTCTTGCTGGAACCGCTCTGCTTTGGTGGACCATAACTCCATGTCGAGCGAGGATTGCTGTGCCGACGTTGATTCCCAACCCGCATGAGGCTTGCCCGTCTTCCATCCTTCGTTACTTTCGCCTCAACTAGTCTAGTGTCATCAAACAAAAAAGTAGAGTTTACGCCCGGCGGTCATTACCGGGCATCATCTTAGCTGGCCGACTTATACATAGTCGAAGCAGCGTCCTGCCCATCAGTTCTTGTTATTCACAAGTCCGAAACGATTTCTCCTTGCCAACATATTCTTTGGCCCATCTGCTCGGAGCCTGGCATCTTACCATGCTATCTATTACCGAGCTACTGGTTCCCGCACCCTCCATCACGCTATCGTACTCTGTACCACCAGCTCGGCCCTGCCTTTCACCCAGGTCATCGGAATCTTCTTATTGCATGGACACTTCGCACAAGGCTCCGACTTTGCCAGTTCTATCTTTGAATCGCCTTAGCTCGGAACTTCTGGCTCTTGTGTTCGAACAGGTATATCACACACTACAAACAATTTTACCAGAAGTATCTAATACTAAAAGCTACTTTTTAGCTTCGTGAAATAGACTCACCAACACTCACGTCTGTGCGTCTAGTCTCTAAGAGGTTCGATGCCATAGCTACACCGATCGCCTACCGATTCCTGACCTTGAACGAATCTCTCGTCGCACCAGATGCTGAACAACGCTATCCTAATGTCTCTCGGCACATCTCGCATCTCACAAATCATGTCACAATACGAAGCAACTTGGATCCCACAAGAATTACCGAAATATTATCTTGTATCGAGCGATTAAAGTCGGTTCGGTACTGGCACCCATCCTCGATTTCCTCGTTCTCTTGCTGATAGGTTCGACAACAGATGGCAATACATAGATGGCGACATTCCTGCAGAGGGTCTGTGGTCACCTTCGGAGCTCCGTCGCCTGCATAATTGCAACTCGAATAGCACCCAACTATACATCGAGGACCTCCCCCTGCGACGAGACTACAATGGCAATCCGTTGGACACTTTTACGAGATCGATTCCCTCAGAGCTGTTGGCGTCATTGAAGCTTGCCAATCCGATGCCGGTCCTGTCAACGAGGCTCAACTCGTTAAAGCAGCTTCTGGTCCAATCTCGACAGCTAAAAGCACTACGCTATGAAGATCGAGGTCAAGGCACGTGCTTCAAGTTCTCTCCTGGAGAACGAATGCCACCCATCGTCGACTTGATGCTACGGTCATACGACTGGAGCCATACAGCTGAGGATGTTCAGAAACATTGGGATTTCTCCAAAATACAGTCGCTCGAGTTGATTTCTGTGCCCATCTTCAACTTTCTTCGCTCAGTGCCTTTCCGAGACTTCTCCGCGTTGCATACACTCCATGTGGAAGACTACAGTGCCCATCTGTCTGACAAGAGAGAAGATGCCACCATTGGGTTGAACTTGTTGGTGAAAGATCATATTGAGGCACTCGAGGTCTTGAACATCACTTGCCATACCCGATTGTTCCAGCTTGAATCTATTGCAGCACATCGAAAGTCGCTACAGGTGCTACGACTGAGGGACCACGTTGGGTTCTCAGAAGATGACCAGAAATGCCCAACCCTGGCACCCGTTGATTTAGCTCAATTGGGTCAACGGTTGAAGTTTGTTCACACTCTTGAACTTGACCTAGACACCAGACTATGCGATCCTACTACCTTTCTCAGGGCAATATGTGTCTTCCCAGCTGTGCACACGCTGACCTTACACGTCCAGACCATAATCCACCCTCTAGAACAGGTATCTCCAGGAATCGACCGTGATCGAGAGGCTGCGATGCAAACCTTCAAACTACTTGTGCAGGAGAAGGAGAGACTCAGCTCACATACGCCTTGGAAGCGTATCGTGCTCAATGTCGGAGGTTGGAAGCGAGTCATGGTGCGACGGCTGGGTGATGTATGGCGAAGAAGGAACGAGATGGGCATTTACGCGGAAAGATGCTTTGTCTATGAACGAGATGCCCGCGACGAAAATGTCACAGTACGCGAAGAGGTCTGCGTTGAGAACACAAGTCGGGGAGGAAGCCCAAGCCCTTGATGGTATCACCATGACGACAGCGAAACTACCCATCGATGCTCTCACCGAAACGCCATCCACGTTGCAACGCCTCGCTACCAGTTACATATACACATGCACATCGGCAAGGACATTATATTAGAAGAAGCATCACATCAACATGCGTCTATTGGGCCAGACGCCCGGAAATATAACGAAGAAACGACTTGATGAGCATAACACATAAACATAATATACTTATTACATATTTCGCCCATATTTCGAGTTTCACTCCCCAACCCGTGTCATATTCTCTATCATTCGAGTCTACACGCTTTACGCTACCTCAATGGCAACCAGCCTTTGCCTGACGCCACTGAAACTGACGTATAAATCTCAATAATATCCCCAAGTTCCTCTCTGAGCACGCAACAGATCATACAGACACTCTGGTGGTCAGAGTCCATGTGTCACTTATCAATGTTCTCTCTCGCATCCTCAGATATGTGTCCTACTGCCTGCCCTCAAGCAGCATGGGCATCTATCGCCCAGTAATCTGAGACGCTCTGAGTTGCAAGCAGAGGTCACAAGTTTATCGTGCATCGAGGGCTGCCACTTTATTCTGCTCCTCCAGTACCACCGCCTCAAACAGTGTTTCAAGCAGAGGACTTAAGCCAGCCTTGAGGACATGATAGCTCAAATGATGGTCAAACAAGACTCAAATAACATGTTAATTGAGCTCCGACCTGTCGAGAGACCTTCATTTAGTGAGGTCCGAATTCAGCACAGAGCCCTTTCCTTCTTTAGCGCCAGCTACCATCTGTCATCTGTAATATTGTCTTACTAGCTCATGGCCAGCGTTTACGCGGCATTAAGCATGATACCAATATATACAGTTATCTGTAACATACAATGAAACAGGCCAATGTTTCGTGATGTATACACTCGATTTTATTTCTCGAAAGACATCTTTCTTGTGTTTACTTACCCCCAGAGACAGTCGATACCTTTTCAATCCTTAGACCCCTCTGGGCATCTTTCACCATTCAGCAGGCGTCGAACGTAACCGCGAGCGAAGAGACAGGTACCGGAGTACCATTCACCCGGAGGTCGTTCAGGGAAAGAGGCTTCACTTTCAGCTGCGATGGCCCACCGAGTTCAAAGCATGTCAGCGGCCCCTCAGCACACCAGACTATTATATCCCTTGCAGTGTTCGCACAGCAAATGTCACGCATCCAAAAGATAAGAAACCTTCGTCACTAGTCACGAGATCGTGTCAGATAGTTACAGCGGGCTGTGTAGTCTTCAACTGAAGTTCATCGGCTCCCTTTCGCACTATCGATTCGATCTTGTCATCGATGCTTCATGACTGGATAACCAATACTTGCCTATCTTAGATAGAGTATATTACATTGTCGGGAACGTCGCGAATCTCCATCTCGGTCGAGACCTTCACGGGAGAGTTGACCAAGCTATTCATGAGCGACACGCCACCGGTATGCCCATGAATCGGGATATCCGACAGACTTAAATAGATCAAGAGGCTATCACTAGGTTACTGATGAGCTAATGACTCACTACAAGCCTTATGGTCTGTATGGGAGTCTGTTCTCTTGACTCGTTTCTATTTTGAGGGTCTCGTCGGGCCCATCGTATCCAGCCCAGCCACGGGGAGGCTAAACGGCCAAACCCGAAGCCAGAGCGATAATCACTTTAGCTTGCATTGATGCGGGAACTTGAAGGACGCGCCCAATAGGTTCATCCACCTTGGGTCTCGATCTTGACAACAGTGGAATCGCAACACCAAGCCCATAGACGGTTTCTCTAGAGCCAAAGTTAAGTGCACCCTTGCTTCATCCCATCTTGCATGACGCCCTAAAAGCCACCCCTGTCATATGTTGGTTCCATCCCTTCTTTACCCGCGCGGGCCTTCCCGTCCCTTCTCTTCAGCCAACAAACCCCATCATGACATGTCGTGATACCTCATGGGTCCAGATACCAAGATCCCTCAACTTTGCCTAGCCACCAAACTCGTAAAAAGAAGACGGACTCTGGCCGGTTTCTCATTGAAGTGAAAGGCGCCAGGCGTCTTCTTTTCCCCTCACACAGTGTGGAGCGTGCTGTTGTGTCTCCGGGTCTCCGGCCCGGCCGCATTAGTCCTCTTAAGGCGACGAGTGTCGCCCAAGCGAGACGTACGAAAGTGGAAACCAGAATAGCTGTAGACATGGGCAATGAATCGAGAGAAAGGTGAGCTCCAAGGTTCAGTATCAGCAACCGATGCGCTGGGCCGGTGAAAACAAGTTAAAGGGCACCAAATGGTTGATCTGAGGCCCTATAGGGAATTTGGCCGACGGGCGGGGAGCAAGGAACGAGTCAGAAGAATCAAACAAAGATATAGAGGCTTTTGGTCGACAAAAGCTTGTCGACGATGATAAACAGTAGAGTGTCCAACGAAGGGGGCCATATAACAATCAGCTTTGCTGAAGGTGCCTGTAGGTTGCTTGTCTCGATCAGAGTTCGCATATTGCATAGCGACAGCCAGTATTAAAAGTCCATTGATGAAGCATATTAGCCGTGATAGCACTGCTAACAAGAAAGGCCAGCTGCAAGTATGGGGTCCGTGCTTATCAAAGTACTGTTGCATGGCTTGCATCAACAGTGAAACCATCGAGAGTTTTCAGACCATCTTGCCCTTGACCAGCTTCAACTACGAACATATGCAGCAGCAGCTTGGTAATGTCCAGTAGTCTCTGCAAGGCATGATCTCCTGGAGCTGATGGCAGGGTGCAACTCAGGACTTTTGTCTGCAAGCATATTATGCCTAAACCAGACCAAGACAGCGAGCCGACAACCACGACCAATTCAACACTTGTTGACTTCTCTTTCAAGTCGTGTAAATACAGATAGTAGGAGATTATTCGGAATAACCAAAATGTAGTGGCTCTTCATGCATTGCTCAATGCAGGGGAACGCCAACCAAAGTCTGGTACTGGTTACAGATTATAGCCCCTGGTCTTTCCAGCTAATATCCGACTGGAAATAACACGAGCTACAACCCAGCAAGGACAACATAACTAGGCGGCATTGCATTTCTCAGGTCGTGGCTGGAACACTGTTTCTTTCGTCCCCTTTATTCTATTGTATAATCGTTCGCCGCCGAGTCGGTCTCTCGGATCGAATCTGGGTTTGGTTTATCAAACAGTCGAATAGCCTGACTGCCAAAGCCAAGACTGTCTGGCCCCGTTAACAAGTCAAGCAGAAGTGAGCTGCCCGCTGGTTATAGATCGGCCCATTCTTCGAGGAAGGACTTGGACTTGGTGTCTCCTATCGTTACTGTACGAGGATGGAGTTCTGGTCAGCAGAAGTCTGAAAGATGGTAGCAATGGAAACCAAATGGTTCTTGTTTCGATGTCCAGTTTGGACTTGATCATCGTCGCCGAATGGCCACGCCTGATCAAGCACTTGTATCGCATCTTCTCGAGGCGACTTGTCATATTTTGACCAAGCTGACAACAAAGTGTCAACTTGCTGATTCGTGCTCCGAGACAAAGGAAGTCCTAGGTTGGCGGTTCCAGGCGCAAACACTCTTGCCTTGATTCCCAAGCTGGAAGAACCAAGTAGGTCACGCGGAGATCCAGGAAAGTCCTCTCCTCTCCCTCGTCTCGGTCCTCTTGCCTGAGAAGACCCTTCCCGGTTCCAGACAGTTGGATATCCATAAGCGTCAAGACCAGCCCGTGGCGTCAGAGTGGTTCCAGACGAAGCAGAATCCAACGTCCGGGCGCGGGCCTTGGATCCCTTTACCGCCCCTTCATCTCCACAACATCTCTGCTGATATGATCCTTCGTCGTCCGGATATAGAAAGAAGAGGGCCCCTGTTCGTCTCGTGATGGAAGACGGCATCGCCGGAGTTGCTGATAGGGCGAGTATTCGGTGGTGATGATGGAAACAGAAATCAATGGCCCAGAACGGAGTTTGCCGTGGGGTTCATCTTCCAGCTACACTTGTGCTGCTGTTTGCCTCTTCCAAGTTTGCAAAGATAACAGAAGCAGTAGAGTTCGATCCTTCCCGTTGTGATATGGAACCGTCCGTTATCCCGTGACGTCCCGTTGTCCGGAAGCGGGAAGTCAAGATCGGTAAACTCCTTCCCCTCTCCATCGCCATCGCCATCACCATCGCCGAACTCAGAAGGCAGGCAGCCAGGCAGAGTCACGACTACCTACGATGTCGGGGGGTTCTTCAGCTCCCGCCCCGTTTGGGTCGCCGTGGCCGTTCACGGAACCTCCGAAGCCATTCCCGTGCGCATCCGGATCCTTTCGTTCTCGGTCTCGGTTTGGAAAGAAAAGAAAAAGAAAAGGACGTCATTTGCATTCCAGTGCCTCTCGACCGCTCTTTACGAAGATTCGTTTTCGGCCAGATCTCGTCCTCCACGTAGTACAGAAACGTCCGCATGCGCCTCGTTCTCTCTCCGCCCCCGGGTCCCGACGAGCTGGGAGGAATACGCGAGCTGGGAGGCGATCCGGGTTTCCTGGTTCGCGGGGGGGGGGCCAAAGTTGCAGTGTGGGCAGCTGAAAATGCAGAGTTTTTTACTCTTCTGCTTTAACTCTATGCGTGGAAGAAGCTTAAACCGAGTTTGGTTTTCCCAGTCCAGAGTGTCGGGTATGGGCGTGTACGAAGTAGAGTTGTTGATCAGCTTTCGTTGGTGGTGACGAGGCAAAAACACCAAAGGGAGGTTATCGTCAGGCAGAGCCGCAACTGGCAAATTCCGCCTGCTGTAGCTGTAGCTCCGAGGTAGTATTTCCATACCTTACCCAGCTGAAAGCCACTTCTCTGAGAGACAAGAGATATTACCATGTCTCTTGATGTGCATTCCTGTTGCTGTAGACAACCCTGCAACATCTTCATCACGATCTTGTCCCGAGTGCCTGATGATCAAAGTAGATTGATGTCTGAGACATGATACTCGTACTGCGACCAAATGCATTTCTTGATCTCCCTCCATTCTTCAATGTCTCAAAGAATCGTCTCGTTCCGTCGGGACGGTCCATGGCGGTTTTGATCCACCGCAATCTCGTGGTTTGGCATGTACAGATAGCTTCATCTCTTGAACCCCCTTTTTTATGTCTCTGATTGTGTTTTTCGAGGCCACCCGCATTCCTTTGCGTGCATGCATTTCAAGAATGGATGTTTGTTTTTACATTGGCATTTCAGCGACATACCTGTTGCTTTCTACTGCATCAGTTCATGATGGATTACGGAGATTTAGTTCATGTCTGAGTCAAATGCCGCACAATCTGCCTGCCCTTTTGATTATCACAATCCTTTCGCTGTAGACAAACAGACCCATCATTGACTCTGAAACTTCGACACGACTTGAGACACAGAAACCTTATCAACATCAACTCGGCGAATACTTTTTTCAAGGCGGCATTCCCCAGCTTTTAGGGGAGTTTCTTTAGGGTGCCATAAACCCTATGACGGCAAACTCTACAGAAATAGCCTCATCAATCACGGTTTGACAGCAGCAGGCAACGTCTGGTCTGCCTTATCACAACAACTTGATCACATAACAGTCAGTAGACATAAACCTTGCCGTGTCAGAACTCGTGTCTCGGTGGCAATGGGTAGTCCAAGTCAAGTCGAGTCGAGTCAAGCCCAAGTCAGCTCAGCAAGGATTTACAGCACCAGCATCAGCACCAGCATCAGCATCAGCTCTAGACTCTCTTCCTGCTTGATCTTTACTGTTTGAATTACCAATATCTTGCCTCCCCGCTTTCTATGTTTTATTAGTCTCTCGCAGTCACAATCACAATCACAATCATATCACCAACGGCTTGCGAGGCTTCTCTTCTTCGAGACTAAGACAGACAATGACTTACACGCCCCCCTTTTTGGTACATACATCTACAGTCTACGGCTATTCCCTTGGCCGAACTCGCTTGACTCATTTCCACTTTTGCTCCCTTCTTTCCCAGCTCCTACGTACGTCCACGTCCAGTCAGTCTTTTCTTTGGGACTACGCCTAAGGGTCAAGCACAGTCCAAGCAAAACCTTGCCGCCTCATCAGATCACCGCTTCTCAGTCTGTCATTCAGTCAGTCACTCACTCACACGCCCCTCGAGTTTGTCCCCCTCTTGATCGCGGTGTCGGTCAATGGCCCCCCCTCCCCCTTGCTTAGCTACAGTGTCTATTCTATCCCCTATTCATGTCCAGATCCAGATCCTGATCCGTCCGTATCCCTAACCGTATGCATGCTCTTTCGGCAAGCCCTGCCCTGGCCCTAATCCCCTGCCGTTGGAGAGCATTTCCAGTAAGTGCCTACTTAGGCAGAGAACGTTGCGAACCGGGTCCCTGGAATTGTGATGCACCACGGCAGAAGGGATGTCATTACTACCCCTGGCTCTACCCACTGTAATATCAATCTTTCAATATTAGAGAAAGGCGAAAATGCCGCGTTTATTCAGCAAGACTGCGAACACCATGTCATCTGTATCGATTTATGGGAATCATCAATTTGGTCGACAAGATGAATGTTTCGTTTTATTCTTAGACGCGTTTGAGCTTAGACTTTTCAATATCAAGTAGAGTGACGTAGATTAGTAGTCCACCGCTCGGACCATTGTAAACCAGTGTCACGGCTATAATCGTCCGCTAATCTATCGAGTTTACGGCTCGTACCTGAGGCGAGAGTCTGATCTCGTCTCGTCTCGTGGCTCTTAGTCCCTCTGTAGACTCGTAGAGTGCCTGGTGGTGCAGGGACAGGCTCTGGTTGCTAGCAGAACAGTTACATCACCAACAAATAAAACTTCAGAGCTCAGACCAACAAATCAATTACAGGATCCAGCCAAGAATCTACTGCAATTGCCCATGTCTTGCTGACCACATCAGCCAAAGGTCATGTGCTCTTCCCGCCCTCACAGGTAGTGAACTGAGAGTGCTCAGACCAACATTCCATATGGAAGCCCTTATTTTTCAAACACAAGAAAAAGGATTGACAGGGGATGTCCTGGTCGAGAGGGTATGGGGCGGTGGGAATAGTCCGATGGAGGGAGGGGGGAAATAGGTAGTGTCTCTCAATATTTCTCGCCCTCCTCCTCCCCCCCCTTGACAAGGCACACATACGCTCACGCACAATCAGCTACTAATGAGACATTGCACGCCCTTGAACTTGACTTGAATTGGGTGATCAACACTAAAGTCAACGGTTTGATAGACAGCCGCAAAAAGCCTCCTCTCTAGTCTCTGCACTTAGCCTGCCGTAAGGTAGCTTCTTCTCCAGAAACTACTGTAACTAATCCATTACCCGTTGCATCTCAGCCAGCCATGGTCAGTCCACTACTGCACTGGACCACACTGTACTGTTGGTATGCATGCATGTATGCCGCAAGGCTGCATTTCAAGATGCAATTCATGACTGAGCCTGGTCTCTTACTCTTATTGTCTAGATAGCGGTCAATATCATCTCTAACCATGTGGATCGACTCTGTGTTTGTCTCTTCTCTCTGCTCTCTCTGTCTGCCTGCCCTGCCCTGCCCTACCTACCCCTCTCTGGGCATCCTCCAGTCTCTCGCCTACATCTTCTATCTCTTATCCCACCGCTCTTCCTAAACCAGACCAAGATAGCTAGACTGCTGATGGTCTGTCTCCATAACAAACAAAGAGCCGCCTGTGCAGTCCGCCCCCCCGCCATGCCATCCCTCCCATCCCATCCCATCCCCTTCCCTCTTCTTCTCTTCCCTTAAGCAATCGTCAATCGGCCAAAGTTAAACGCCGTTTCTGTCCCTTGGGCGAGCCTGGCCTCTGTCCAACTGTGCTGTGCTGCCCCTACAGTCCCCAAAACCTTACTACTGTAAACGCCTTTCCCGCTTCCGTCCCCCAAACCTCTCAGGTACATACAGTCTAACTGAATGAATGCCCATGTCGTACGCACGTATATCATCATCAAATTCAAATTGTTCTGCCTTACTGTGCCTACTCCCTCCCACTGAATACCCTTGTAAATCTCAACGGCATCTGCCGCGAATCCGCCGGGAGTCTTCGGGTGACACTCGATGACCTCGCATCCGTTGCTTGCCCACTCCCCTAACAAGACCGTTGTGTTCAGTTCATACTGTAGAAGCCCTCTCGCAGAGGCCTGTTCCCTGATCCCTAGCCTGCCTCTTTAGCTCAGTGTAGTACAGTGGTAATCAACCACTGATTCCAGACTCCGTCCCCCAGTTGGTAAATCCATGGGCTAGGTGCCTAGTAAGTATAGGTTGGTGATTTTAGTACATCGCATAAACCCATTCAGTACGGTCAGTGCCAACTCCAAGGCCATCTGCTGGTAGGTCCTTTGAATCTAGAGCCACTCATTGGCTCGTTTGCCCTTCTCCGCCGGGACTTGCGCCTGTAACAAACTAATCATTAGCTGGGCACAGCGGAAGCAAGAGCCTAACCACCGAGTCCCAGTCCAGAGAGAGAGAGAGAGAGAGATGGGCTCGACGAGACGGGATGGGATGGGACTATACAGGCACGCAGATGTCTTCTCAACATAAAGTGCCCTTCAATTGACAAACCATATCACATCACGTACACGTCTTGATCAAATTCACAACAATAATTCTGTTTATACATGGTCATCACCCTATTGGATTTGACCATCGCGATCAGTACTCAAGTACGTAGGCAAAAAAATAACAAAAGTGAAAGGAATCTTCAGAATCAACCCCGCATCCTTTGCTATCATCCTCCTCTCGAAGCCCTGAGCTCGCTCACTCTGTTTTGCTTGTCATCTTCTCGTCCAGTACCTTTTGCTAGGACCTGGCTTTTCTCTTTCCTCCAGTCTCCAGAACACCCTTAAACGTCACCCGAGACCATATCGCTACGGCTCTCATTCTCTCTACCCAAATGGCAACAATAGCCGAAGAGACAACATAAACAACTCAAATGTACAAACGTGACAAAGCATCAACATAAACAAAACAAACCCGTATGGTGCCGTGAGGCTATCCGTCTTTCCTGGAAACACATAGTGGCCGACCGATTAAAAATAATACAACGACTTCGCAGTGGTTGCTTTTCGGGCAAAATCCTTCCCCCTCCGAGAAACGAACAGTCTGTCAAGGACAATTCACATAAAATCAAGTGCCGCATAACAAAAGGTCCAATAAACCATGAGAACCGAACGGAGGGGTTGTTTGTCGCCAAACTCGCGTCTTTTTCTAGATCCTGACATCTTGTCCTGTATTTGTTATCGCGATCCCCCCCGCTCGCTGTTTTTCCTTTTCCTCCTCAGTTGAGCCACGCTCCTGTCACTTCCCGGTCAACGAAAATGTAGGCGTGTAATCGATTCGGAAAGGGTATTAGAAACAATGCATTCGTCATCAACTTGTCGGCAGCCTTCCAGCGGAAACCAACAGACTCTTCGGCAAGCGTTGTCATATGTAATTCCGACCCTCTCCGTTGACGTGTCCGGCAGCGTCAACTCTCACCCTGCAATCTCCTTAGCGGCTGACATCTCGTCGTGCGCCAGGCTGACCAGGTGCAGGTCGGTTGAGCCTGTCAATCATAGTCTTGTCGATATCGCTTTTATCTACCAAATTGCTCAGACTCATGATCGATGCATTTCCTCCTTGGGACTGCTGTCCCTGTCTCGCAGGGGTGGACGCACCACTTGACCCATTTTGGCCTGTCGGGGAACGACCGCCGGGTGCAGAAGCTGCATAACTACCAGTTGTTGCAGCTTGAGGCAAACTGCCGCTCGTTGGGTTTCGTGGGCTCTGTCTTGCACCTTGATACGGAGGGTACCCCACTCCACCTGGGCTGCTGTGGTTTGAAAATTCTGCTGGAGACCTTCTGCGCGGGTCTTCATCCACGGCACTTCGTGGAGGAGGCAGTCTATAGCCTTCATCCTGTTCTTCTGACGTCCTGCGACGTCGTCGCCCTGCAAGCTGGCTGCCGTCATCGGTTCTCGCTTCGCCATAAGACGAAAAGGATTCTGTGGGTGACTGGACAGGCGCGTAGTAGTTCCCAGGAGGGGGAGGGGCACTAGAATGCTGATAAGCAGCATGGGGTGGTGGAGGTGCTGGGACTGTGCCTGGTGCCAGTGGTTGCCCATAGGCACCGAAGAGTTGAGTGCCCGGAGGTACACCTCCTGGGAGCGCTGACACGGGGATAAAAGCTGTCGAGCTTGAAGAAGATACGGGCTGAAAGATACATTCTTGGTTCATACGGGCGCAGTTCTGGCATTTGCCACCGGGGGCGCTCTGGTAGCCGCTGCAGCGGATCTATAGATAGTCAGCATTTTTGAGCGAGAATGGAACAACCCTTAAACATCGCGTCAGTCACAAACCTTTCTCTTCCGGCAATATCTGCAAGCAATTGATGTTCGTTGTCGCGGGGCTGCCTGTGTCAGAGGAGGCGCACTGCCATGTCCGACTGGGGGGTATTCATAAACGCCGGCAGGAATATGACGGTAGCCTGGGTGGCCATTTGGCGGTGGAGGTCCTGGAGGAGGAGGTTGTCCGCGATAGTAGGCATAGTAGGGATCCGTGCTATACGCCTCTTGCCCGTATGGTGGACGGCGGTCATCGTAGTAACCACCTCGTTGGTCCGGCGGCGGAGGAGGATAGGCCGAAGATCGGGGATCAGATTGCGGCTGCAAAGGCGGAAGGTACTGTTGAGGTTGACCGGGCGGAGGCTGGTGGCCGGGAGGAGGGTAGCCATTGACGGCATTGGGAGATGCGTATCGCGGGTCGGCAGGATAGCCACGTCCCGGAGCTGCAGGCGGCGGGCCGTAGCCGCGGGAGTCGTGTATGGAGGGCAAAGTAACTGATGTAGCCATGCTGGATGGAGGAGCGTCGGAGGGCCGCTGGGCGGTATCCGGCGGAGGGGGATAATGTGACTGGGGTCGAGAGTGAGTGTCTTCTGGGCGGCTCTGCTGGGGATACTCTTTTCGGTAGCTGTCGTCGGCCATGCTATGTTGAGGCGCAAAGGGCCGCAGACGGGCAGATGCGGTCAGCGACGATAATACCAAATGCGTGCAGTTGAATGGGTTGAGGGACGTTTCTGCAACTGAGCATTTGGCGGTGGAAATAATCCAGGACCAAGTCGAAGTGGAGGGAAAGGGAAATGGTCAAATAATCTAAACCGAGTCGTCGAGATCCTGGTCTGTCTTTCAATTCTCTTGAGCTGTCGCGCGTGTCTTGTGCCTACTGTATTGTAGGTCGACGGGATGACCGATTGCTGCGAGTCAAGAATGGGTGAGTGAGTGTATGTCTCGGCGGGAGATGACAGCAAATTCCACGAGGTCTTGGAACCGCAATCCTAAGCCTGGCCTGACAGAGGTTCTGGTTCCTGAGAGGCGGAGGAGGGTGAAAATGGTCTCTGACGTGGGCGGGACAGGCCGACAATTATAGCGAGGGAGGGAATGGGATGGGAGGAACCTCCGATCCAATCTGATCCACGTCGACGGTGTACGTGCGTGCGTGCGGTGCAGTGCGTGGGAGGAACCAGGAACCACCCAACCGTAAATGGAGCCTGGGGTTTTTGGGGATTGTGGATTGTGGATTTGCTTTGCGAAGACTGGGATTTGAGACTTGAGACTTGGTACTGGGGGTGAGGGAAGAAAAAAATAAATAAAAGAGGGGACACTTTTAGGCCCTTTTTGCCCTTCCTTTCCCTTTTTCTTAGGGGTGCGGAAATAGTCAGGTGAGAGACAAAATATGTACTGTCTCCCTCCTACTGCTGCTGCTGTCTGTCTCGCTGTGCTTGTCTGCAAGAGGAGATATCCTCCCAAAGAAGCGTTTGTTGATCGACGTGAGATTGAGATATGTCTGACACCCCGAATAGAAACGGGAAGAGAGTGGTTTGTTCTCGTTCGTGAGCGTCCTTCTTTTTTCTTTTTCTTTTCCTTTTTTTTTTTTTTTTTTTTTTTTTTTTTTTTTTTTTTTTTTTTTTTTTTTTTTTTTTGTAAATTTGTTTCTTTTTCCTTCACGGGTGACAACAGTGCATGTACAAACGAGGTGCCATCCCCTGGACCAAGGTCAAACAGGAATAAGATTCCAGCTTTAATATGGTGTTTTGATTGCACTTGATGGGAATGCTGATGGAGAAGAGGAGGTTGCGAGTGGAGAGTTGAAGGACTGAGAGATATGTATGATGGAGAAGTAAGAAGGGGAGGTGAGGGAGAGTTGGGCCAGTGTTAAGGTGAAGTGAGGGTAAGGTAAATTCAGGGCAGGTGCTACCACGTCAAGCTCCAGGTATCTCCTGTCCCTACTGTTCCTCTCAGAAGGTGCCCTCACCCCATGCAATTGCGGCGACAGGGAAGTGGGGAGCTAATGGCAGGGGATGAGAGGGTGTGAGTCTAACGAAAGCGACCAAGAAAGGGTTTGTGCGAGGGGCCAGGCGCAGGTGCAGGTGCAGCGTGGTGTAGTGTCGTGTAGTGTAGTGCGCAGTGTAGTGTTAGGTAGTGCGTGCACTGCAGGTAAGGTGCAGTAGTAGCAGGAAGGAAGGGGGGTTTTAGGGTGAGATGCTGTGGATTGACCGACTGAATTGACTGTGGACTGGACGGACTGGCTGGCCTGGGCTGGCTGGCAGGCAGGACAGTGGAGGCAAGTGGCGGAAGGCCAGGGCGGGAGTAAGTTAATGGGACGGATGGGCCGGTGTCGTGCCGTTCCCAGGGAACCGGCCCCAGCTAGTGGAGGTAAGTTAGCAGGGCACCTCATGGACCAAAAACCAAAAAACCACTTTAGGGACAGCTCCCGTCTTCGGGGTACTGTAGTGCACTGTATCTAGGGTATGTACTAACGCAGGCAAGCCCCTAAGACCTGGCACCTAAGGTACCGTACCCGCTGCAGCCCAGCCCAGCCCGGGCAGCCTGCCCTTGTACTCTGATTTAAGCCCCGGCAGGCACTGTACTGGACCCAGGAGCCCGGCTGCCAGGCGAGTTCGACTAAAATATTACTTGGGTTAGTCTGGAAGCAAACCTACGAGTACAGGCAAAATGAGATTCATTCACGATCATGATCTAAGCCAAGTCTCCATACAATACAGTAACGTACAGTACAGACGGTAAACCGCCTAACACAACCTAATTTGCGCAAGCGCCTATTCTGATACAAGCTACCGATCTTTCAATGGGAGACTATATTTGACAAGCTTCCAAAGAGGCAGGCAATAAAGACTACATGTAAAGGAATCAAAGCATAGAACCGGGTCCAGGGCGTTTCTGGCGTCAGAGTCGAGGGCTAGAAGCCAGCCCGCCTCGGGAGTTGAAAAGACCAGCTGAGCACGTACCAGAATGAGAATAACAATAACAGAGTGGACTGCCTTTGGGTATCACTGATGGGTACAGTAACTACCTAGTACCTAGAATTAGTTGGAAAATCAGGAAGCCTGAGATCCTCGAGCAAGTTGAGGTTAGGTAGCCAAGTGAAGGAATGGCAAGGCTACACCAGGCTACCTATATCAATGACACCACATGGGTATTGTTTGGCCACTATTTCGGTCATCGGCGCCTCGAGGACCGGACCGTAAGCGATTGGCTCAGCATGTATCGCAACGTAGCACATTGCATCGTCTTTGTTCTTTTGGACCAGGGCCCCAATTCGAGCCGATGACGTGACACAATAGAAGATTGCTTCCTCTTTGATATGCAACCTTGATTCAATAAGAGACAAACAAGAAAGAGGCTTTCTGTAGGGAGCTGGAGATCCTTCGAGGTGCGCAAGACTATTGCCTCCAGGCACTGTCGTGCCGAGACTTTCAAGCGGTCAAAGGGCGGAAGAGCAAGGCAGCGGATAGCACTTATCAATAAGGGTAATTGCGTAGATTAAATAAGTCTCAGGTCAATATTAACTCAAAGCAAATGTCAATAAGCGAGGGGCAAGAGAAATATGCTTGGACATTGGGCTCTTCTCCCGACTGGAATGTCCGCTGACAACCACATCTCAACGGGCACGGCGCCTCCCTCTCTCGCGTGTCTTGTCTCTGGGCATTCGCTGATGGGCTTACCGAGACCATTAGACTATGTTCGTCAATCAGATTGATCATGTCTTGGCTCAACGGTCCACGTCCGTCGCTGTCGACTGGCTCTTCTTGCCTGTCCAAGCTTATCATATTTGTGTTGCTCCTTTCCCTCGGTCCATTCTATGTACCATCTCATTCAAGGTCTGGATGAGGACATACCATATGGGAGATGACACAGTCAGACACAAGTCCTTGGCATAAACCCATCCAGACTGAATGCGGACTTACCAGTCAGTACAGATCCAAAAATGGCACACCGCACAAGCGCGGCATTTCAAGGTTTAATTCCCGTAGTTGTAAAGGCCATAATGCCACAAGGTTCGTTCAGCGCCCGTCGTTTGCCGCCTCAATTAGCAACAGTCACGAGGCCATAGCTCTGGTGTGGTGCTTTTCGAAAGATGGGAGACACAACCCAGATATGGATGCAAATCCAGTGAGGACATGATTGAATATACCTTATATGAGAACAACGTGCCAGCAATATATCAAGATCATTCTCGCCTCTCGCGCAAAGCCAGAGCAACATTTTGATCGACGTCCAAGTAAAAAGATTTCTAGGTATGACCATACAGCAGTAAAAGATTTTGCATTGGTGAGGGGCTCTTTAGTGTCGTGGTTTGACATGTTGCTGTTGTTGCCAATCTTGTGGGTGCTCATCCATCCCAGCGGTTTGGAAAGGGTTCAGCAAATCAAGGCTGAGGCATGACCGGGGAACAGAGCATAGGGCGCAGCAGCACAAGACGTCACAGGACATAAAATGTTGGATCTTTCTGAACGTGTGTACAGATGCACCAACAGCATGTGGGTAGTATGTACGAATACCGCATTCTCTGTGTATTGTCTGGCGTCAAATCAACCAGACCACATACGCTCGACACCATCTCGCCCTTCAATCCTGACTTGGCTGTAGCATAATTGCTGGTACCTTACAGCAGTCGAGGGGTAAGTTGAACAGCCGAGGCGGCGACACAAGGGGTAGTGGATCCATCCATTCTGACCAAGGAGATGCCGGGCGAGCCCAGTTGGTGTTTGATTCCATTCAGAGCATGGCTCCAAGCGTCTCTCAGCCGCATAGATGCATCCCGCATCCCACAATAGATGACAGATGCGAGTGACCAGTAGACCAACTACTCTGTTTTATGGCTGGACAAACGCCGGATCCGCCTACAAAGCAAGCTCAAGTCTTGCAAATTAGCTGGCGAAACAAAAGATGTTTCTCCCCGAGTGTGCGTACGTGCGCCGGCAAGCATCTTTGTGGATCACTCTCTAACCAGGAAAGACAAAAAATGAGAGCTTTGCACACACAAAAAAAAGGGAAAAGTGTGGTTGAAAAGCTCGTGAAGGCCCGTTTGTGAGAGTCGTGGTTGATAGACGTACGTAAGAGTTGGGCAGGTGGGCATTGATAGCCTGGATATGGCCGAACCTATCAGAGGCAAGATGCGCCCGGAGCTCAGACAGCGACTTGCTAGATGTGGCATCAGCCTGGGTTAGGTAGAGACATCGTATCCAACCAAGTCAAAGGACATGAATGAAGCAAATCCGAGAGACTCTGTGATGCTTCCCATACCTGGAGACACACATAATAACATACATACATCATGATGGCTATCCGCTGAGTTGAGTTAGTATCCGGGAAAATTATCCAATCATCAATCAGTGTAACGCTACTGGGGTTATCGTCCCTCTTGTTAGAAACAAGGACAGAACAATCTGTAGATGCTCGCAGGGCGTTGCACTGCGCGGGCGAATGGTTTGGGGTTTCTAGAGCCCCGAACCTTGGGCCGCTGCGTGTTCTGGGGTTCTGCGCTTGTTCCCGACGGCGGGTTGCAGAGGCGGCCGCAGGATGCATTTGTGAATGTGTGCCAGATGTTCTGGGTGCCGTGCGTAGCCTCTCAGAGGGGTAGGTCTATGAAAGATGATGATGAAGATGCTGGCAGTTTGAGCATGAGTGTGAAAACGACCCTGACCCTGGTCACAGTCGTGGGACCTGGCTGCTGGACTCGCTTGGTGGACCTCGGTGCGGCGGATTCGAGCCTTGGACAACGATAGTGGAAATGGCCGACGCAATTAGTTAGTGTTCGTTTTCATGCGAATCCCTTGTATGTATCATTCATGCAACTCAACCGCTTTCTGTTTCGTGCAGTGGCCTCGTCTGCTCCCTTGCAGTTCACTATTTCAGGCCCTCTGTACAATTTGAATCCTCTCGTTTTCTGTGTCAATTCAGTGTTTCTTGCCCGTTCGTTATTCAGTTTCTCTTCGAAATCACGCTTGAGTCACATCGGCGGAGTTAGTGAAGTCAGCGAGAACGATAGGCTCGATGGCCCTCGCTTTTATGTGAATATGTTGGCCGAAGAATGCCAATATCCTCTATCGGTCATTTCGTTCGTGAAATGTTGTCGTTTGACAACCCGTGAACACAAGTTGGTAAGAATGAACTGGGAGATGATGCATGACGGCTTTCTGAGATGACATGAACAGGGCCAAGGTCTCGCCAATGATCGCGGCTGCACGGCGCTGACCTGGGACGGTCCGGCCTGCGTTAGGGTCCAGGGACGCTGAAACGCTGGGACCATGCCAGTGAGCTTCTGATCCTGTTGAGGGCCTCATCCATACAAACACCCGTCACCGATTTCATTCCTGGGTATCTGCTGCCAGAGCCTCCTCCACGTTACTTGGTGTCGATGAATCGACAGTAGACAGAAAGGAAAAATGTACATGCTTGCGACAACCATTCCCCTCGCATCATTGCACACCTTTCTGTGTCCGGCCGGTTCATTGACCAAGTATTGATGGGGCTTTTTTTAAAAAGAAATAAAAAAAATAGGTACTACCATCAAGATCCAGCCATCTCAACAGGACCCCACGGCCAAGTGGCGTGCCGCTCTCGTACAGTAGTCCCCGAAGAAAGGAACGACGCCACGGTGCAGAGAGGCAAGGTAGTCGAAGAGATTCATATCACTCATGCCACCCTTCTTCGCTTGCTCGAACGCGGGGTCAGTCAAGAGGATCTGGCATACGGCGGAACAAGCAAAGAGCTGACTTGCGTTTGCTCACCGCTATGTACAGTGGGTTGTAGGTCACCACAGGAGCTCTCGACAGTCAAACATTAGCCTATGCAATGCGACATGCGTGAAGCACGCATAAGTATCCTTACGAGATATAGCTTGCCAGTAATAATTGATTCAATTATGCGGTGAGCATCTGTGTCGTTTGTTGAGTAGTTTCAAGTCGGTGATTCGAGGAGTAACAAAAAACAAGAGGTTTGTGTGAGCAGTTCCATGACTGGTTAATTCTACGCAAGGCAGGCTTGATAACTTCCTGTATGTGATCTGATGCACGCCGTGGAAGTAATCAGCCGAGATGATCCGGTTTACTGATGTTTACAATCGAATTTGTCTACTCTGCATCTTGCCAGCTGGGCAGTGAATAAGTAAGGTAGACTGGCAGACGAGAAAAACTGACTATATGTCGAAAGTCACCGTGATGTGACTCGGCACTGCTCGTACAAGGACTCACTCGTAGTGGTGTTGTCTGAATAAAGTACAACTCAGTTCAAATCGCGGTGTACAAATGAAAAGGCTACCCTGCATCGTTTGACGCTGTTCGAAGTGTACGTAGACATCATGGTCGGGGCAGCAGTATTGTTTGGAACTGTATTAATGGGGGCTAAAGGCAACGACTTTGCTTATCAACGCATGTCTTGTGTGGTGTAGAGGTGTAGAGCATGCCGTTATGACGATGATTGATGAATGCTTGATCCGGAGCCACGAGACAGTAAACGTCGGTTACCGCCAACCCCACTAAGAGCTCGTCATTTGGGTGCCATCTATCCGTAAATGCACTGCGGTTCAACCCGCAACTCTCAAGATAGCGCCGGGCTTGACAACCAAACGCGCTGTAAAACCCTGGACATGCACGAGGCATCAGCCAGCGTGGTCCATCTGTTCCATCCCTGCTTCATCGTCCATGTGCCTTCGACGTTTTTTGGGCTTTTCTTGGGTTGGTGCCCCTCCCTGACAGGGACCAGGTGACGAGCATCCACACGACTCATGCAGGTCGACACTCAGCTCCACGCTCACTCATCGGCGCCAGAGTATGGCTTGGGATAAGCAGCCAGTCAGACACGAGGAAGCACACAGTACGGCTTTCAACAAATCCAATAGAACGGGTGCCCTGCGCTTTAGATCGGGTCATGGCACAATGTCTTGACTGCTCATGGGAAAAAGCATTGGTTTGCATGTCCGATGACCCCTCTCAACATTCATTGCCTTTGAGGTTCACCCCTTGTGGTCCAAGTCTGTTTTCGTTTGTATGATAATGCAGCCCTCCACACGACACAAGATACTTTGCCAGAAAATACCGAAGGTTGTGTAGAGGATGCTGATTGGTGTGTTGGCTTCAAGTCCGTTTGGACTTGGCCCTCGTACCATCGAGGTGGTGCGGAGAAGTTTTTTCCTCCTTTTCTTTTGCGGTATCCGATAGTCTTCCGCCAAACATTCAAGTTACTCAGGCTAGAGGCATTTTCGCATGCTGGATGGTGTTGGCGTTGAAGCGAGATGATTGCCGATCAATATGAGATCCAGTGGCTGACACAAGCCGCAAGTCAGTAGTCTAGCCACCAACTCATACACAAACACAGCGACATGTGGTCATCTAATCATCTTGTTCGAGGCAAAAGCTGTGTGTATGATGGCAGAACCGAAGGCCCGATCGCGGAGCTGACCACATCGAATTGGAAGCAGAGCCACAAATCTAATAGACAACATCGTGACACTGGTTCAAGTGACCAATGAATTGACCGACAAAGTCGAATCCTCCGACGAGACAAGCCTGGGGTCAAAGTCTATCATTGGTCAGAGCTCCGACCGCACCAAATCGCTGGATACCGGATCGTTGCGTGTCACGAACGCTGACGGTGGAGCAAGGCTCCGATTCTCTGGGAACCGGGACAGAAATCTGGGCGCTATCAAAGACGGTGCTTGTTCCAGTGACTTGCAGTGAGCCAATCAGGGGCGTAGCCCGCCTGTCTGTCCCTAGCCACATCCAAGGTACGGGAGCGGCGGGCTTCTTTAGCTTTGGGCAATGAAAGTCTGTTTCGGAGGGGGCGTCTTGTACATGCGGAGCTTCAAGTCATTCCACAAACACACATCAGCTGAAAATCCGCAGCCACTGTTCCTCTTTGTATGAGGAGTCAAGACATAGGCAAAAAGATAGTGTGGATGTGTCTGTGCTGCGATTGCATCCCTTGCCGTAAAAACCTGGTCATTAGCATCGTGCGTGTGTGGGATGGGCCAACACGTCGCTTGCGTCAGATTACAGCAGGTATCATCAACGAGCGCAGTAGGCCGAGCCTCCCAAAGTTTGGCAAAACGCATATCGGGGAATCGATTTTGTGAGAACAGGCACGGTTATGGCCTGAGCCGTTCACAGAAAAGGCTCTTCCCGTCCCGACTATGTACGCCCAAACCCTCCTTTCGCCATGCCGATTGGCTTCCTATTCGCTGGCCGTGCAGAATTTGCCAATGACCTTGTCAAATAATACCGACCAGCACTGCACGATGTTACGGTTTTGCTTGCTCATGCATGACGATATGCGTCGTCTGCAGGATGTCCAATCTCACGCCTTGGTGTCAAGGTTGCCGGACCATAGAGGTCTGAAGGAAGCAGGCTTAGCCATATTCAGGTTGCTGACCGCTAAACACCGGAGTCGAGCTCCCTTTAATGCCTCTGCCCTTCAATCCATGGTATTGCTCTGACCACAAAGGGGCGTTCACTGGGCCAGCTCCGTTAAATCAGTGAGTCAATCGATAGTAACGAAATGCCTTCTGCCTGTTCTCGGTAGGATGCAGGGAAGGCTTGCAGAATGCCAACCCAGAAGATACTTGCAGCAAAGTGAGGCGAGTCGGCCGGTTTTGGCCAAGGATAATAATCCATGGCGAACGCAATCAAGGCTGGCAACAAATGCGAGTTTATGATTCAATTGTCGGTAAGCAACTGACAGGTATCGTTGTGGCATGAACTGGCAGAGTGCCAAAATTGACGCAGCGGTGGCGGTTTTCTTGGTGGGCCTAGCTGGGTGGTCTGAGCCAGACGGGGCATGCGGCTTCTAGGTGCGCGTCGGGCCGCAAGGGCTGTCCCGTCCGAAGAAAGGAAGGGGTTTTTTTTTGTTTTTTGAAGGGAGACAACTTTGGCCAGCCCGGCAAGCCGCGTCAAGTCCGCTTCACGTGAAAGGACTCCAGCCGTGAATGGACAGAAACTGCAAGTCAACCATGAGTCGTCACAAGCGATGATAGAGAGGATCAACGATCGCTAGCACTGGCGAATCTTGGCCGCAAGGGGCCTTGTGCTGGGGCATCATGTCCAGGCTTGACAAAGGTGTTGCAATTAAGTCGTTTCATCTTTGGCCAGCCTCCCAGCATTGATGCTCATCCTGCAGCAGACGTGGTGCGCTAGACTCAGGCGGACATGGAATGCGTGGCCAGGTATGTACATTGAACCGAGACATTCGGCTGCCGAGCCAAATAGCCCAATCTTGAAGCACAAAACCAGTAAGGATCAGAATGTGCGTTCAACAGCTACAATTAGATGGTGCATTGCTATTGATGCATTTGCATGTGCGAGTTTTGATCCATCTGAAGAACTGGGGCAGAGTGTTGATGAGGCCCTGGTACAACCAGATGAGCGGAGCTGCCAATCCCTGCCGATAATGACTTTGTTTTGTGGGAGAGATTACAAGGAAGCTGGCCTATTGGAGCACTGATCTTTCTCCTGTCGACAGCCTGATCGTTGAGCTTTCTTTTTCGAGCCCCTAACCAGGAAGAAGGAAAAGAGACCAGGGCCCTTAGCCAAGTCAATCATCATAACGACAACTATCCCATGCCTGGAGCGAGAGATTTATCTGCCAGGGACCTTGTGAATATTGGTGGTCGAATAAAAACAACCGGATGGGATCCCGGAATACCCTTGGTTTCTTGATCGTCGCTCACATGATCGATTCTGGCTGCAGGGAAATCTGTTGAAGCACTGTGACAGTGGACTTGCCAGCAGGCGGGCGATGTTGGTAGGGCTTGCTGGTGAATCCCTTATACACATGTACCTATTCAATACCTAGAGCAGCGAAAGAAAGTACAAAGTCAGTGGGGTAGTATACTAAAAGTAATGACATTGGATGTTTCGTCTCGTCGCTGGATGGAAATAGGGTGCATTGTAGAGGTAGTGGGTGCCCTAGGCTGAGCGCATTGAATCCCTGTCGCTCCCGTTTCTAACAGATGTTGGTTGCCCATTGCCACTGAAAATACCCGAAAACAGGAATTATAAGTTACTTCTCTCAAGCAAAAAAATATCCAAGGATGAACGCTTCACTCACGAAGGAAGTCGGGATGCTTTTTGGGGCTCCTAGGTTTGTTGAAATATCCGTGGCGTGTCACTTATCATAGTACTTAGGAAAGGTGAGCATCGTGGTTCGGGCACGGGCGGTGGCGGAAGGAAGGGTATCTTCCTCTACAAGCACGTTTGATTTCGATGGTACCTTCCAACTACTAACCAAATGTCATGGTCTGCCACCTTCTTTTTCGATATTGCGCTTTCAGTGGAATGGGGACGGGAAACTTCTTGCCTGAGACGCGAGGCACTTTATCATGTTAATCAACAGATTCTCAGCAAAGCCTCCTGGCTCTTTCAGCGCACCCTCCTCCTTGGTGCAGGTCTCAATCGGACAGACTCCTTTAATTCCTGGCAAGTTGTTGCTCTTTTGCCGTGTCTCAATTTATACCTGCTTTTCCCCTTGGTTCCCCGGTACCAATAACAAGCGTAGATTGGGTCGGCCCCTTCGACTCGACGATCTCCGTCCGGCACACAGTACATACCACCAACAGCTACCGCATGCCATGGGTCGACAGAAAACGGGCCGGGCCATAGAGTTCACGAGTCCACTCTACGATGAGGGCCAATCAATAACATATGCAGCAAAATAGCGAGGGTCTAACGCCGCCAAAGCGTCACTAGAGAAACGATCGATAATCCACTTCAGTACGGAGTACCCAAGTTCTCATTACAAAGAAGACTCACGGCATGTCGTGGAGTCAGATGAGATACAATCAGTGCCATGAATCAGAAAGAAGCAACGACCGCGTCATCATGCGGGAAAGCTGGTGTGTATTCTATGTACCTTAACTATCAATGTATGATTCACCTCGGAAGCTGGCTAATACTACGAGTCTGACCCATGCTGGCAGCTTGCGAAACAGTCGGTCAATGGAAACACAAAGCAAAGCTGAGGGCCAACAACTGAGACAGTTACTCTAATGCACAGCGTTCTGTAAAGCCTATGCACTGATGCAGACATGCAGAGATGGCACAAAATTCAGTTTTGGAGTTGTACCAGATCTTTTGACAACAGCCAAAAAGCAACGCAGCCAAATCTAAGGATATCACGCCGACAAACTCTCTTATTTCCACAAAAGCCATGTCAAATACCTGCGCCGCAGTGATGTTCAGGCTGTCCCGAATCTCCGGGGCTGGCGTCAGGATTGACATTACGTCTTGCACCATAAGCTGCCGCCACGCTCGCTTGTCACAATCTCGACTCCATCTGGAGGGTCCACCTCCAGAGGCCTGGCTGAGGCAAGGCCCGGTCCGCCAATCGCACACGTCGGCCAGTAATCACGTGAGCTGAAGCTCATGCGGAAGATCCTTGCTAGCTTGAGTAGACTGCATGTCTCCCGCAAACAGTCCCAGTTTTCCTCGGGCGCCGTGGCTTTAATGGTCGGGCCGCCATACCTTAATGAGACAGGCGAGGCTACCGTCTCATAGACTTGATTTGCTTGTCGATTTGCAATGTGATAATGGAGGGGTGGTCAGCCCAGGGGGGTGTCAAGAAAAGTCGAGCAGTCATTTTTTCCCTTATGGCGTGGCAGCGACCCAAATATCTGGCTCTCCAGACTACCAACAAAAATAAAAATACAACACTGCATGCAGAAGGAATTCTGGGCCTAGAGGGGAGGGAGGAAAAAAACAACGAGAACAAGGGTTGACGACTGCAGCTACAGTTGCATCCATCCATCAAAGCCTGCCACGTCGCAATTTCACGGCGCGGCACGGTCGCTGGACACTTCGCGCCATCCCGGGGCTGCATGTCATCCTGCGCCCTCAAGACCCGGGTACACAATTACAGTGCGAATTTTGAACAGGGGCGCAGAAGCCGATTTCTTTGCCAATATTGGAAAAGAAGCCGCCGTCAGTCAGCCCCTTGTCACTTCCGCTTCATTCCCCTCTTCGGCAAAGGAGCAAGCCAATTATCGCCGTGTCCACACATCAATTCCTTAAATAGGAGGGACTTGAAGAAATATGTTATGGAGCGTTTGGTGCCTCGTTTGCACGTACATGTGTGACGTGACACTGGCCTTAAGATACCTACAGAACTACGAAGCAAGCAAGAGGTGTTCTTTGTCCAGGTACTATCGCACCACGAGACCTCGCCTGCATGCACGGCGACCTGCAGGCTGAAGAATGCGCGTTGATCTGGCCTGGAGTGCCATTTTATGATGAGACGGGATGGGGCCCCTGCGAGAAAACACGCCCCTGGTTCATTCTTTGCTCTGCTTCAATTTGATGATGAATTGCAATACACCTTGCATTTGTTGTGGTGCCAATTGTCTCGGTCTTGGTCCAGCGATTTCTCGTCCATTGCAGGTTCAGCCAGCCCAACCGCGATTGTGTCTCCGTTGAGCGGGTCCAAACAATGTTCGATGCCGGTCTCCAGTGATTCAGGCGACCAGCAAAAGAGCGGACAAGGACTGGTCTTGAACGCCGTCACGGAAGACCTTCTGCCGAATCTCCAGGCGCCGTGAATGCCGGTACACGGAGCAAGACTTTGGTGAAGCTGGCAACCCCCCGGTACCAGAAAGAATGTATTTTGCCATGGCAGTTAAGCGGTGAGGTGGTCGATCTGAATACAATACTCCGTATGCATGCGTCCGACACTAACATTCCTTTTTATCTGCAGAGATCATTGTTTTCATTCGTTTGCATTGTGCCGGGCTCGTATCCCAGTCGGGCGGGCGAAACTACTTTGGCGGAATTATTATCAGCACCCTCGTAAGACATCCAAATAGTGATAGAAGGGCCAGAGTGGTCAACAAAAGAACTGCCGGCCAGGGGCAGGCAAACAGACCTGAGACGGTAGGTAGATGCACATCGCCTTTCCTGGAATGACCTATCTACTGCAGCACTCGAGATGCATCGTTCTTACCGCTTCAAAATAAAGGAGCTTCTGCGGGATTGTATCATCCCTTGCAGGCCCAGCGATCAGCGTTGGGCGATGTGAAACCCCGCCCTTTCTTCTCTTTGGGCTTTGTGCATATCCAGGGCTCACAAGGCGGGATGCCATCTCGTACCACTTTGCTGGTTAGACGGCTGCATGGCCCTTGACACCGTGACACCTGGGACCTTGTTTTGTACACAGATGGAGCATCAGGAATGGGATGTGGGATGGGGAATGCCTGCAGTCGACCGTTTACATGATTATTTCTTGGTTGCAATACGACCACGACTGTGATCACTGACTGTCATGTACTTTTGGATACGTGCTATGCCTTATTGTACCATCAGTGCACCCCTCGCGGTTGGCGGACCGGTGCGCTCGTGCAGCCGCAGGATCACGGATCACCCGCAATTCGATCCTGGTTTGAAGGAGTCAAATGTTCTCTACTGCACGTACCCAGTCAAATCGTCAAGCACGACCTGTCCAGGACGGCCACGTTTGTTGTCAAGGTATCTGCAGTGTTCTACAATGAGCGGATCATTGAATGGCTGCTGTATCACTCGAACCCAGACAAGTTGAGGAACATGTTTCATCGACCACCAGGTGCAAGTTGCACCGCGCCGTTTGTTGCGGTGTAGTGCTATCAATGGATCAAGCTTGGCTCCAGGCCTCTAACTAACGGGCGGGAAATCTTGCTGCGCTGTTTACTCGTCATAGAGCAAAACTGCATTACCAGTATCAGAACAGCCCTTAATCAAGTGCGGGGTCTTTCTTTCTGGTCGGCGACTTGACAATGGATGGCGGAGATATCGTCAAAACTCTGCGAACATATGTCTGCGACACGAAATTAACTGCCCGAAAAGTCCCCGCTGCAGCTTGTATAAGACAGCCAAACTGAGCAGTCGACAGAGGCTTGTCTTACACCGCATCAACCGCATTCGACTCTCTGCGAAACCACATTCAGGCTCTCGACAAGCACCTTTTGTCTTATGCGACCATACTTGCTCATCCTCCTGTACAACTTGGTCACTGTTTCACCTAGCACTGATCCCGACATTGCAACCATGACCGACGTCGTGTCCGAAAACCAGGCTTATTTTGGGTGCGTATAATGAATGAGCGTTTGTTTTCTGCACTGGATAATCGTCGCCAAACCGTTTGAGCGTGTGCGGTTTGCTTACTGGTCGTCTTTTCTTATGCTCTAAGTTAGCAGAGCACACTGCGGCATGCGATGCAGTGCTACACAGCTCATCCAAGTCCATCGCTAATGTAGTACAATTATAGCAAGATCGCCACCGAATATGACCAGCGCAATGCGGATGCGATCGTGCAGCTAGAGCGTGGCATCCAAGAGAGGATTCCATTCATTAGCGTCAAGCAAGATGCCAGGTTGCTAGACTACGCTTGTGGCACCGGCATGCTTTCGAGGGTACGAGTTTCCCCTCCTAGGAGAGATGAGCTCCGAGACGTTGACTTGGACTGACAGTGAGTTACAGGTCTTAGCACAGCATACGAGTGAGGCTATAGGCATTGACTTGTCGGAGGAAATGGTTGGGGTATACAACGCCCAGGCTCAAAGCCAGGTTAGTACTGGCCACCAGTCCATCACATGAGCATGGAACTCTGTTACCACGCATTCGAGCCCTTCAACCCCTTCAAACAGACTTGAATATCCTAACAGCGTACAGGGCTCTTCCCGCCAAGCCTATCAAGGCAATCTGGCTGATCCTAAGGACCCCTCCCCTACAGCCTTTGCTGATAGCAAGTTCTTCGGATTCGACGTTGCAGGCGTGGGGCTCGGATTCCACCACTTCGACAAGCCCGATCTAGCATCCAAGCAATTGGCCGAGCGCCTCAACCCAGGCGGTGTCCTCTTCATCATTGACTTTGTTGCCCACAAGATAGACCCCAAGGATGCCGCTCTGCGTGGTATCACACATCATGGGTTTACCGAGGACGAGATCAAGAAGATGTTTGAGGATGCTGGACTTACAGACTTTGCTTACCAAGAGCTCCCGGAACCTATCACATTCAAGGATTGTCACAGCCACGATCATGGCCACGAACACGGTCATGGTCATGGTCATAATCACGAGCACAACGAGGACAATCACAGCGGCAGTGGGGAACATGTTCATGGCCATGAGAAGAAAAAGGGCTCAACTACGACTAAGAGGATATTTATTGCCAGAGCGTCCAAGCCATAAAAGAGTGTCTACGAGCACTGTCTCGTCGACCCTTAACAATAGACCACCAAGTATTAGAAGCAAGAACATGACCCTCAAATATGTACCAGAGCAATCTTATACGGTGCTAATAGTTCACACTATGCAAGCTGCCGATGGCCGTCATTCTGATACTCGGCTTCCCAAGGCTGACACTGAATGTCTTGTTGAGTATCATCACTTAGCTGCATAGATATCATGTCATACTGACACCTATAATTGCACAATATCCCTCCGACGAGGTGTCTCATACGTGATCAATTGTAGTTCCTAGCAAAATTGGTAATCTGAAACCATCTACAGCTGTCGTAGTCAAAGCTTGACTGTCCAGGGTACCCAGCTCTCCCAGTACTCCAACTAACGTTACATCAGTCACCAGACACTGGAATGAATATCGAGACTCAATCCACATCACAAGCCCAATTACAGCCCAGAAACAGCCCATCCGATCCAACAGTCCGGTCATGCTTTGGTAAAACAGCCGTTCGCGACCGGAGGCTACTACTAGTCCGGCGTGAGTAAGTCAGCCCTTTGCCCTGGCAACAGACCCCATATCCGACGAAACCTCTCCCTTCAAGCCTTCCCTCACACCCTTATACTCAGCTGGACCGTCCCGTCCCGCCCTTGTGGTCAAAGAAAACCTTGTCCAGAGGGGGAGCCGTAAGTTATGGTGTGCGGATGCATTCTTCCGGCACCAGCCCAGCCACTTTCGATGTCAAGGGATGAAGTGAATCATTCTTGGCACATTAGTCGATGGAGTCGAAGTTCAGAGTAGGCTATTGGAAATTAGAAATGCCGTCTGTAGAAGAAAAGAAGAGAAGGGAGGGAAATGGCTTGTCCGGGGCGGCGCGATCCCGTGTCTGGTAGGCGGGAAAGGGATATCATGTGAGATTCGCCCCTTCAGCCTCATCCGCGCTTCCAGAACGCCCATAGCAGGGGTCTCCCAAGTCGTGCGACAAGGCTTTGCCCTTTTGAAGTACTTTTGGACACGCCCTTTGTTTTTGAGAGGTATTTGGGCGACTCTTGGTAAATAAGTGTGAAACACACATTGATTGTTGACGCTGGTGCCACCGAACGGAGGTCTGGTCATTTCCGTCGAATGCGCCAGCTCAAGTGCACGAGATACGTATCGATGACATTAGCCGTGCTGTTGTCTGTGCGAGGTCAGCTTCGATTATTGAAACTTCTGTTGGTCGTGTCGTGACCGAATGATGCAATATCATTGGGGTCTGATCGTCGGGAGATTATGAGTTACCATCTCTGGACTAGGGGGGACTTGGCTCAGCTGTTGGTGCGATCCGAGGACATGTTCATTAAACAATCAATTCTATGCTCTAAGAAACCATCTGGGCGCCAATGCCTAAAAGATTTTGGTCTTGAAAAGCGGCTAATCTTGTCCGTCAAGTTCAACGACAAAAGCGCCACCGAGGAGAAGGGCCGGCTCTTCGATTCTATGATGCTCGTAGCTTGTATATTGTCAGTAACTTGGGCACATGAAGAAGAAATAAGCTCCCTCGACTGACCTGAGTGTTCCAACACCACCTGCCTCCAATAAGAAAGTAGGTCCTTCTCTTAAAGCGTAGCCAGCCCATCTCATAGCAAAGGCACGCAAGATGTGCCCATGGGCAACAAGTAACACGTCGCCACATTGATCGCTTCCTTTGTCCATGGCTGGCTTGTGATATCTCTCACGAATCTCCTCTATCAATTGGTCAAGTCTTCTGGTTACATCGTGGGGAGCCCTGTGAGAGTGTTAGACGGAACGACCATTGGATGTTGATAATCAGATATAGGGTAGACAAGTTTAGACAAATACTCACTCCCCGCCAGGACATCCATCCTTCCAGATGTCCCAAGACCCTTTGATCCCTTGTTCCGCTCTGATCTTACGAATCTCAGGTGTTGTGATTCCTTCGTAGTCACCGTAGTCCCATTCCCGGATGTAGTCCGTGACCTCCACCTCGGCTTCACATTGAAGGCCAGTACCATCAGGAGCGCCGTGAGGTGTCCAAGGAAGAGGGCGTTTCAGCCCGAGATTGAGAAGTTCAAATGTACGCTGGGCGCGTTTTCGTGGTGAAACGTAACTGGGCCGCGTATTAGTTCACTCTAGATCAAATAAAATCAACGTTGGTTGGTGATAATGCGACGTGGTGTAATTCCGAATTCGCTGGCTCTTCTTGGAAGACTTCAGCGCAATAGTCGTTCTACGTGAGGCCCTCCTAGGAGCCTAGGAGTACTCTTATACTGATTGTTTGGGAATCATCGTCAGTCGAAGGAGACTTACATGTGAGCAATCTTCTTGGGGGCGATGAGACGATCCGGCCCAACAAGAGCCTTTCCTGTAGCTCTAACACGCTTCTCGCCATTGGGAGTGAGTGGGATATCAGTCAAGCCAGTATGACGACCATCAAGTGACCATTCTGTCTCGCCGTGGCGAATAAGAAAGACACGCGGAGTCGACATGTTTGGAATGTTTGAAACCTGATGGCAAATTCTGGGAATTCACTTGAATTTAAGCCACTATCAGTGCCCAGTGTCCAGACTATATCAAGCCCGTGAGACTCTGAAAAACTTCTGTATCAGGTATCAGCCAAGCTTCTCGAGTGGTCAGAAAGAATATGATCTGAGGTGACTGTGGCCTGGTGATGGCGGGGTCAAACGAACCACGTCAAAAGTTTGAGAGGTATTGCGGATGAAATGGAAGCAGCGGGTATTCTATTTCATACGAAAAGAGTTTGTCTAGGCAAGAAAATAAAAACGAAAACAAATCTCTAGAAAAGGAGGAGAAAAGATGGCGAATGGATTATCTCCAACCTTGATTTTGGTGTTGAGGATGAAGTGGATGGATTACGTTTGGGTGACAAACCCCGCTGTCTCATCAGTCAGGTACCATGGGGAGGGGCACCTTCCGCGTCTTCCATTGACGTTCTTCCCACGTAAATATTCGCCCATCTTTGGAAAGAACCGACAGGGTAGCCTCTCAGGGTCCTTCTTGCAGGATAGATGCCATAAGTATTATCAGGCGGCCGCTTTTGTCGCTTGCTTAATCGCAGTGGTTTAATTACGCGTCCCTGCTTGAAGTATTACGCTGTAACGGTTGAAGGTGAGATAATGGTCGAAACAATAAGTGAAACTCTTCATCCTCACGATAACACGATAGCAAGTTAACCAACTAAGGTACCTAAGAGCTAAGTAGATAATAAAAAGTCGTGAATCTTATTCTTGTCAGGTGCAAATACTCCAAAAATGTGATTCGCGAGTCTCGATAAGCTCAGTCAATGATCCATTGCCGTTCCTTCTGTACGAACATGAGAAAACCTTCCAATTCTTTGACCTCTGACCTTCTTTGTTCGTCTCCTTGGAACCCAATTCTTCACCTTCTAAACCTACAATGAATGTCAAGTCAAATCTTTATAATCTTACCAATTCTTACCAATATTTTACTGACTCCTCTGACCTTAACCTCCCTAAGCCGTGACATCAACGATACCTCATTCCCCCACGATGCCCCTCATCCCCACTACAACTATACTCTTGGTTGCAGCCTGCTTAGTAAGGCCACCGCTACCGCAACAGATCCACTCGGCGCCTAAGCTCCGTGACGCCGATAATTCTTCCTCCGCCGTGATCGTGACCCGGCGATCCGCCTCCGACTCTATTGAAGATCCGACGCCGCCGACTCCTCCGATTGAGCTTCAATTCCTTGATTCCAGATCAAAAAATTTGTCTCCACTACCGTCCAATCCATCACGACCGACCCTAAGCTCCACGAATTCGTCCTCCTCGACATCAGGTTCATATTTTACCGCTCACAAGCTGTCACGTCGACAGCGCAGTAAGCTTTCAGAAGAGATCTGGAAGGGATACTGGTGATACATACGACCTACCGGACAATAGTAATTCATACGATGGCGGTGCATCAGTGGACAAGACAAGAAAAGTTCAAGCGCGGTGTTTGGGCTGTTGCCTTTGCAGCATGCATTTTTGCCGGCACCATCACGGGCGCACAACTAAAGACAGACAACGAGAAGAAAGAGGTATGGTAAACAGAACAAATCACAAAGGACATGACTAATTACTGAGACAGGCAATTCAAGAGTTTCGGGCGACATCCCCCAACGAGCAAATAGCTGCTCTCCTATCCCAACGAAAAACTTTGGTATCACAGAAGGCTGTTCTCCAAAGGAAAATGGATGACTTCGAAGTCCGTGTCAAGGAACGCGAGGCTGAGAAGGCAAGAGACAAGGAAAGCCCATGACCGTGGCAAGATCATAGGATTGGTGCGGTTGTATTATTGTGTTGTAACTCTATGGGCATCTTATTGGAAACGAAGCATAGGCGTTTATGGATGGTTAAAAAGCGGTATACTGGACACGGTTATCTGTTAAACATATATTATAGAACGAAGCTTGAGAGAACAATAGATTCGAAGCTTCCACCGAGTCACATGGTTGTGTAATTAACGTTTTATTGATTGAGTTCATGCCATGCCTTCTCCCTACGCCTGACTGCCCTGCCTTGCCATGCTCCTGTCCGGTTTTATTCATCAAATCATCTAGCACGATTCCCAGGTGGCCATATACTTCTAGTAAAGTTCGTCCTAGTTGCTCTTTTTACTCCAGGACACCCTCGGCAGTGGGCAGAGGAATGGCTCGGTACAGGAGAATGAGAGCAGAGTGAGACTCACCACCACCGGCGAGAGTCGCAATCTTCTCAGCTTCAACCTCTGAAACCTGGTGGTCGTTGAACCACCACCACTTGCCGTCCTCCTCACCCTTCTTGCCAGTCTTGGGGTCAACGGGTGCAGCCTTCTTGACATATGAGGTGTAGTGGCCGCTGTCGGCGCTGGCACCTTGATGTGTCACGACACCTCGGAGCTCGTACAGACCAGACTGATTGGCACCATCATCGTTTCGCAGCTCGGGGTTGATGAGAGCGTTGAGCTCCTTCTTGGCCTCAAGAATGGAAGCGTTTCTCTCAGCCTCGATGTCGGCGTCTGTCTTGTATGTCTCGCCCTCCTCGCCCATGACAACGTCGCCATCTGCTGACTTGCCTTCTTTCTTCTCGGTCTCTTTCTTCTCCTTTTCGGTGGGAAGACCGGCGCCGCCTGGGATATCGCCGACGTCCTGATCGTGAGTCTTCTTACGTCGCTTACGGGCCCGCTCGATATCCTCTTCATCCTTACGAATCTCGCGAACCTTGTCACGCACGGGAATAAGAGCCTTCTTCAATTCGTCGGAGCAGAACTCAACAATATCAAGCTCCATGGGGAAAGTCACCTTTCGCATGATCTTGGCCTTCTTCTGAGTCTCTCGCTTCCAGAAAAAGCGCACAAAGTGCACTGTCAGGTACTTGGGAGCACGAGAGATCTTGGAAGTCTTGGTGTAGACAGCATCGCGACCCAGAACTTCCGACTGCTTCTCAAGCTTCTCCTTTAGCGCGGCGGCAATGCCATCTCGCAGATGATTTGTTGAGCTGTCGATGTGGCAGTTGAGTTTGGCGAAGCTCTCCTTGTTAATGATGGGCTGCTCGCCAGCATTGCGCGCCTCTTCCTCATCACACTCCATTACCGAAGTGAACTCGCCAGACATGTACTTCTCCACGAAGGAGGTCTCAGGGGTGTTTTCGCTCTTGATGCGGAGCTTCTGGTTAAGTTGCTGCACGATTTGGGACCAAGCCTCCTCTGCATCCTGCTGAGCAAAACCTTGTCCTGTCTTGGACTTTTCCGCAAACTGGGGGAATACCACTCGCAGAGCGTTCAAGAAGTTCATGGGAGGGAAGGAGTCCTGTGTTTCACCCATTTTCTTGTACAAGTTTGAGAGTTGAGATGCCAAGTCCATGTTCGTGCCCGTCATCATAAAGCTGCTGGCGTTGCCATCGGGTTGGTACGTGTTGAGCGCCTCCTGAAGCTCTGGGATCAGACGCAGAGTCTGGAGGGTTGAGTTGAGATAACATGTATTTCCCAGGTTGATCAGACCAGCAGGTGTCGCACCGACTTGTTGAGCCTGTTCAGCCTCTGTCATATCCTCCACAAACTTGATCGCTTCCTTGGGTCGGACGAGGGCGTCGCCACCGGCGCTTGGGGTACCCATCATCATAATGACCTGACCGTTCTTCAAGCCGAGTTTACTCATATCGGCATCATCTTTGAGTTGACCACCCTTGATCAAAATCTTTTGGCGTTCGGGTTCGACGTTGGTCAAGCTGAACATTTGGAGTTTGAAGTCCTCGCCAGTAGAGCTGGGGTCGATTTCGACATCGTGTTTCTTGCCTTGGTGTTTCACTACGACTGTGATCGGTCAGTACGTGTTTGTACAATTGGGCTAGAGAACATGAAAACACGGGCATGGAGTCATTACTGACCTGATATGGATGACATGGTTTCGGTCTATCAGAGCTTAAGCGTTGGAAGGAGGGGTGCGGTAAGACGAGTTCGAGTCTGTCCAGGCACTGGATGCCGTCTATTCGGGTTTTCTGCAAAAGAAGGATCTAAAAGAACAATACAATAGCAGAAGAAAAAGAAAACGTCCTGAGTCAGTGTCCCTTGGCTCGAGGTCGACGTTTGCAAGGCGTGGAAGATGCTAGAGGTGCGTCACCAAGTGGTACCTGGACGAAGGCGAAATGTTAGTGGGGAAAGCGGTGTAGCTTCCGCGGGGCAACCAGAGAGTAGAGCTGTGGCTGTGATGTTATTAAGCCACAGACAGCTCTTGAGGCTCAAGCTTCACACGTGAACCTCCCCAAGTTTCCCCCATCATCGCCCCACCTACAGACACAGGAGACGTCAGGCCTGGCGACGCCTCACTAACAACTGCGCCTCACCTCGACGAAGCTCCAACCTCCAACGTCAACGTCGACCGACCCCGCCGAGCTCCGTGTTCACCGTCGACATCTACATTCGTGCTATTTCTAGTTAATTGAGGACGTCTGAGGACGTATTTGCTGCCATGGTACATCCCAAATGATATCTCACGATCCAGACCGCAAGCTGACAGCTATAACCCGCTTAGTCTCAATCCCTCCGACCCTACCTGCAATGCGTACGCAGCAGCTTGACCGCCGCGCTCACACTCTCCAACTTTGCTTCCCAGACCGCCGAGCGACACAATGTTCCAGAGATTGAGGCCCAGACGTCTCCCGAGGTCCTGCTGCAGCCCTTGACCATTGCGCGCAACGAGAACGAGCGTGTCTTGATTGAGCCCAGCATCAACTCCGTCCGTATCAGCATCAAGATCAAGCAGGCCGATGAGATTGAGCATATCCTGGTCCACAAGTTTACAAGATTCTTGACGCAACGTGCGGAGTCCTTCTTCATTCTGCGGAGGAAACCTATCAAGGTCGGTTACTGGTCATGCGATACTCAATTGAGTTACCCCTGACTGACGTCGTTGTAGGGTTATGACATTTCTTTCCTGATAACAAACTTCCACACCGAGGAAATGCTGAAGCACAAGCTTGTCGACTTTATTATTCAGTTTATGGAAGAGGTCGACAAGGAGATCTCTGAGATGAAGCTATTTGTGAGTAGTTGGGCTGTAATCTTAAGCAACTCCATGCTAACTTGTCACAGTTGAACGCTCGAGCACGATTCGTGGCCGAGTCTTTCCTTACACCGGTAAGAATGATCCAATCACCATTGCCACATCCTATGAGATTACTGACCTTAGCAGTTTGACTAAACCCCTCAGCTGGTTTGAGGCTCGGAGTTTGCTTGGGAGTGTCGGTTGTCGCAATGTTTCTGTGACCAGGCAAAGGGTATTAACCATTCATGATGGCATTGAACTGCTGAGGCTCTGATAGGTGAGCCTCATGCTGTGGTGAGGAAGGAGGTTCAAGAGAACGACATTAGACATAAACCTTGCCGACCTTACCGAGTTGAAATGCGTATCTTTCTGGAAACGAAGCCTTTATTGCATCTGACAACATCATTCTTGGGATAGAGGCCATGGTTTTATGCCGGAATTAGTACGTAAAGTTCTTTAGTGAGAACACTACCAGTTGAGGAAGGAGGCATGGTCGTGATTGCCTCATGGGATCAATGGGTCTTTACGTAAGACATCAACACGTTCTTGAACCAACTACCATTATCTCATCCTTCATAATTCATCAACTATCATTTTTCATAAGCATTATTGTTACCATTATCCTTGTTCTATCAGTTACTGGCCACTGCTGAATTCAATTCTCACAATAGTAAGTGAATCACTGTCAATCACTGTCAATCACTTGCAAGGAACTGTCCTCAATACCCCTTTCTATTGTACTCTGCTTTTAGCCTCTTCTCTTCTAGTGCTTTATACAACTGCCCAGCACGTCAAGCTAAAGCAATTCTGCACATACCTTCTTTTTCTTGAAGTCAATTGCTTAACGCTATTGCTGCTTTGTTGCTAAGCAACTTTCGCTAGACCCTCAACAACAATTCAACAACAAGTGCCTATTGCACTATTTCAGGCTTGACAACGCTAATCAGTCAAGCCTGCACCTTTATCTCTTTAAATCAGTCACTGAGATTCTTCTGCTTTCTCTTTCTGCCTTTTGCCTTTTGCAGTTGGCATTGTTTCTTCCCTTTCATCCTCCAACCCTGACCACTCTTCAACCTTGATAATTTGGGTCGTTCCGCTCTATCAACTCAGATCATATTGAAATCTTTCAAGATAGCTTGACCAAGGTTGGTATGCTTTCCCTTACTTCGTGAGGCAGGAAGCCTTTTTATTCATCCATCTTCAACCTTCAACCATCGACCTTCATCCTTGAAATACTGACTTCTCGCTCAACACTTTCACTCGACAACGCTGACCATCTAGAAAGACCAGTGCTAGCCTTCAGATACTTTGAAGACATTTCCTTGTTTTCTTGCCTACGCCCTTACGCCCTCCATACCCGAGACCCAAAACCGCGAGCCCCAAACCCGAAAAGTTACGCGCGAGTCTTGAACGCAGTTCTCCGATTGCGCCCAGGTTCCTCTTTCAGTAACCTCTCTAACTTCACATTGTCTCCATCATCAGCGGTGTGTTGCCAATCCGTACGTCCTTTCTCACTTGTCTTCCTTGAAAGCTGCCGGCAATATAAGCACCTGCAAACAACGTCGCCCCGTTCTTCTCACCAACTTTTGCCTGCATTTACCTCACGGCCGACTCTGACATGCCTTTCAAACAATAAGGCTTGGGGTTTAGGAAGCTCAAAAGATCACGTGCGCTCTCTGCGCACCATCATCGTCTGAAGCGCTTGCAAACTCTCCCTCTTCATTCTTTAACTAAACTTGTACCTGCACCTCATTCTTGGGATCATACACTAACAGTGAACTTCAAGAAGAGTTTCTATAATCACGCGTGACCTCATTGTTCTACCATTAAATTTCTCAACACTCGCCTGATCTCTTTCTCTTTTCTCTTTCATTTACCAACGACTTCGGGTGCCTAAGCTTCTACCAACTTCTTTGATCTTCAACTTGTCTCAAAGTCAAGCGACTTACTGTAGGCACTCAATTCAGAAACACAGCTGTCTTTCCCAAATTGTCCCTTGCCGTACCGGAAATACATTGGCACAAAGTTTCGACTGGTAAGTTTCTCCTGCACTTCTACCCAATAACTCGAACAACAAGGGATCTCTAGAGTATTGCAGTTTAGTGCCTATCTGTTGAGTAGTATTTTGGTCAATGCCGTTGATTTCGTGACTGACAACTCCTTCAAGTCAGACCAACTCCGATCACCTCTGGGCTAACCAGATCGTTCTGTGCTCCCGATGGCTCAAGGAGACTCCGCGGCCCAACGCTGTGGCCCGCCAGCTTCCAACCCTCCGTTCAATGCACCGTCCTTCTGTCCCCAGCCTCGCCGCCCCCAGTGTTCTAACGGCGGACACCAACCCGAGGCTGCTTCACATGTAGTTTCCAACGCGAATTCTTGGGTCCCATCAGCCCAACAGGCTCTTCACAATGCCCTTCAGGTAAGTGCCAGAGACTGCTACTGATATGGTCTCTCAACCACCTACTAACTCTGGGGCAGGCTAGCGGATATGCTGGTGCTCAGCCTGGCATGAACATGGTAACGGCGCTTCCTGCACAGTACGCTGGCTCTTCTGGACCTCCCACGGCACCGCCCAACAGCCCCTCGGACGGTGTTGCTCATGCAATCTACCCAGCCATGCCATACGCCCTTGACGCTATGGCCCCTTAGATGGGAGGCCACATCCAAGGCAATGGCATGAACATGGCCGCTGAGACAGTCAACGGTACAATCGATGGCATGGTCAACAATGCTGCTCTTTCAACATCTGGGCATATTTCCCACATCATGGCTAGTGGTGCTACCCCTTCGTCCAACAATAGCCCCGAGCATGTTATTGTAAATGGATCGGCGAATGCTGCTACAACAAACCAGGCTTCTCGAGGTAATCACCATGCAAACAGCAACCCTGGAGATCCTGGTGGTTCAGGGATTGGCAATCGTCTTCCTCATGGCACACAGTTTCTTGTAAGTCTTAGCTTGTCCTGTTTGATGTTATGTTGAGATACATAAAGTCTTATGGCAAATCTACTTCAAGACCCATCCTAACCTTTGCAACCCTAGGCTACTCAGCATACCCATAGCGGCAACTCTGGCAGCGGAGGACAGACTAGCTTCATGTCTCCTCCCCATGGCTGCTCATCGGCATCTCAGCCGCGCAGTCAACATTCTGCTCGCTCCCGCCCTGCTACTGGTGGCCAGCAGTTCTACACGCCTATTGGGGTCTCCCAGACCAACGCTTACAACCCCAGCTTGCCTCAGAGTGTTTCCTACAATTCGGGTCTTTCTCTTGCGAGCCCCAGTCACACTCCGCATCACTACAACGGACATCGCATGAGTGCTTCGCAGTCTACCCCCAACTCGGGACCTAACCAGCATCTGACAGAGCCGCGAAATTACGCACCACGATCATCCGTCCATGGTGTCAACAGCTTGCCTCCTCCTCGATTCGACTTGGGTTTGCAGGCTATCCCTATGACACATGAATCCGCCGCCCAGGACCCTTTTGGTAGTCCTGAACGTGCTGAGCCTACTGCGTTGATTCCATTCCCGAATCTGCCCCCGCCCGCTGCACAGCAGGCCATGCTTGCGGCCCCTATGGCCGGACACTTCACCAGCAACATGTCACCTGAGCTATCCAAATTGGTAGATACTCCTTCAGGCCTTCCCACCCTTGAGACTGCGATGAAACCTGAGTTCTTTCCTTTTACAAGCGGTCCTGGCTCTGCCAAAGCCTCTGTTGCCGGCGCTGTTCGTCTTAAGAACGTGAGTACCTGTTCTGCATCTGCTTCATTTCGCTTTCTGATCTCGATAGATACCCTTCTCAACCAAGCGCGCCGAGATTGTGGCATTTATCGGTCGCAATAGCCGCATGTTGCCCGACGCGGAAGAGCCCATCCACATAATCATGGACAGGGCGACGTCCAAAACTATGGACGCCTTCGTGGAATTCGTCACCATGGAGGATGCAATGCGTTGTGCTGAGAAGCACCACCAACACGCTCAGGCTGGCCGTGTGAGTCGTCTTGGAGAACGCTCCATTGAGGTTGAGCTGTCGAGCCAGTCTGCTCTTATGCAGGATCTCTTCCCTCTTGCTCACGGCGTGTTTTGGGATGGCGCAACTCCTAAGGTACTTCCCAACAACCATCAAGAGCCTTGGGAGAACTTCAAAGGATTCATCTCTCCTGAAGAGATGGTCATGCTCGTCAAGCATGTTGAGGTCCCTCATCGATCTCCGTTTTCGAAGGAGTGCCCCCAGCGCCCTTACGAGTGCCTCATCAGCACTCTCCGCAAGTTCCCCTGGTATGCTGCTGACCACATCACCATTTCTCAGCGTGGTGCGGTGTACAAGGCGACTATCAAGCTCCTTCGTCTGCTCAGCAGATCAGTTTCGCAGCAGGATGATCCTGTTAACCTCACCTCCCAGCTTTTTCAGCGAGTTGTTCAGACTGCGATGCAGTGTCATGGCTTTACCGCCCTTCAGAAGGATAACATTGCCTTCATGGTTCAGATGATCCCTATGGAGCAGCAGCGCCGTCACCACCAGCCGGCCAACGCCAACTGCTGGGTTCACCAATACGCCATCACGCGAAAGCCCGACGCTCCTCTCGACCTTGCTGAGTGGTACATTCGCCTAATCCGTGAGCAGAGCACTCATGATGTCCTGATCCGCCCTATCCATGAGCGTACTGTCATTCAGGAAACACTCAAGGAGACTGATGAGTACTGGGGTTATTTTTTCAATGAGGTCAACTACATCCAGGGTCCTCAGTTTGATCAAATGACTCTGGGACAGTGTGCCTACCTCGAGCTTTCAGCTATCGAGCGAATCCTTGGCCGGGCTCTCAGCTACAACTAAACAAACGACCAACGGCACCGTTCTTGCTCCTGCTTCGGTGCCCTGTTGATACCAACTTGATTTGCTCTTTTGAGACGGCCCTATGAGGCTACTCATTTCGCTTCTTTTAGATTTCATTTTCGCACTACACCTTGCATGTCAGCATCCCACTGGGCTATGTCACCAGTGATCTTTGGCCATCTTTTTCCACACCCAAGACTCCCTAGCCACTTCTTCGGCAATATTTGCTACTCAGCGTTTGGTTGAATTACTCGGGGCCAAGGCTAGAGGACCATAAAGACTGGAGGAAGAAAACTCGTGGCGCACTAATAGGCAGGATTTAATTCGGGAGCGAGGATGGATGCCAGCTCAGGGTTTTTCAGAGGACGCTAACATGGTTCGGAGTTTAAGGAGTTTGAGGGATATTGCCTGTGCTCTTGGGTCACTCTAGATTCTAACGTTAGTGGCTGTATAAAAAATAATATAAAATCCCCCCCCCCCCCAAAATGCCGTTTTGGTAAATTGTGGTGTCTCTGATGCCGTGCTATGATGTTGACTAGGTTGATGGTTCGTATTGATTGTACAGTGTAGGGAGTATATCCATAGCAATGTTGTGTCCGTAGTACTCCGTATTATGCCCCGACTGTTTCACCTTTTGCAGCTCCTCTTGGAAAGATAATTTGCCTTGTTATCCGGGATTTACTTCCGAAACGGCTTATCGACCGTTACATTTTGTCACATATCATGTTTTGAATCTACCTACTCTGCCCGTTTATGGGCTTAAGCAGGGTGTGTGCATAAGATTTGAGAATGGATCGATTGATTAATGCAGCCCTGAAAAGCTGCATGTTTATTCAGGTCCAGGCGTTGAATATGCCCCTCTGCCCGGACGCAAGACAGCTTGGGACCTATCCTAAGTGATAAAAGCAACTAGGTAACTCAACTAATGGCCTTCCAAGTCTACACTACCTAAATTTACCCAAGTAGTTTCGTCACTTGCCTAGGATAAAGGTCCTAAGTTAATGCTGGAATTATAGGGAGAAGCCCCTAGAAAATCACCAGACTCCACGTGCCTAAGTTTATTTCTTAGCGGTCAGCCAATGAGAAGGAACATTCATCCAAGTGTATCCAATGTAAACGGCTTTCAGGGCATCTCCACTTGCCGAGACGACAGGGCGTTTCCCGCCCCTTGGCCCACGGACACTAAGGTAGGAGCGGCCGTCAAGCTGTCTCCCTTAATAATAGATACCTAAGGTCTTCCATTCACCTGATAATCCGTGCTCCCTTCTTGAACGGACAAACAACATCAGTCGAATTGGATTTGTCGAAACGAGTTTCACTTCCCCGTGTGTGTTTGTTTGTCTTTTATTATTGTACTCCCGTCTCGCTCGGCAGGTGCATCAAAACAATCCAATTCAGGAGCCGCGTCAGACAAGACTCGTCAAGTCAACAAGGAAGGACAAGCTGAACACAAAAAGCTTCGATCTCCCACGATCTCCATCACTGGAATTATCTCCTCATCTCTCTCTCTCTCTCTCTCTTTCTCTCTCTCTCCCCCACCTTCTTAGAGCCTCAACCACTACCATGGCTGCCGAACAAGAAAAGACCGTTCCCGCTGCCGTTCCTGCAGAGAACCCTGCAACTCCCGAGACGCCTCTTACCAAGCTCAATGCTCGCCTTGAGGATATTTTCAGCAAGACACTTCATGAGGAGATGTGGGGTGTTCAACTCACCAACATTGATCACGTACCAACAAAGGTCGTCCTGCAAAAGTTCCTCCGCGCCAACAATGATGACCCCGTGGCAGCTGAGAAGCAGCTCACTCAGGCCCTTGAGTGGCGCAAGAAGATGAATCCTACCGCACTCGTCACCCAGACGTTCGACAAGAGCAAATTTGGGGACTTGGGCTATGTCACTGTCCACAAGGGAGAGAATGGCAAGGAGACCATCATCACCTGGAACATTTACGGTGCCGTCAAGGACAACAAGGCCACCTTTGGCAATGTAGAGGAGTGAGTTTCAACCCCAAACTCAGGGAGCAGTAGACCTGGCTAAACTACTCTAAACTTGGAGGATTATTGATAAATTCATCAAATAATCCTCAAAGTTTGGAATAGTTCAGCCAAATCTTTATATAGCTTAGGACTAAGGTCTTAAGTTTTCTTGTTTAAATGAAACAGCTTCACTGACTCTACACCAGGTTTATCAAATGGCGCGCTGCCATCATGGAGCTCAGTGTTCAGAAGCTCAAGCTAGACCAAGTCACTGAGCCCATTCCCGAGGGGGGCGAGGATCCTTACCAGATGATCCAAGTCCACGACTACCTCAATGTCAGTTTCTTCCGCATGGACCCCGCCGTCAAGGCCGCCAGCAAGGAGACCATCTCCGTCTTCTCAATGGCTTACCCTGAGCTGCTCGCGCACAAGTACTTTGTCAATGTTCCCGCCATCATGGGATGGATGTTTGGCGCCATGAAGCTCTTCCTTGCCCCTGCTACCCTCCGCAAGTTCCACCCCATGACCTCTGGCACTACACTGGCCACTGAGCTGAAGGGTATTGTTTCTACTCTGCCCAAGGAGTATGGTGGTCAAGGGGCTAGTGTCAAGGAGGGTATGTCTGTCTCGTTGACTGAGGCTGGTGAGTCTGCGGCGGGTGAGACCAGTGCTGAACCTTCACCTACTGAGGCTCCCGAGCAAACTGCTGCCGCCGACTCTACCACTGCCGAGAAGACTGTCGTCACTCGCGAGTCGGCTCCCGCTACTGAGAAGACACTCACTGCTGAGCCTGTTGTGGCCGCCGCAGCTCCTGCTCCCGCTCTTGCTGCAGAGGCTGCCCCAGCCCCAATTCCGGCTCCTGTAGAGGCAGCCAAGGCCGAGACTGCAGAGCAGGCTGTGGAGCAAGCTGGAGAGAAGCCCATCGAAGAGGCCCTGGAGAAGCTGTCCGTCAACCCAGCTGAGTCTGAGAAGAAGGATACTCTTGCTACCGATGTTGAGAAGAAGGAGACGGCTGCCTGAGCAGTATTGTATGCAAGAAAAAAGATGCGAGTGAGAGAGTGAAGGATACCAAGAAACCGTGTGATTTGATACCGTAAACAATACCCCATTCAGTTATGAGGAGCGCACCAGAGGTGAAAATCACAGCCTAGAGATGTTATAATTCTACAATAGACTGAGACCGAGAATTGAGATGCTAGTTTTTGTCACGGGACCTAATGCGTCTTGTTGTGATGTCTTGTGTGGTCGTACCCTAGAGTCATGATATAAAGACAGGCTAGGGGATGCAACACTGACGACCTCTATCCTAGGTATCGAAAATACTTTAGGTTAATTTAGTGTATCTTCGAAGGCCTTGAGACTATTGCATTTTGGCACCCTAGCTGCACGTGAAAAGTTCAATTACACTCTGAGGCCAGAGGACTTGAAAACTGATGCGTTTGTTGATAGGTGGTGATGATGCTAGGATAATTAGATGGTAGGCATTCTCATCGTGTCTTTGTGGCGAATGCGGTATGAATAACCAACGATGGGCATTTAAAACGGTTGAGGAACTTCCTGGTGTAGATATGAGGGAGTGACCTCTCAGCCAGGAAGTGTTCGATTGAATACCGAAAACGAACACAACTCTCGACTATCGGCTCTCTTTGTGCTTTTCAGATGCTTCTGAAGAGGTAGATAAAGCGAAGTCAAAAGTCAAACAAGGCTGTCGGCATTTGGGTTTCATCAAGGGATGTTTTTCAGTTCACGTGGTTGACAACTGATGGCTTCAACCTCAATGCAAATTCCAACATGTACCAGCGATTTATCACGTCTCGTAAATCGCGGCTATTCTAAGAGCAGTTTTGGTGATTCTATGTTATCAGGGAATACTTAAACTTCACCGAGACAAGTGATGGGATAATATGATCAAGGACTGGCTGTCAACAGAGGTAAGTTGCCGGTCGAGCTCACTACTGCTGAAGTCATGGCCTTTATAGCATTTGGATCATCGCTGACGCATCAGAAACATACAGAATTCGTGACAGCGAGTTCAATTTAAGGGAAATACACCGATGCATGGAAATAAACCACCAGAAGGCAAGTCTACAGTGGGCGTAAATGAGAACGAGCTGCGTTAGTGGAGAGGCTGGTCTTGATTCCGCGTAACTGCACCCGCCGCGATGACACGTCACTTTTAATGGAACTTGGACATCACCAGATTTATAGCAGTATGTTTGCAGGTATTTCCATGGTGAAGCTCTTCTACGGGAGAATGGGGCAGGGGACGAATTCTACATCAAAATGGCAATCTTCAGAGACCATTCTGCTGCCGAGGTTGGCATTGGTGTCGATATGCGCACCAGCCTTACTAGCACGTTGCTCACCAGACAACGTGCATACTCTCAAAATAACAATGACTGGCACAGAAAACACCACTCGATACATTGTTCAAAGACGCCTTCTACGATGTTGTGTCAGCGAGAGACAGTGGCCTTAATGTAGAGACTGGTTGTCCTGGCACTGGTTAAGTGCATTTGCTCACCTTGACCTCAACGACACAGGATTGCTGGGGTTGGCTGTCGCTCGATCAATAAAATCACGGCATGAAATTTGATCGGCGCCTTGAATTTTTGACAGAAAAACTTTGCTTGTTGTACGAAGGGCAGCTGAGAGCAATGCGAGTAAGCTTCGGTGATGAATTGGTTCGATCCTGCGTATGTGCACATGCTGTGGTGATACGCCACTGTAGATGGTACATGGCACTGAACTGAGGATACCGTCAAGGACATACCGAATCCAAACTTGTTAACACTTGCGGCAAACAGAAGTAACAGACTTCACGAAGGGATAGAGACCAGCGTGCACCATTCGTTCAGTGCGTAGAATGCCACTGGCTCACGAGATATCGAGAGGCACTTCTGTTGATCACCATTGACCGTATCAGTGAGGCTTCAGAATAATGCCCCAATTTCCATGGAAATAGGAACAGCTCAAGCGATGCAATTCTAACCAAGATAAATCGTTTTGCGGAGACCACTGGCTGCGGTGGTGCTGGAGTTGCAGGGGAGGGATGAAGCCGGACCAGAACCCGTGATTTGGTGATCCTTCAGGTTACATGGGCGATATGCGTATTTTTTCGGCGAATGTTGACCTTGAAAAGGCTCAGACAAGTCGAACCATCACCGACAGGATAAGAATGCACGAGTCCCCATAGTCGAGTGATAGGCTTTCTGCCGCTGCAAGGGAGTGTTATCCGGAACTAGGGGATCTTTGGTGCACAGCACTTCAGAAGCAAGGTCGTGGACACAAATAGAGCGAAGTCGACTTTGACGTTTTTTCTTCTCTGAGGATAAAATGGAATTTTCGGATTCAATGGGCTAACTGAGGTGTTGAACTCGCTCTTGTTTGGCGTGCAGTGTCGAAGTGGTTTGAGGTCCGTGAGAACCTCAGTACCCGCCCTTTTCGGAGTAACTCGCACGTCGGCCCCTGAACAAGGACCGCAACGTCACTCACGAGAATTTTCTAGAACACGAGGCTTTCTCGATTTTTGGATTGAACACGAAACTTGGACTGATTCTGCGGCATTGAACAATTATATGAAGATCACGTCTGTGCTGAAACATGCCACCTCCGGTACTCGGTAGTCGAGATGCTTGCTCAACGAGGCTTTGGAGCGGTATACGGATATCGTCACTCTGAGATAACTCGACAACGGGCGATATACATACTCAAATTTTTGCATCGACCGTTTTTAATGAAGACACGAGTTGGAATCGGTCGGATAAAGTGGTGGTATCTGAGTCAGATGCCGTCAAGGCTGAAGGTGGCAAAGCAGTGAAAGATGAGATATCGAGATGGAGACCTGTAACTCGAGCAATATCAAGCGTGTGTGCATGCGATAAAAAAATAAACATGTGCATAGAATCAGGTGCAATTTTCCCAATTCCATAAATGCTTTGGCAGGTATCGTACCGCCATCGGAAATAAAGTAGCCTCTTGAGCCTCGGGTGGTCTGGTCTGTCTGTTTGGCCTTGGACTAGGAGATTCGCGTTTGCCTCGAAATTGAGCCAGCCATGTTCATCCTCGCATCCAATTGTTGATTTTCTCCTCTTTTGCTCCCTACATCCCATCGAAGCGCTCGCTCATCAGCCTTTTTTTCTGGGGTCGAGCAAACTCAACTTAACTCCCTTCTCTTCCTTGCTCTCCCAGCCTCTTCCTCCTCTCTCTCTCTCTCTTCATCTCACAACTAACTACAACTAACTGCAACACATCGATACCATCCATCTATCTCTTGTAGTATCAAGAGTCTAGGTATTTATGTATTACACTTGAGCACGAGACTTTTATTCTCCACTATTCGTCTCTATATCTCTCTCATCTCGTTTTTTACCCTTCTTCCTTCCTTCATCCCCCCCTCCTTTTGTATCTCTCTATTCCTTTGACCCTCGTCACGTCCTGGCCACTCAATCCCACTTTTTTCTTCAAATCAACCAACAAAGAACGCGACGAGGTCCAAACGCAGCATCAACATTCATTGTTGAACTTCTTTCAAGACAATACAACACGACACAATATATAATAACCCGATTATCTTCGCTTTATCTGTAAGTTCCACTGATACACTCTTTCATATTCACCAAAGAAGAGTGATTCACTTTATCGAGTCTATTTTATTCGATTGCTCCTCTCTTGCTTTCTTCTATCAACATCACATCAACCTCCTGCCTCTCTCAGCATTCTCTTTCGCTCGCCGAATCCATCCATCCTTCTCCTTTTTCGGCTTTTCTTACTCCTACACGGAAACTACGATAGTACGTACCAAGCATTAGCCTTGGACCTTACCTTTCTCTTCCTTGCCTACCCTTGGCAAGTCTAAGGTTGGACCGGCGCGCGCGGGGGGAGAGCACCACCCACTCGACTAGGTATTACTGTACCTAGTCGCCCACGCTCCTTCCCACTCCCATCTCCATCTCTGGGCGCGCCGCGTTTGCTTCTCACTTTCATTTAACTCTCTACCTCACACTTTCTTCCTTCTACACGCTAAACTTTGTCAAACACAACGTCTTGACTTATTTTTCTCTTCAATTTACTCAAATCATCCATTTTCTTTACTTTTTTCTACACTTCGAATGATTTCTCGGTTCTAAATATTTCGCGTCAAACAGTCTATTACACCTCTCAGGCGAGCTTTGCCCCTGCCGAAATGGCACTCTTATTGTCCTCTGAGGGCGCCTTTGAGGTCAGCACCACGGACGATTCTTCCTCCAATGTCGCGTCTGCAACTTCAACACCTCCTACTACCGTCGCCGATGAAGCCAGTCTTCACTCCGATTCTCCCAAACGCGATGTCGTTCACGTTGCACTCGACCCTGACTCTCCCGAAGTCGCGCCTACTATATCCCAGCCCATCGAGCCTACAGAGATCGACAGCGCCGCCAATGCGCTGCCGCCTGCCCCAATTCGCTCTCGACGTAGCCGCGTCAGTGCCCCGGTTTACAATCTTGTTCAATTGAGTGGTACAGCTGGCCATGGAAAACGACGCGCCAAAGGAGACATTGTCGCGGACCGACGACGAAGAAGAAAGACCATTTCCGGTCCAATCTTGGGTGATGACGAGGGAACGTCCAATACTCCTCAGGATGCAACACCCGAAACCGTACGCAGTGGTATCGACGCGCTGGGGGCTACTCAGTCAGCAAGCAAGCTAGATTCCCCCCGCGCTCGTCGCCAGAAGATCGCGGAGGAGAGTAGCTCGAGCAGACGTTCTTTGACGCGTCGGACCAGTGTCTTTGCGCCTATCGCAGCTACACCTATTACTAAAAACTCCAAGGCTACCAAACGCAGTCGCAAATCCATGGAAAAGACCTCGACGCCCATGTCACGCGAGCTCAGGCGTCTGCAGGACACTAAGGAATTTGCGCACATCGACGAGAAGCCTGTGGTTTTGAGTGTGTGGTCAAACGGAAAATTTGTTGACCCTAAGGCTGCCAAATCAGCCTCACGAAAGAAGGCTGAGCCTGAACAAGCTGCCGAGGAGCCCAAAGAGGCCGAACCCGAGCCCGTGATTAACACCAGGAAGCGTCGGGTCAAGAAATACCTTGCTAAGGGTCTTTACGCTGGACAGGATGCTCCCATCGACATTTCTAAGGGTTTGACCGTGGGAGAGAAGAAGGCTCTGGCTCAGTTGCCGGAACTTATTCCCAGCGGTCGCGTCAACAAGACAATGCCTTTGCCCATGTTTAACGGTCTCCGCACACTCATCGAAGGCCGCGACTTCAAGCTCCCCTACCAGGTTTGCAACCCGCTTCCACCAGGTCAACCAAAACCCGATGAATGGAAGAAAATGACAAAGAGTAAGTTTTGTGCCGAAATTGCAAGTTTAGCACTAACGTTGTCTAGATCGCTTCATTGGCGAATCTAAGGATTACTGGCGAAAGTCCCCTCACTTCCACGACTATTCATCGAAGTGCGTTTGCAAGCCGGAAGATGGATGTGGTGAGAGCTGCCAGAACCGAATTATGCTTTACGAATGTGATGAGCAGAATTGCAATGCGGGCAAGCAGTATTGCACCAACCGTGCTTTTGCCACCCTCACGGCGCGCCGAAACAAGGGCGGAAAGTACCGAGTTGGCGTTGAGGTGATCAAGACTTCCGACCGTGGGTATGGTGTCCGAAGCAACCGATGCTTCAGACCCAACCAAATTATCATGGAGTATGCCGGAGAAATCATCACTGAAGATGAGTGTGAGCGCCGTATGACCGAAGTATACAAGGACAATGAGGTTAGTTTATAAGTCATTTTGCGATTTTGATTGGACAATTTAGCTGACTCAGCAAAGTGCTACTATCTCATGAGCTTCGATCAAAATATGATCATCGACGCAACAACAGGAAGCATCGCGCGTTTCGTGAATCACAGTTGCAACCCAAATTGCAGAATGATTAAATGGATCGTTTCCGGACAGCCGCGAATGGCCCTGTTTGCGGGTGATAAGCCCATCATGACAGGTGATGAGCTGACGTATGACTACAACTTTGACCCCTTTTCTGCCAAGAACGTACAGAAATGCCTCTGCGGAGAGCCCAACTGCCGTGGTGTTCTAGGACCAAAGCCTCGCGAAGTCAAGCAGCCCAAGACTGATCTCAAGAATGCTGTCAAGGGCGCTGTCAAGGCAGGCAAACGTAAGCTTAAGGAGCTTATCGGAGACGAAGGAGACGATGGCAAGAATGCGAAGAAGCGCAAGGTGCAGCCTGCAAAGGGAGTGAAGCGAGCCATTTCCAACGCCGGTTCTAAGATGGCCAAGGGCGCAGCAAATGCTCTCAAGAAGGGTGTTTCGACAGTGGCCTCGACTACCAGGAAGGCGGCTCTGGGTTCAAAGTCACCGGCTAAGCGACGTGTCTCGACTGGAGTTCTCCTTAAGAAGACGACAACCAAACGAGTCATGCAGACATACTCACGCACTCCACAGAGGCGAGCATCGGAGCGTGCATCGAGTGTCGGCCTTGTCTCTGCAAGCCGAACCAAGAGCTCTTCAGTGACCAAGGTGTCAACTAAGGCGACAAGGACGACGGCCAGTCTCAGGAGGACATCATCACGAGTGACCTCGCCCCGACAGGCATTGGATCTTTCACGCGATGGCGAGATTCGGGTGGTCGCAGACGATTAGGAACATCAAAGAGTTGATGACGTTGGGATGAGGATTTGTGCTTACTGATAAAGGAGGCGAGGCATTCTCGCAGACCTGGACTGCTCCATTGCATCACGAAATGAATCAAGAATAGGGGCAGGAGAAACGGATCGGGACAGGAACAGGAACAGGGGAGCGATAGGAAATCTGGGTGCTAATCTTGCTCTTTTCCCGCCATTGTCTTCATTTTATTGCTTGTCTGCGGGCGCCAGGGCGTATAAGGAGGCAAGGTTTGGCATTGTACAGTATCAGGGAACGGGTGGATGGCTGGCCGGCTGTTGGAGGTCTGTAACCTTGCTTTAGCTATCTTTCATGCTTTACTGTTCAACACGTATTGTAATGATGTTTGGAAGTGTTTGTCGGCTGTGTGCAATACAATGTGTATTTCTCGTGATCAAAATGTGATGCGAGACTTTGCGGTGACATTGATCGTCAAGGATCAGGGGTTATGCGATTGCATATCTCAAGCACTGAATCGGGCTTGATTGCACATTCATAATACTCACTCAGTCTTTGATGACTGTCATTGATTTGTAAATCCCAGTTTGATACACAGACTCCTCAAGGCATTGCGAGGCGAAACAAGGCATCGGAGCTAAATGCACTGCGCTGGGGCATATTTGTTCTTGTCCTAAAACTTGTAGCGCAGGACTGATGAGTCGCAAATGCGCATTGCGCTTGTGAGCATTTATTTGGTATTGTAAGTTCTAGGACGAGGAGCGGAACGTCTAATTGGGGGTATGTTGTAGACTTGGACAAATCTCAAGTGGTGCTGTCTGGGAGGAGAGTGTTGATACTGGTTTCTGGCGAGCTTCAGGTGTTTGCCAGGAGGATCAATGGTTACTGAAGCCCCGATGACACGGATTGTCAATTCGTAAGCCCTCGGCGACACAGCGAAGAAGGGTTCCAGAAGGGAACTTGCTGTTATTTGGTGGTCAAGATGCGTGCTTTCATCGCTTGTCACGCTGTGCAGGTGAGCCGGCTTCTACAGGCACTTCACACATTCACTTGCAGACTTCCATCTATTCTCTTGGGGATGACTGAGCGAGAGGCTATTCTTCGACTGAGACTTACAAATCCTTGATCAATAAAGGTAAATTCTATCGAGAAAATTCTCTAATTATTAATTACAAAGACAAGAACTTCAAGTAAGACTCAGTCTTCAAGTTGTAATGGAGTGACATGGCTCAGTGCCTCCTCTCTTACAATCACAGGGGCCAAAACTAACTCTATCGAGGCTGGAGGCCTATAGATAACTTGTAAACTACCTACTGTAAGGAAGTCTCATACTTACGTGCCACCACCTCCTTGATCCCGCGGCCGAAATCGGGAACATGATATGATGCTTCTTTTGTATGGATGCTCTGAATGCGATGCTTCCGGATTCCATTCGCTGTAAGAAGTTGACTAAGCCGCTCTGACCAACCACTGCCACCCCTCGAATATTACGCCAACCTCACTGAAGCCAGGCGCTGCGCTTAGATTGGGTGTATCGCGACACGTTCAGGAGACTTTGCCTCGATTCAGGCCTAACTTTACCCATAGCAGTCACATATCCATTAAGGGGAACCCTGAAAACGTATGATCAAAATAGAAATATTTTCTATCAGCCTGCCAATCCGGATAAAGGAAAAGCGCATGTCAAATGAGACCGCCAGCATATTGCAGCACACATCTAGTCTAAGATACAGAAGAAAGCAACATGACAAACTATACTAGACAAAGGAAAGTCTAAAGCAGTAAATCGAGGTCTTAAGACACTCGGGAGTAGAAATGAAAGCCAAAATAGAACAAGAGAAGAGAAGAGAAGAGAAGAGAGACACGAAAGGGAGGGTGATACTGGCATCTAGCAACACCAGATGAGATAGCATCCTCTGGGATATTTGGGGAAATTGAAAGCATCAATAAAAGAAATGAAAATAACTGAAGACAGAAGAAAGTTCCATATCCCAACATAAACAAGGCAAAGGTTAGACGATCGCCACCAGATCATCGCAAAAGAGATTCATGAGAGCCATGAAAACAATAAGGCCGTGCTCATTCACTGCCATCAAGACGCCGCCTATCTCCCTTGGACAACAGTGCCAGAGGCATCTACTGTTTCCCATGATTTTGTCTATACCGTTATGGTGCACTGCTGTATATCATAACCAGCTGCTGTCGATGCTGTCGTCTGATTGGGCATTGCTCAATATGAGCTCTGCTGATCAACTCAAAAGCGTCTGGCTATGTGATCAAGTCTCTTGAAGCCAGGCCATGATGTGTCCGCCACCCCAACTCGTAGGCGGCAATCTATTCATTTCGCTCCTTTCCCACCTCTTGATATGCCCGCGACTCCTCGTTCATTATGAAGTTGCTGTAGCGTTCAAGACGTTATTTCTACTTTCCACCGAGTGGGAGAGTAAAAGCGGAACAGCATGTAGAGCTGTAATAATGATTGCATTCGATGCAGGCCTCCCCATTTGTGAAGCTGTTGACATCACCACATTTGGAACATGTCCACATGTATTTGACACCTTGTGTAGGCATGATGGTAGGGTTTTCAGTGGTAGATAAACAAAAGGTCGAGTAGTCTTTGAACTGCAAGTTTGCTGCCGTTTAAAAGCTTGAGAGTTGTTGAGGAAGCCAACGAAAGCCGTCGAGATCATCCTTTAAGTATCCAGCATCAACCATTAAGTCCAATACTAGACCCAACAATACTAGTCATAAAGGAATACAAGACCTCAGTGAGGCGATTGTGGTTTCCCACAGACACCACTTGATGGCCAAAACAAACAAGCCCCATGATTGGAACTCCCACGTTGACATGGTTCAGAGTCAAAGAGACTAATAAGTCTTCGCATCGGAGCAATCAGTTACACTCGTATATGATTGAAATTGTCATAGTCGTCTATCGTGTGACTGTGTGACATAGCGGTTGAGAATCGCAAAGCTTCAAAAGGGGTTGTTTAATAGGGGGTTTGAGAAAGTTTCAACCCTCGAGCGTATAATTTGATTGCCGTGACCCTGACTCACTAACCATATGTCTGGCCAGCTTCCAAAGGACTGGACGAGAATAGTTGCCATCGGCTCGGACTTTGCTGCGCACTTGGGCACTGCCCAAGGAAGACATGAGAATCGTGGTCGAGAGTAGCTTCGCCTCAGTCGACATCGCTCGTAGGAAATCAATGATAGTCGGATGCTTGAGAAAAGGGGTGCGCTTGTCACTGAGGCGAGCCATTGTTGGCATTATCTATGATCACATGGTGAATCTGAGGCAAGCCTCTAGAAGGGGTCTAGAAACCGCACATTTTGAATCGAGATGACTTACATGCCTCAACCACAAACTGGCAGGAATACCTTGCTAGCTGCTTTCAACTCCCACTTAGCTTCTAAATGGCCTTGGGTAAATGCCATGGGCATTGTAAATGGAGTTGTCGGATATCGCAATTGCGAGTGAACGTCGTAGACCAGTCTTTCAAAGCCCCACCTGAATGTTAGTGTCTGCTAAGCCCCTGGAGCTTAATAGTTAGCGACAACAACAACAACAACGACGGAGACTTGAAACTCGTTCCCCCAAGGGGAATGCCTCTCAGCACCATCGACAGGGCTTGGGCCTTGGGATTGCGCATGTTTGCGGTAAGGTAGCGTGCGTGTGAAGTGTAAGTTGGAAACCAGGGCGGGGTTGCCGTTCTTTCGTAAGAGCGGGGGCCTTCGCTTTGGAATACCTAGCCGAGGGGTGTTGGACTAACCGTCAGGGTCGAAATCACGGTATAGTCGCAAGCATTAACAAATCCAACTCAGCAGGGCGGAGAAATGCGACAGGGACAAGCCCAAACAAAGAGATTGAAGTTTGGGGGAATGAGGCTCTGCGCCGGCCGACATCGGATGAACAGTTGAGCGTCGATACCGTTTGTTGTAGGCATGTGACGAAAGCCTGGTTCAAAGTGCAAACTCCTTTATGCAATGTCATTCTTTGTGTGCATGTTAGCATAACCTATTCATCCGGGTACATGAATAAGGCCGAAGAATAACATGCCTCACTAATTTCCCAGGTACCTTTGCCAAGCACTTGAAAGTACAAAGGTACGTTTATAGGACTTTGGGCGTGGGTCGCCAAATGGTTCTGATATCGCCAAACGAGGCAAGCAAACACCTAGGCTAAGCACCCGACCTAGACTGCAAAATAGAGAGTTAGAGATAGTCAGATTTGATGTTCTGGTTGTTCTTTGAGGGCCACGATTTAAAGGGAAAATACCGAGATAGTGCAGCTTTGACTCACCAAGCTTCCACAGCATCCACCCACATGTCTCGATATGAGAACTTTAATATAGAAAGAATACTTGTATCTATATTGGATCGTCAGTTATCGTCAAAAAGAAACTGCTTCGATGATATCGACTTACAATTTGTCACTACATGGGGAGGAAACAATGATTCGCTTGCTCAAGTTGCATTGCAAGCCTCTAGGCCTCAGATAGTCACACAGAGCAAGTGCGAGCAAACTGAAAGGACACGAAAGGACAGTTGTATGCAAGAATCAAAGTAGGCTCCGGGCAGAACTGAGAAAGACGGAGGACGGAGGACGGAGGAACGAGCTTATATGTTTCTTTGAGAGACTGCCTTGCCCCCACTTCATGGTAATATGCACCCGCGTTAGGAGCCTGGGAGATAGTGCAAGTATAAAAAGACATACCAACAGCCTGCCTGTATTGTGTGCAAACATATAGCTAACGTGAAAATACCCAAGTGTCATAAGGAGCCGCATGCTTTGCTGAGCGCTGTTTCTTGGAAATTTTGTATAACGCTGCGCTGTGTGATAAGCAAACCAGCACGAGCGTGCAACCGTGGAGTTGGAAGTCTATCGAGCTTGAAACAGAGTTTTCTCAATAAACCCGGTGATCAAACCACAGCATCCATAAGGCTCTCGTTTTATGTATCTTGTGTGCTGCTGAGAAAAATGGTGATCGTAGACGGGCGCAGGCGCTTTGGTGTATGGGCTGATGAAAGCTCACACACGCTTATTGAGCCTTGGCGAGGCCATGCTATATGCAAAAGCGGTTTGGACGATCTTCGAAGTAGGTGAGAACGGTTTCTGCAAAGATGGGACGTTGTTTTTCGTGATCTTTTTCTGTTTTTTTGCACTGATGCAAAGACGTTTGTAGGGTCGACGTCGTGACCCTTAGCAGGTGAAATCTACGCCCATTTGCGAAGCAAGATGACGGATGAAGGACAAGGTAGATTATGGACTCAGGCACCCTGAAGAAGGATTGGGAGCTCACTTGATGCCTGACATCAAATGCATGGCTTCCTTGGTTCTAAGGTGTAGCACCAGTCCCGTTGTAGCCTCCTCAGGCTTTGCATAAGGTACTGCATCGTGACCAATAACACAAGCTTCGGAATCAGCAAGAGCATTGCTGAAGGATTCTTTGGCTCACATGCCATAAATGTTAGAGGCATAAACCTTGTGGCATGATAACCGAGGCGATCTGTGGCATTTCTTTAATTAAGGGGTCCCTGCTCTGCCTTGTCCTGGACAAGCGCCTATAGGTAAGAAGTTGTCGGGCCTCAAGTCAGCAATAGACTCCTCGAATCCTCTCAAAATTTCAGGATAGAAATCCTCACTACCTTATATCTAGTCTTGGTGTGTGCGTGGACTCTACGAGCTGACGAGTCGCTGAGGAGTTCTCGAAGGCTTAGCCCTCCTTTTGAAAGCCAGCAGATCCTCTGGCAGCTCAAATATTTGATAGTCTAAAAATAGACTCAATGGTAGCACATCACAAAGACGACAGCCCTCATTTGAACTAGATTGTAAATGTAGTGAATAGAATCTGCAGTTGGTGTAGGAGTTCTGCATATAAGGCGGACTTGAGGCAGATTGTGCGCCATTGGTTTGATTTGGGGCTTTCGCAAATGCTTCGAAGCCATCTAAAGAGTAGGGATCCCTGAATAGCGGCTTCTGGAGGAGACAATGACAGCCATTCAATTACAGTATGAAGCTTTGTTATTACGATGCAACGAAATGAAGATTTATTGGTTTGTTGGTTGTGTTGTTGGTTGATGCTCAATTCGGCTGAGAACAAAGGCATTGGGATGGATCCATTGAAGAGGGCGGCAGAGACAGTGGGGGTTATGGACCTCAGAATTAGATCCATGGATGTGAGTCGCCAACACTCCAAGTCAGTCCCATAAGAGACATTCCTAATGATGGTCTGGGTCTTGGTATAAGTAGCTCGAGAATCCTATCATTTTTAAGTAGGCGTTTAGTTACGTACATGTTTCTCTGTCACGTTGCTGATAATTTGTCAAAGGTACGGACTTGACCATTCAACATTTTAAATGTCAGTCATTGGTACTTTGTACCATAATTCTGGTTTTCTGAAAAAACCTAAATAATTATTCAAAAATTCTTATTGGGTCCTATTTAGTGAATTACCTATCAGCAAGTAAAATATCTTGTGGTGCGTCGCCCCATGTAAATAGATTCGAGAGTACTCCGTATCGAAGTCCAAGTCGACAATTGCACAGCAACAACGTTGGAAGGGCACGCTATAACACACATGTGACAGAAACTTGAAGTATAATTATAGAAAGTATAAGTATTGCACACGCTGTTCCTTTGGGTGTATGAGACTTTTCCATTTCTGTAACCAAAATCTGTCGACGATTATATATCGATCGAATCTACCAACCTCGGAGCCTTCCATCTAGCATTTCCTGATTGGGTAGTTACACAGTGTGTTCTGAGAAATGACAGCGATGGAAAGCACGGTGGTGACCCACCCGGACGAGTCGGACTTGGCGGACTTGGCCCGACCTGGTATTGTTACTACAGCGGAAACTGCCAATGCCGCAGCACAAACAACAGAAGATGAGATCATTACTCGTCCACGATCAGCTCGCACACACTCACATTCTTCACTCTCTGTAATCACCGGGATAGAGCCGTCCGCGAGCCCTCGCTCCAGTCATTCGTCGAATTGGTCCTCCCCATGGAGCGATGAGATGCCAGAACCCTCAACCAGCAAACGCCGTTCCACGCGATGGATCGCGCGCGGGCTTCCTCTGCTGATGCTGGCACTCGTGGCTTACGCGACCTACGATATCATTGTCTACTGCTGCGGTGAGCTCTGTCTTGCTGTGCTGCTGCTTATTGAACATTTGCTGACAATTAATAGTCCAGGACTTCATGCAAAAAAGGGGCAAGACGGCAGTCGGCGTTGTTCTAATTGCATTGTATTCTATCCTCCTCCTTCTCATGGTCGCAGCCTACATACGATGCTACGTAACGATTCAATTCAACCCTGGCTTTGTGCCATGGACAGCCGAAAGGGAAGCCCTCGAGCAGGAGCGTAATCAACGAGCGAGCAACGGAGCCGACGTCGAGATACGATCTTGGGCACCTCGAGACGACGAACCCGACAGCCCCGGTCTTGAGTCGTTCTACAGCAAAGATATCTTTGTTTGCGAACTCGATGGTTTCCCTAAGTGGTGCTCCGATTGCAGAAACTGGAAGCCTGACCGGGCGCATCATTCTACCGAGTATGATTATTGCGTGTACAAGATGGACCATGTCTGTCCCTGGATGGGCGGCATCATCTCGGAAACTTGTGAGTGTTAGCCCTGAGGAAACCTTGTGCAGTAACTAATGCTTCAGCAGCCTTTAACTTTTTTATACAATTTTGCTTCTACTGTGCTTGTTTTTGCATAATCATTGTTTCCACCAATGGCTACCTTACCAGCCTACGCCTACAAGAAGCCAAAAGTATTGACGCGCGACTCATTGTTGCTCTGGCACTTGGTGGTCTTTTCGGCTTGTTCTCCATAACCATGACAGTCACGGCTTTAAGATTTGCTTTTCAAAACATCACCAATGTCGATATGTACAAGAAGAACCAGATCTTTCGACTGGCAGTTCGGATTCCGACAGACACCCCACCGAATGATCGATTCAACACCATCACTTACCCACTGGAAAGACCCGGAGAGGGTCCTAGGGCTCCAGATGCAGCTCACACCAGTGGAATGACACAAGCGAATGGCGCTGCGTCCGCACGAGCAAGCGCAATGGCGGCTAGAGACCAACAAGCTAGGCGGACATTCGCCATCCTCCAGGCAGAACCTGGAGAGAACCCATGGCACTTGGGTTACCTGCAAAACTTCAAATCAGTCATGGGAGACTCGATCATCGAGTGGTTTCTACCCATCCGCCACTCGCCCTGTAGCCGCCATGATAGCATGGTGAGCGACTACAAGTTTGGGCCACTGGTGGAGGAATTGAAAAGACGGTATGGGCTTGAGGGGAGCGACCCCGAGAAGAGGGCAGCGGCTATGACTTCGAATTAGATACCCAAAGAGTTGCACAAAGACTTATATCATTTGTTATAGGGCAAGAGGCGGAAAAGGACAGTAGCGGTATACGTAATGTTTAAAGACTAGAACTAGTTGGTATAGTCCAGCTTAGCCACCACAATAAGCGCAAAGACTTGTGTGTTTTTCTTATGTTTTAATCAGGATCGGTTACTTAGACACGCACCTGGACTCGACAAAGGCCACTGGGCCTTGCTTGAATAGCGTAGGTGTTACTAGCAGCTTTAGAAATCGTGCGTGGAGGACCACGTAGGTACAGACTTTACTATTGTCAACGCTAAATAGAGGGTTCACCCGACAAGCATCACTTTCCAAAGACAGGCTTGCCCAGCCGGTTCGTTCATATATTGTGCAGTAACTTGAGTAGTCTCGAGGCAAAAAGAGATGTCGAATATCGCAAAAAACATACAACACCGGGGATTCGCTGGTCGTCACCGACCCAACTACTAATCCGGCGCTTCGCAGCTTGACGATGGGAGAGCGGACGGGATCCCGTATTCTCTACGAGCTTTGGTCGTATGTACCTGAAGAGGTGGTGGCGAGGCTCATATCTTTGCGCTGGGGATGGGATAGGTGGTTGTGAAGGAGAACTATGAAGAGCCAGATGAGCACTCCTCTGAGATCCAAGTCACTAAGAGGGTCAAGTCATTTAGGCAGTGCCACTTGAAGAGGGGAGGGGAAATGCCCTGTGCCACGGTGGGTTGTGATGCAGGTTGAAGCCATCGTGGCCCGCATGCTCTAGGGTGGCTTTTCACGGATCGGGTGGTTTTCTTGACACTCGGCAACCAAAGAACCTTCTGTACATATCATCTTACTTAAGACTTGTAATTTCGCTGAAACATGCGTAAGTTTATGGAGGAGGAATTCTTTTGAAGTCTTGCTGAAATCTGCAATTTCTGGCCCAACATCCCATTTAAATGTATGACGTGCATGTTTCTGCACTGTCAAGTGTACGACCTCGATAACGCCAGACAACACAATCATCAAAGCAGGCATTTATCATAGCGAGACTCGTTTCTTTCATAGAGAAAACAGCTGAGATATCCTACTAAAACCATCGTCTTGTAAATGAACGGCAACTAAGGACAAGAAGGGAACGACGTTCGAAAGTGGATCTTGCTCTGTGAAGGAGTTGAATGGCACTGGCGCGGACCTATCACATCTCGCGTTCCTCCTTCCATTCACCACGTCTATCTTCGTCTTTAAGCTCACGACTCCTCGTAGGAGCATATCTCAATTCTCTCAATTCTCTCAAGAAACTCAGCCCCAACTTGTGAAGAGCTTGCGAAGAGAGCGACATTGTCGCATTGTTTGTGGCGTTCGCGGACACGAGAAATTCTCCGTGAAGAGAGACATCGACCGCCTGCATTACCAACGCCTTGCAGTAGCCGCACAATACGAATGCATTTTTCACCGTCAAGAAAGCCCTAAAATATCGAAGCCTCACATTTTATGTCTTCGTCACCGCTACACAGGCCTCTCGGGGCTTCGTCACCACTGCTTGAAGGAGGCCGGCGGCGTTCCCAGTTCACGTATCGCCAATTCTCACAGCTTGCTTCGTCCAACACTTCGAACCCGCTGCGCGTCATTGCCCACATTGACCTCGACGCCTTTTATGCGCAGTGCGAGACGGTTAGACTTGGTATTCCAGAGGACAAGCCGTTAGCTGTTCAACAATGGTGAGCACAAATGCATTTCCTATTTCCCGAGTCCCTACCAAGGTCAAGCCCTGATTTTCCTGCACTCTCACACTCCTCATGGAACACAAGGTGTTGTCTCTCTTCTCCGATTCCTCAAATCCTCTGTTGGACTGAGAATCGAGTCTGTTGCTCGATCCTTCTCTTTAGATGCAGCAGTGATTGGACAGTAGCAATTAGTTTTCGCTGAGGCTTGCATCGTGTTACTCTCAACCTTGCGAGATGGATCGTCACCAAGTATCTTCATGCTTATTGCCATGACCGTTCATTGTTCGCGGAATAGAGAATGATCCTTCTCAGAATCTCTGAAAAGCTGTAGAGCATGGAAATACGAGTCAACAATTCACTTCACAGCCTCCAAGAACATTCTCAGGCGAACCCTCGAAAACTCATATGTTAATTCTCCGAAGATCGTGACCTCCTGACCCAGGTTGTGTAACACTTGATCCTTGTCGCTCCGCTGTTCTTGGCCACGATTGTATGATGGCAGGCAAAGTTGTCACGATTACATCCATAGACGGTAGTCTTCCATAGCCATGGAAATGAAAGCCTCGTTTTGCCACGCTGGGGTTTATGTTCAGTCCAGGAGCTCTGTTCTCCCCAGTCACCACCAGAGCGTTACTCCTAATATCATGATTCTCCAACCCACTTTCGAGTCTCTGACATTCCAACAGGCAAGGTCTCATCGCAGTCAACTATCCTGCACGCGAGTTTGGTATTGGACGCCATTGCAATGTCGAAGAAGCAAAAAAGTTGTGCCCTGAACTTACCGTCCAGCACGTAGCTACATGGAGAGAAGGCGACGACAAGTGGGCATATCGTGAGGATGCCGCCGCCCACATAGCAACAGATAAGGTTTCACTTGATCACTATCGCCTTCAGTCTCGGAAGATCTTAGCATGTATCAAAGAGGCTCTGCCGCTTGATCTCCAGAAGGTGGAAAAAGCAAGTATTGATGAGGTCTTCCTCGATCTATCGAGCCAAACCCACCTGATCCTTCTGGAGCGCTTTCCAGAATTATCAAACCCGCCCCCCTATGACGACCCTACTGAGAACCTTCCCTTGCCATCCATTGCCGCGCTCGACTGGCAGACCGATGCTTTGATTGATCTGGATGAGGAACAGGAAACAGTCGATCCAGATTGGGATGATGTAGCAATCCTCATCGGATCTGAGATCGTTCGCAAAGTCAGGGCCGAAGTTCGACAGAAGTTGGGATACACGTGCTCAGCTGGAGTAGCAAGCAACAAGCTTCTCAGTAAGTTGGGTTCGGCATACAAGAAACCAAACAAACAGACTGTTGTACGCAACAGAGCTGTGTCTGCTTTTATGGCTGGCTTCAAAATCACCAAACTTCGAAACTTGGGTGGCAAACTCGGAGAGCAGATAGTATCGACATTCAACACAGAGAGCGTCATTGAATTGTTGGATGTTCCTTTGGCAACTATGAAAACAAAGCTTGGCCATGATACAGGTTTTTGGATATATAATACCATCCGAGGTATTGATACAAGCGAGGTCAATTCAAGAACACAGATCAAGTCGATGCTGTCGGCTAAGTCTTTTCGTCCAACTATCAACTCTTCAGAACAAGCAACGCGATGGCTGAGAATCTTTGCAGCTGACATATTCGCTCGCCTCGTTGAGGAGGGAGTTCTGGAAAACAAGAGACGACCGAGGACGATGAACTTACATCATCGCCATGAGGGACAAGTGAGATCGCGGTCGGGACCCATCCCCCAAGGCAGAATCATAGACGAAGGCAGTCTTTTCGAATTGGCTAAAGACCTCCTTTTGCAGATAATCGCAGAAGGGAGAGGAGTCTGGCCTTGTGCAAACTTGAGTCTCAGCGTAGCAGGCTTTGAAGACGGCGTCAAAGGTAACATGGGCATCGGCGCATTTCTTGTCAGGGGGGAAGAGGCAGAATCTCTTCGATCGTCGATTCCCGATAACCGTCAATCTTCTACTGGACCAGAACCCTCCGCGAAGAAACGCCGCGTCGAGGATGGTGGCATTCAGCGGTTCTTCTCCAAGCGACCCTCCACTGATCACGAAAGAACCTCCCTAACCGACTCACATACTCACGGGGAAGACTCCAAAGCTGGCTCTTTGCCATCAGATCCCACCCAAAAGACCCTCAGTTTCGCTACTAAGTATGATAGTGAGGCCCGCCATGAATCCGACCTTGCCATGCATGAGTCTCAGGCATCACCGTGGCATGAAAGCGCCTTCGATGTGCAAGTGGATCAAAAACAGCATTCATTGACCGATGTTGTATGTTCTCGCTGCAAGGCCAGCTTCGCGGACCCGGAAGCGCTCCAAAACCATAGAGATTGGCATATGGCCAAAGATCTACAAGACGCAGAACGTGTCAAGCCGACATTCGCTGAACGACAACCTGCTGCACGCAACTCTGCGCAAAAGACGCAAGGAACCACTTCAAGAAGGAGCCGGGGAGGCAAACTCGAGCAAGGTCAAAGTCGGCTCAAATTTGGTTGAACAGAAAGTGATTACTATGCGGTTTCTCGCCCGAGCTTTTTGAAGGTTTGTGTTGCAATTGCTCACGCTCACTTTGCGTTATCGTCAACAAAAGGTCACAGCACGATGGCAGGAGGTAACTCGATGCACCGGCATCAGCTTAGACTTGGGCTTTGCCGCAAGAAGACGACATGTTACATTGGCTGTTATCACCATTCTGCTCAGCATACACGAGACTTGGACTTGTTTGTACAGCCGTGGCTGTGCGATAATCCACTTTTCGTTGGCGTTCTGAAACCCTTTGAAGAAAGAGGCAGATGCACAGTTCAGGGAACATGCAGATTCTTGGTCACACAAGTCTGTCAAAACAACCGAAGCGTCTTGACAGGTCGGTAAGGCTGCGAACAGCCGAAGCGCCCATCAGGGGGATCAACAAAGTATCAAGGCTTTCGTGCTCTCACGCACGCGTCTCATCCTAAATCAACGGAGAGGCCGGAAGCATGTTAATAAAACCACAGTCTGCTGATGGAGGTACAGAAACTATCAAAGTCAATGACAAAATGTACGACTTCGTGGGATGCCAAGACGTTGACAAGTTTGGGTCAAATTTCCCCGGATGATTGGACAGCAAGGCTTGGGCACCGAACACATGGACCTGCGGGCAGAGGGTTGGGCTTCAATTGGTGCAGGCATTGCTACCCAACCCACCCTCCAAAGCGCAGCCGAAAAGCCAACCGCCAGCCACTCAAAGACTCAAACCGGGAATAGGCCTCAAATGCAGCTGCGGTATTGTTGGAATATCGCAACATCTGACAAGCATCCCGCTGTGGAAACACGTTGCCTATCATTTGTGGGCGTTAAAGGTTGCAATTCACGGTCAGCGACAACGACTGGGACATGGCATGGAGAAACAAGGAGACACAGGAGTAAGGATGCCCAACGTCCCGAGACAGTTGGGCGAGACCAAATATTGCAGCTGCAACGGAATAGAGGCACAGCTTTCCTTGCGATAGGTGACGAAGAGCTGAGAAGAGTTACGACCAGCTCCATCTATCTACGTGTCGCTTAGAGTTGAGGAGCGATAGTGAATCTGCACATATCGGGAGTATTGAATACTTGACGAGAGATATAAAGCAGCAGTGTGAGGTGTATGATGAGTTGAGGCGATGGCACATATTGTGGCCGCTCATTCTTCTCGTCCACTCTCGTTCTTCTGTCACTTCGACAAGGTAGCCTCGTTCTTACAGATCACGGCACTTCCCTGGAAAAGAAAAACAAAACCCCAAGTTGGAAAGCAAGACGTCATAGTACCCCCATCATTATTTCTCTTCGCGTCTACAACTTACCTCACGGCACTACAGTACTAGTCTCGCCAACAAGCGCTGATCTCTTGAAAGAAAACAAAGTTTGATGTCGCCTATTCGAGTTTCGTACGAGGTATCTCAGCTCCGCTTGAGGGCGATCGTAACTTAGAGACGGCGTACCGCCATCATTATCCTACCACAGACGGGGAAGAAGGCTCGAGTGGTCGTTGGGCATCGTCAAAACAAGGGATAGCCTTGTACGCGAGATACAGAGAGATATTGGAAGAGTCATCTGCCGCGCATGCTATTGATATCTGCAACTTGTTTGGTTGTCACCAGCTGTCCCCAAAGGACCCAGACATTCTGCGTTGCCAGCACAGACAAGGTCGTGATCCGTTTCGATCTTTGATCCGGACCGCGACGGGTTCGATCTTAATAAACGACAGGTTGAATCGTTTCTACATGTTCAATTTTCGAGAATTGATATTTCAATCAAAATACCCCATAACTGACGCAATTTCGCTATCTTTGGAACAAACAAGGGACAAGCCACGTTGCGACCCGGACGACGAGACATCTGCACTTCCTTAATGGGATAAGACAGGAAAGGTGGCTTACAGCGCACCTGTCACACCACACGAGGGGTACATCACGGTGCAAAACCTCAGTTGACAGGATAGATGCTAAGTCCTAGGTACGGGACTTTGAACAGTTTCGCAGAAATACGACAAGCCTTGTCGCGGTGTTAAAAGTCGATTGACAACAAGCGGCGTTCGCCGTGACAGCCACCGCAATCATTGATCATTCAGCATACGGTGGGCTGCGCTGTGACTCGCCAGCCGGAAACCGCTTGGTCGCAGAGTCACAAGAAAGTCGGGAGCTGAATTTGGGAGAGGGATTGAAACCCAGAGATTCTCAACCGACAAACAGAGGGTTTAGCCCAGCCTCTCGCGGTGCCCAAGTGTCGCCAGTCACCGCTAAAGTCAAAGCCCAACCTCGAGACCAGGACCCAGGCGGGCAAGGCAGAGGACGCGCTGTAGAGCAAGCTCTGCAAACCCAAGAGGTGCCAACCGCATCTGGCTTCGGTAACGTCCAACGGTCCACCAAAATAGGTCGCCACTGGACGCAGGGTTGTTGGCAGCACGGAACAGACAAGGAGCAGGCTAGCCAGGATCAGGATCAGTATCAGGGCACCCACGCACGAGGCCAGCGCCAGTTGCAGATCCCGCAGCTTGGTGTTGGGCTCGGTCAAGGAGGGAGACAAGCGTCCGGCACGGATAGTCCCAGGGAAGAATCAGTCATCACGTTGACAGCCCAGCCTGAAGAGGGAAGTTCCTCATCAATAGACGAGATTTTAGCAGAGTCTGCGTTTTGTCTCGAACAGCCGGGAGACCCCAGCTTATACTATCTTGGCTTACTGCAAAATCAGAACCAGCTCCACCACAAAAACCACAACGCCCAACAGTATCAGGGTTTTGTGGGCGACGACCCATCAATATCAAGTCATCAGCAACCTCAACCTTCCGGGTTTGGTTATCAGCATCAGCATAACCAACCTCCTGCATGCTCATCGCCACCATTCTCATTTTCTTTCCCCCCTCCAGCACCTCCATCATCAGCACCAGCAACGTCTGTCTTTGGACTGGCCCCTCCTCCTCCTCTGCCTTCTCCTGCATCTCCACCAAGACCACCGCCGAGACGACGCTTCCAGCCAACTACGTCTCGCCGTCAGCAAAACCTGTCCCACTGCCGGTCAAATTCCAATCTGAGCTCGAGCTCCAGTGTCAGCACTGGTGCCAGCAGACGTCTTCTGGCCTCTCGGTCTCCTGCAAGTCACTCTGCCAGTGGGAAATCCCCTCGTCAGCGCCTAGCATCAGCACCACCATTACCACAGCCAATAGACAGTGCAGACCCACAGGATACGCCCACCGCCCACCACCGCCATTCGCCTTTTCTTCCTCCTCATCCTCACCTGCCCGCTTCTTCTCTTTCTGCCTGTTCTACCCTCTCAGCTCTCTCCACGTCGTCTCCCTCCTCCCCCATCTCCGGCTCTATCTCCTCTTCTCCCGCACTTCTGTCGACCTTCTCTTCCATCTCTTCTTCTTCCTCATCTCATCTTACCTCTTCGCCGGCCATATCCTCCCCACACATCAACAACATGTCGAGATCATCCCGGAACGCTGCCCCTACCACTTCTGGTACGGGACGACAAAACGAATACTTCGTGCCTCGCGATGGCATCGACCGCGAAGTCATCTCCGCCGACATCTGCCGCTATCTGGGCAACGATGCCCTCGTGCGTCCCGGTCATTACGAGGTACGCCATCTGCCTGATGAACCCCACTATCGCGATGAAACAATTGACTCACATTTCATGACAACAGAACCCTCAGACAGGCCAAGCCGTGCAAGGCTACTACATCACCGCTTACAGGAATCTTACAACTGTGAGTTTCTTCTCAACATTAATAACTACCTATCAGATACTAATGATGATACGCCAGGCTATGATTGAGGATCTAAAAGCAGACTCTGCTCGATGGGATAGTGAAAGGCGTGCGCAGACGTCGCGCAATACCTCTGGAGGTACTATTGCCTCGAGAAACGTTGGCGTACCGCCGAGACACTCATCTAACTCACCTGTAGTGCAATACCGCTACTCGGAGACGCACCAGTCGCGTCAGCACCACGGTCCTACCGAGGGCCCTTATCAGACCGACCCATACGCTCGTGACCCTGGCTTTGATGGTCCCAGATACCCAGGAACGGGTGCTCCCGGTTACACTGGAGCCGCTGGCTCATACGGCCAGTCCTACGGTGCCTCAAGTAGTGGTGCGTTTGCCGGTTATGCCCAAACCCAGCAATCTCCTCCCCCGGCGGATACAAGGTTCAGCTCTACTACCGCGGCCACCATGGATCCATCCTACCAGGCTTCCCAGAGCCCCTACGTGGCCGTCGGAACAAACCAACGCCCCAGAGGCGGATACGACCCTTACGCTAACCAGATGGCCACATCATCAGCTGCTGCTCAGCAGGCCTATGCCACTGCTGCTCCCACGCAACAAGGCTATACAGCCACTGCTTACCCATATTCAGGTCAGGCTCCTCCTGCGGGCTACGCGATGCAGCCCCAGGATCCCTTCTACGGTCGTGGTGCGTATAGCGGAGGCAACACCCGCGCGGCGGGTTTCCATATGGTCGAATTACTAACACTCAAGGTTTAGCAGGTCAATCAACAGCACAAGGATATACCCAGGCCACACAGTATGAAGAAACCCCCCGTACTCGCGCTTCCGCGACACCAACAAATACTCAAACAAATCCCAGTGGTACCTCCAGCAGCCGACGTAGTGAGCGAGAGAGCGACAGGCACAGCACAGACCGACACCACCGATCAAGCCGCCGGTAAAAGGTGTGTTTCCCGGAGGACCGAGGCCGGATCTTTGTGCCCTTCCCTTTCCTTGCCTGAACTTGACGAGGCACTCCGACCTCCTCGCGAGTGTGATGATTTCTGCATAATGACCGGGTTACATGGAGTACGGCTTATTTTCCTTGGATCGACCATTTCATCCTTTTCTGTTTCTTCCGGATATGATCCCCTTCAGAGGTTTCAGATTTCTTTTCTCTGGCTGGTGCCACCACCGAGTTGCAAGTTTGCATCTCAATAGGAGCTTCCTACTGGAAAGGTATCAAATTCCGCCCCTCTGGACGCTGATTCCGTCTTCTACAAACCTGGATCTCCCTTGGAGTCGATAATACCCCTGGACGTATCGTGCCAACTGTTATTGCTACCGATGATGCCCTGGATACACGAACTGGACCTTACGAGACGCATACCTGGGTGTCTTTTTTCTTTACTCTTTTTATGACGACATTGCATTGTGGATGGGCCTTTCCTGGATTGACGACCTCATCGACTATACACCATTATTTGCCTTAAGGATGAGACCATGCTGCATACGTTTTACACTGGGACACGGCGCTGAGTTGGAAAAAGGAAGGGAGCCATCCCTTACCAGGTGGATCTGGGGTGGTATCTCGATGTCATGACCTTGCTGTCCGGACGCACCCTCAGGGGGAGTATTCTGTTTTCCGTTCTTCCTGGATCTGGCTGGTTCTTGCTCTCGACTCCAATGTCTTTAGCTCCCGGATTCTTCGGTGTTTACCACCGTCGAGACGCGGTGTTTATCGGAATAATAATTGGCAGAGGCCGGCATCCGGACAGCAAGGTGAGTTCGAACGAGCTTGTATATATTAGCCAACCCTTTGAAAGGAATTTTTGCTTCCCCTCGCTTTCCCTCCTCTTCCCGTTTCTTTCCACTCAGGGACTTTCCATGGATATTCGTCTTGATATGAATCGCAAAGACACTGACTCGCCAGACTTGACTCAAGCAGCTAGGTGCACACATGAATTCCCTGGACTCAGATACCTCTTACTGGACTTCCTGGACATCTTGGACTCTGATCAACCACCTGGCAAATACCTCCCGCTTGACCAAGGAATGGACCCACTCCATGAGGATGTTTGCTTTTGCCTGGATCTCTTCCTACTCAAGCAATGTTTTGCTTTGGATCCTATGACCTGGACAACTTACCTCAGCCGAGGTTTGCTCATTCGTCACTGACGATACCGGTACTCATTTGCGTCTGCAATGAGTTGCCTGGGACACAAAGAAACAAAACAAGTATCTAAGCATACCATGCCAAAGGAGCCAAGGTAACATGCAAACAAGGTGATTCAATGACTACGAATCTGGATTCATTCTCGTTTCACATCACTGGATCGCAACTTGCTTCATTACTGTCTGCGACATAGGTCGCTTGTTGCCGTGGATTCTACTGAATCTACTCCTGTTTGCACCGCGGGCCGACTTCTTGAGTAACCTTTGGGATGAGTCAACTTGCTCAAGCCTGGATATTTGCTACACCCTGCTGGCCACATGGCAATTGTGAAAGTCGACAATTTAGAGCAACCTGGCGTGCGGATACCTTGATCCTGGACTCACTGTGTTGCATATGGAGTCAGTTATCGGAACGACATTTCGACCTTTCAATCAAGCACAGCGTGACTTCCGGAGCTGTACACGCATATATCACGACACTACTGGACTTTGATCAATACTGGAGAACCGGATCTTTTTTATGCGAATGATTGTGTGCTTGGTACTATGAGAGGAAGCCTGGTTGGTAGCATGGATGGCGCAGCAGGAGGATGAATTGAGGGTTTAGACGGGTTGGCTCTATGATCTACTTTTCTGTTCTTTTTCTAATCCTGGATCCCGTGGACACATCTCTTTTGACCGTTCTGTTGTTTGCGTCTGTCTTATATCCTATGGTTGTTGAATCATGATGGTGCTTTGGGAGAGATACAGGGAGTTTATGAGTCTTGTTTCTTATTCGCTTGGGGCGGAATGCTTGGAAGAGTTGAATCTCATGATTTATTATTGTTGCAAAAGTATGTTGAATGAATACAAGAGTTGGCCACATCACTATCAACATGTTTCTGTCTGCCGTACGTTCAAGTTAAGATCCCCCTCGAGCGAAACCACACGTCAAATTCCAGCATTTTGTTAAGCAATAAATAGATGTCTTCGCTGCCTCAAATATTTGCAGTAGTGTCGGTGCATCCGGCATACATCACTCACGGTCCAAAGCCGGGCGGCTCCTTCGTTGGTAGGGATGATACGAGTAGAGTCGTTGGTGAGTGCAGTGAGCTGTGTGATGATGTCTTGGAGGTTGATGGGCTCGAGAGGTAGGCTCCGACGGAGGCGGCTGGAGGAGGCCGTCCCCAAGCAGAGTATCGATCACAGAGAGGACCCAAAGCTCGCAGCGGCCCGGTCTGCCAGGAGCGTTGGCAGGCTCGTAAGGATCGAATAGTCTTGGGTGACTCTTGATCATAGCGCACGCATTGTCGAGTTCTTGGGACGCAATAGAGCCCACACATCTGCTATCATGAATGGTGCCGACCTGACCTAGAGTCTCGATGATATCGGAGACCAGAGTCATGGTAGGCTGTGGATCTTCAGGATTTGAAGATTCCAGAACATGGTAGAGATAGCCTGCCGGTCGCGGAGAGCTTGTTGGAATGAAGATCTTGTGAGTGCCAGGGGAGTGTTGAATATGAAAGACCTGATAGCGAGCTGGTTCGGGGGCTTGAGCTGGCGGATTGGCGACAGGATCAGGGCTGGAAGCCTGGGTAGAGTCGGAGCTGACTGGGAAGATCATTGTGACAAGATAAGTATTGGGTTAGGGTGAGTTTAGAATGTTTGGACAGGCACTGGATTGAGAAGTGCTTGTAAGTCTTTGTCCTGCCAAGTTGGCAGGAGATTGCCTCTCGATATGTAGGCTTATATATCAATTCTTGAGCAACAGCATCAACATTGGCCGTGAAAGCACGGCAGAGAGCTAGTTGACCAAGCCCTGTTGGTATCGTCTGGCAGGCTGTACGAACCCGTGCGTACTGTATTATCAGGGTGCTGCGAGAACCGGGTGGCTCAGTTTCGAAGGCTGCAGGCGTCCGTAGGCTAGGCCACAATAACCATGATGATCCGAGTCGGCCGTTTGTGGTGTTGATGCGGGACGTGGTCGATCATATTGTTTATCTCTGGGAATATACGCCGAAAACTGCTGTTTGGGTCAGCGAAAAGTGTATAAATTTGTCCGAAAGGTAAGCCCGCGGCATCGGGCGGGCAGTTGTGTAAGTTGTGTGATGAAGTCCAAGCCTATTGCTCGTCCCGAGGCTTGATAGAAGCTAGAGCTCTGTGACAGGACAGGAACCCAAGCACCTGCCCATAGCATGGAAGCCCCGGTCGAGTCGAGTTACGCATATGCTGCAGGTAAATCTCATAATAGATACTCGCATATCGAGCTAGCATGCTTGGACTGAAGACAAGATAGATTCTGCACTAGGTACAGGATCAAGCTGACGTGCACTGGAGGACAAGTGCAACCGCATGACAGAGCGGAGCGTTCAACATATCTAGCCTTGTATGGAAACTCGGCCTCCCTGTGCAATGAAGAGATAGTTCGCGGTGAAGTCGCTTGACACGATGGCGTCAAGGTCGGCACGATACGCTACGGCACGGTACGGTACGGTGTGGGAAGGCGAGTCGGGTGGCTGCGCAAGCTCAAACCAAACACAAGCCTGGCTTGTGGTGAGTGTTTGTTGTACCACGAGAGTTAGAAAGATAACAGCCCGCATTCTTGATGCTTTCATTTCTTGGATCTATCTTGCTGAGGTATTGACAAGATTCACACAGACTTAAGGATAGCAGTGATCACTAGCCCTTCATTCCTCATTCAGTCATCTAGGCCATGATTGTGAAAAGTGGTCCAGGTATTGTGCAAATGAGAATAGATAATTAGCAAATAACTGAAACATCTCTTTGAGAAAACCTACTGTCCCAAGAGCGATCACATCGTTCAGTATTTCGACAAAACCCTAGTATTTGTTTGCTTGGGTTTTTGCGATTGGTCATCTTCGTATGCGAGTATTCGGGCGTCAAACGCTTGCGCTTGATGAGCTGGCTGATTTCGAACACAGTGTTAGTATTATTTGTTCAACTCCATTGGAATAATCGGATATTACTTACTTGTTGGTCACTGTTCGAGGATTGCGGAAGGGGTAAGTGTTTTGGAAGCTATTTGATGCTGTATCCCGTGGGTCTTGTTGCTCAACATTGTGATTGAATAGTCCTTTTGTATTGTGATTTAGAGACTTGAATGAGGCGGCAAATGAGACGGGTTGCAAGGGTTTGTCTCTTGGATGACAACTTATGAAGCAGTGGAGATGATAGAAGTAAGAAGATGAGATGGATGGGTCGTGGCAGGAGAAAACAGTCAGAGAGAGGCTAAGGCACCTTCCATTACCTTGGACAGGTTGAATGCAGGTAAACGTCTTACAGAAAGCGCGAATTTAATGCAACAACCTTCCAATGTCATGGCCAGCTGCATCTCGCAGGAAGGAGCCATCGTTGGTGAAACTGCAACTACCCGTCACGATCTCCGCGTGACTGGAAACCCCCGTATTCGCACTTGCCACTACTATCCGGAGAAACTCGGTCAAGACGTCAGAAAATGGAAGGAGCTTAATGATGAAAGAATGACATGTTGTCGATGGAAAGCGGATGGGTCATGGATAAACAACATCACTAAAGGAGGGAGTAGTCGTACTGGGAGTTGTTGTCATAACATTAGGTACTAGGTAGATATAGTAAAAAGACATCATTCTGTAGAAACCAACCAACTTGGTCATTGATCTTCTCCATCATCTGAACAAGATGAAAGAAAAGCTTCCCATATGGAATCGTTGCAGAAGTGAAATGAGAGATAGCCATGACATCAAGACTTGAATTCCATCCCAATAATCTTCTTGATGCCGTTCCTCTTGGTGAGTAACCCGATTATACCCAATCTCGACTCTTCTCTCTTCCATCCCTCTTGCATCGGCAGCCTCTCTTCCTGCAAAAAGGCCCTGGCATAGTTGCATGGCACACTATCACCAGTTCCAATGACATTGAGAATCAGCGCAATCTCCGCACACGCAAGATCGTGTTCGAAAGACCCATATTGAAGACCCGGGTTATCCTCTCTCTGTCTGGCGATGCGCTTCTTGCGAAATTCCGCGAGGTCATTCGCGGTAAGAGTCTGACCATCCTTTGAACTCGCCAAGAGATCTTCGACAAGGTCTTTCTGAAGAGTGAGGTTATCACCTTGTTGATGATCCCGGCGGGTCAAAGATATATCGTGCTCAACTGTGTTGGGTAACCCAAGCTGGTCCAAGTTCAAAACCCTGTGACCCTCAGAGTCCAGCTGACCCGGCTTGCGCATACCAAATTTACCCAAAACAGACCAAGGGTCCCTGATAGTTTGCAAAATGGTTTGCAGAAGAGATTTTTTGACAACTGGGTCATCGTGAAATTTTGAAGGCGCACGTTCTTGAAAGATGGGGTTGGCAAAGGCGGCAGCGAGAGGCTTGGAGAGGCCAATTGCGTCCATGCCTGCGAGGACTTCTTCAACACGAACATTTCGGCCGTCGCGGGGAAGATAGCCATGATTCGCGAGAGAGTTTATCATCGGGCAGGGACCGCGTATGTCGTTTGGACCCGAAGGTGCATATGTCCCTTTTGTGAGTGGTTCTGAAGTTGAAGCCATATTAAGCACCAGTTATACGATGATTAGGAGAGTATGAATGAAAGAAGGCATTACGAGCATGTGATAGAAAGAGGGGAAATAAGATTCAATTATACAGTGTATAATGTCTTGCTTCCCTTCTGACCTTCAGCTCATGCTCGTCGAGCTGTTAGCCACTGATGTAGCAGCTGACAGACACTATTGTCGCTAACGGCTTCAGCCAGCCTCATTCTCATGGTGACCAACCTTAAGCATAAGCAGCTAAACAAGAGCTCTCTTTGGCTGGATACCGTAGCATTCGGCGCTTTGACTACGGCATCATCCATAGCAAACTCGATTAAGACACCCAATAAATAGCTGCCAACACTAGAGTGCAGGGACATTCTTCCCTCCAACTTGGACACTGGTGTACCCAGACAGTAAGAATCTACCACGATAATTTAGTAGGATACGACATCCTAGCTCCTGAAGTCGTATCCTTCGAGTGGTTGTCTTGAATTGCAGTGAGTAGGTAACACCATGCAAATATCCGAATACATCGGACATCAGATCATGGGACAACGAACATGAGAGGATTTGACCAAGTTTGACATACAAACCCAAATATTTATGGGCTCCTCAGTTTGAAACATGGCTTGCAGGTCAAGAGGTGTCAGGGATTGAGATGCAGATCAAGGTTTGTCTGCTTGCTGTGACTCAGTTGCTCTACTGGGAGGTTGTCACATCTGCGTGCTGCAGACACAAACGAGCATACATAACGAATTTCCGGGTGCAATTATAAGCAAAGAAATAAAACCCGAACAAGCTCTTGCTTCTTCGGTGGAATCACAGTGTGTTTTATTATTTGTAATAGATGACTGGTCAAGTTTACTGTGCAGTCACTGAGAACAACGTCGATTATAGACAAAATCTCCATGTGTTTCCTTTCCATGAGTCGTTTGACTCTAAGATATATCAGTTGCTGTGTCAAAACATTTTGTGCAGTAAAGCCAAGCAATTTACCAGCCAAGATTCTCCTATGGCAAAGTAGACACAAATCACAGCGTCGTCATCAGGATATGACTATAAATTCAGCACTCACCCCTCCTCTCTAACGCATTCTTCTCTCAATCCCACCATCAGCTCTCTCTCCCTCTATATATATACACATAGCGAAGACCATCAGTACGCAACTCGGAGTTGGGTCGGAGGGCCCCAGGATCGGTTCCAGACCAATACAGACTTTTGCCCGGTATTCCTCGATGACTATCATTATGTCTCGAACCATTTCTTTTCATCCGCTTTGGCTATTTGAGTCATAATATACTAGAATCAATCAAAGAGATACGCTGCTGAAAAAACCACTGGCTCTGCTCAAATGTCCTTATGAACTAGCACCAGCAGCTCCAAGCACTCTGATGAAGAAGTGCGATACTCGTAAGTCACCAGGCGAAGCTCCTGTTGCAACAACACATCAACGCCTCGCACAGAGACACCAAATGCAAATGTCCTTTTCAGGGGTGTACGGAAGAAGACAACAATTCATCCTCTGTTTCAAAGCACATAAAGAGATATCACAAAGGCGAGGAACTGCCATGCCCAGCACAAGGACTTGGTCCCCCACCTCAAGAGGTTACTGATTCTTGTGCATGGAAAGATAGATAAACCATTGTATTTGTGCAATGGAATGTGCAGAAGTCAAAGCTTATGTAAACATCTAAAATATCGTCAATGCCCTCAACACAGGATGCGAGAAGGCCTTTTTGACTTGAACTGCGGCGTCTGTTCTTTTCACCCCGTCTTCCTGGTCTGTTTCAAGACTCGCCTTATTCAAGCTTTTGATCAATTGAAGGCTGGGCTACCGTTCGATACTAGTCTTTCCATCATCAGAGACCTTCATTCTCTGCAGGAGATCATCGTGGTGGTCCAGATGGCAAATAGTGACTGGGGCATTAGTTCCTTCAAGCAGAATGCCCCTGGCTTTGTTTTTTATCTAATCATTTGAAAGGGTTTGCGAAAGCAAGAGAATCAAAGGAACTCGGACCAATCAACCGAAATCAGATTAAAGATAACTCAGAAGAAAACCCGGTCGCCGCGAAACGCCTTGGGACTTTTTGACCTGCGAGTGGAAACGAAGTATACCTATTGACGTTGGGGTCTGCGTCACCCTATCTACCAGGCAGCAAATATCGAGAGTCTTTACGAGGGGGGCTATTGTGACGGCGCTGCTGATTCCGATTCAATGAAACCTACAAAAGTGAACAATGCATCATTGACTCGGTACCTCATGTTGTGTTCTGACTGTTCAGGCTGTTATTCGATTTAGGATCCACCTGCCACTGCTCACGGAGCTGCCAGTGCCAATTAATGTTCCCATTTAACAATACAACTTAACTTTATCGTTCTAAGAAGTCTGTAGGAAAAGCAATCTTGATAGAATCTCCTTCTTGCATACCTACATATCGAACTTTTCTATGTCACCACAATTCGGACACGATGGATAATACTGCGAGAACCAAGCGCTGCGGACTTTGCGGCCTGCCCGTGGAAGAACCAGACCCAGGTATATTGTCACTTTCTTTCAACTTTGAAGCGGGAATCTAATACTGATGGCCATAGCAGTTCACGACGGATGTGAGCAGATGGACATAAATCGCGGCTCAGGCGCGTTGCAACGAGTCTTGCTCTTTGGCTTCGAGCCACCAAAAATGAAGCAAGAGCACGCTAGAATCACGAGATGGGCAGAGGCAATGATTGCTGACGGACTGTCGCTTTGTTTCGCTCAGGGCGAAACAAAGGCTGAACAGGAACTCAGCAGGACGTCAGAAGTCCTGCGAAGCATTGGCCGATATTTGGTCTCACACTACATAGTGAGGGAGAACGAGTCCATGCTTCGTAGGGCTTCCCGTATTACTTTTGTTCTGAGGGGCCAAGTTAAGGTCACCTTCTCTTTGTTTCAAGGACGGAAGTACGTTGCGTCTGTGTCGAACGGTCAGGAACAGAAGCCAGGCAACTCATCCGGGCTGTTTGCACTTGATCCGGGAGAAACGGCGCATGTCGTCCACATTGCCGAAAACCATCTCGGTGTCGTTAGCCTGGTAGTTGCTGACTTAGACCATGCCTTTCAAGCTGAACAAGTTGCTGGAGTATGGTGGAGAGCCATCTACATCCCATGTGGAAGATGCTTGATCATGGCAACTAACGATGTAAGTTTATAACTCACGACATGAAACCCACTATCTAATATTTAAACAGGGGATCAAACTTCGGAGCCTGTCTCCAGTAAGCCCTTGCGCTTTCTGCACGGCATCGTGGGGACCTCGTTATCATCAGATCGCATGGCCCTTCCCAACCCACCACATAGCGATCCGTTGGGTGGGAGAACCACGCTCGTATCCGGCGCGAATGGCACCTGTCATCTTGAAAGAGTCATCTATCGGTATATCGACTTATTGGGAACACACAACCATGGCAATTCACAGTCATGATATTGACGAGAAGTCCCTGGCCCTTTACTCTCGGACAGGTGGCGATGCAGCTTGGATTCACACCCCCTTCGACGACAACGAGGCAATTACCGAGATCTGGTGGGGAAGCATTGGCGGCAATGGTGATGCGATGGGTGTAAGTATCTCATATTGTTTCATGTTGCGAAGTGACTGACAGACTATAGCTTCGGACCAGCAAAGGCCGAGAGGTCTTCCTAGGCTTCGTGGGTGCAATCCCAGACCTTGACTGGGAACTAGCATCTACACCAGCGATGGATAACTACCGAATTTACTACGACTCCATGTCATCTATGGGTATTGGTGGCTTAGCTTTCGAGGACCCCAGTCCCGTTGCTCAAGGCTTTCAGCCCTTCGACCCTACCACCATTGTACCACCAATGCCGGACTTTCGGTATTGTGTCGAGCCCTTCTTCTTTTCGTCCGCCAACCTACACAATCTCTCCAAAATCAAAGTCTGCCAAATTCCAGACAAACGTGGGATCTCTGGTCTCCTTCTCACGTACAAAAACGGCCACAAGGAGGCTCTTGGTGAAGTACGACTGAACTGCCTTGAACCTCCCATCGACGTCGGCAAACAGGACCGGGTCTGGTTACGCTTTGAGTATGATCCCACAGGAATCATAGATGAGCATCCTCGCTTTGTCGAGATCTCCTTCTCCCCCATTAAACCTATTATGCGCGATGGAACAAATCCTGCAGTTATCGGCATCAACTGTCTCGAAGTTCTCTTTACAGATAAATTGCACTGGTGGTGGTCATCCCTCCAGTGTCAGGTTTTCTACGACGGCCAGGGCAGCTTACAACCACGAGATGCCGAGAAATGGCTCCTATTCGACGACTAAATAGTCAAGTCCCTCCACTATCAGGAACTGTCAAAATCGACAGATATATCCCAACAATACACTCATACCTATCAAGGCAAGTGGACTAGCATATAATACTTCTACCTACTTTTTCACCCCAAACTCGCCCGCCCAATCGCTATTTGGAGTCTTCCGCCCACTACTATCAATTCATGAAGACAGCTGTCTCTACACACACCACACAGCCCCTCTTTCTACCTCCAGTTGTACTACAGGAATCCAAACCCCCATGTCGACGTTACTTAGACATCCCCAGACCGGGCTTGGAACTATTTTACTACAAAACACGCTACTTACAAACCTGATACTATCGTAGCGCTGCAAGACGATCCCAAAGGGGACTCACTATAGACAGAACAGGCAGTCAATTCGGTTGGTTATCGCCAGAATTTGGAGAGACCAGTACTACAGTAGTTGCACACTCTTCCATCGAGTGGAAGGAAGATAGACGCAGTATAATCCTGTCTTAGACCGAGAGTAGCCCAACTGAGATGATTCGTTACTACCAGCCTTGACTAATTTATGTCAATGTTTTTATATACGATACATTCAACCAAGCAACCATCGCCACATGATTGTTACGCAAGAGAAATGGGCTGCCTCTATCGTATCAATTTAGATGCTATTTGAGTATAGAAAAGAGTCTGCAGCAACTCGACTCAAAAACCGGTACTCCCCTTTGTCTTTCGTCAGTAATGTCTGTTTCTTTAGATTTCATCGCTTTATTTTATGCATATCTTTTATATATATCCTGCCCACGATACGATAGTCAACTCCTTGTGTTTATAACCGTACACAACCCAAGGAAATGGAAGCAGACCGCATTGATTACTTGTTTGCTTTTCAGTAAAGTAATCCAGTAAATCATTTGATGATAGTATATAAGAACTGTGGGATCGTTTCAATTGTATAAATATCTCATACATCAGGCACCACGGCAACTGTGATGGCTCCAGTCTGAAAGCAGGCCTGGGCGAATGGCCTCAGTGACAGTGAACCAGCGAGACATGGTCGGAATCACGACTTTCTAAGCCATAATTTTAGTCAGAGCACATATACATGTACACGAAGGTCACGGCGGCCCAGAAAGTCGTGATCCAAATGCAGCCAAGCTGTTTACTGCATTCGAAGACGGGGAGAAGTTGTTGGAGGTCTGGGTAGCCATCACCCAGAACGTTGTCGGCGGTCTTGGGGTAAGCTCCTTTCAACCATATCCAATACCCACAGTAGAGCTAAGAAACTGGAACAGGTCCGCACAAGTAAAGGTAGAGAAATCTGCCATGCTCACGCTACTCGACTTCACGAAACCAGCTGGGGGCTAGCTGACCATTTCCAAGGGTCAGAAAGAACAATGTACTACGGGAGTGATGCCCCAGTAGGCGTTGGTGCCATCGTTTTCGCAGTCCCCCCCCCTCGAGGCCTTGAAGCCAATTTGACCCATTCTCAACGATGTCTCCGGTTCCCAGCTTCAGACACCTCATTGTGCACTTCTTTGGAGGCTCTGTCGACCTGGCAGGCGTTGTTGAGGCGACCTTCTGTCAGTTGGAGCACAAGCCAGAGATTATCTCCAGTATGCTGTTCTGCTTTGCAGGAAGTCGCCAAGAAGCATTGGGCGAAGCGCGCCTTAGCTGACTGCAAGAACCTATGCTTCTTAGGGGTGAGGGTCGAGAAGAAGTCATGTACCTCGAGTTCGGGTACGATCCCACTGGGGTTGTACCTGATCACCCGAACCTCCTCGACGCGCGCTTCACCAGGTGACGAGCCTCCAGAAGATCTCAACCCAGAGAGTCATCCCGATATCACAGGTCATAGGTTCTTGGAGGTGTCGTGGGAGGGGAGGGCTAGCCTCGAACCTCGAGATGCCGCAGCGCGGCTCGAGTTCGGTGACTAGCTCTCTCTGAGGAGCTGCTTGTACGTTATGGTATTGAGGTTGAAGATAGTGCTGCAAAAGCATACGGGAGTTTGACAGACAGAAGAATTGAAAGGCGCCATGTTTGCAAAGCTTCTACATCTGCGCTCAGGTGACTTTCCAACCGCATGAATGAGGTTAATGCCAATGCAGCCAATCCAATGTCTCACAGTAGCCTCTTCCTGGAACTATTGAGCCGCCATTAATTCATGCAACGGTGAAGAGTTGCCGCAACTGAATGTCAGAATACGGAGCTGATTCTGCAGACTTGAATCATGTCATGCTTCATGTAGAGAAGTTTCTGCCCTTGAAATAAAGAAATGACGATCGTGACGTCTCAAAGGCCCGCTGAAGAACCGACAGATTTGGAGTTTCTGCATCTAAGCCAAAAGCGGTGAGAGAAATGGCGGGGCACTAGTGATTATGGTGTTGGACCCTGCAATTTGACTGGTTTTTTTTTTTTTTAATTTGTTTTGCCTATTTTGGTTGTTTTGTTCTGTTGTTTCGGTTTTTTCTCCTTGTTGTTATGACAGTCCTTGTATCGTGGGGATTTGTCAGGTTATTACGGAGTACAGAGCATGAGATAAGTGAATCCTTCAGATGGACCGCCGGTAATATCAGTGACATGCCACCAAGTGCTAGTAATTTCACCTCGAGATAGTACCTTCTTATCTTCCGGGCAAAGCGGTTGTTGGCCTTTCTGAATTGAGACATGCCTGACCCGACCCTACCTAAGAAAGTGATCATCCATTTTGCCATGGATGACCTCGTGTATTTCTCGTGGCAGACTCGTGCTGCTCTGCGAGGTGCTGTGGATGGGTTCGGTGCTTACGGTACTTGACCCAATCGCCAAGGTTTGGTGCGTCGGTAGGTACCACGATCATCGGTTACCTGGAGTAATTGGATTGCTTTGACTCGGAGGCTTGTTTGGTTGCGGTGTGTTGAACATAAGAACGCTTGCATTGATGAGCTGCCACAATTGGTATTGCCTTGGATGTTATGTTATGTTATGTTGGGTTCTGGTGCATGCATGCATTCAGCTGCCTGTCATTGTGACTTTCTGTTCATTTTCAATGGTTTTGACTTTGTAAGCAGTGAATGTGTCTCCCTTACATCAATCAATGGCTCTTGCTGGGCAGTGAATGAGAGCCCTCCAGTAATTGGGCTTCTATCTAAACCACCCGTTGATCATCGTCTTGCTTCGTCCTTTGATGCCTTCATCAGACAAACGTTATAGCGAGAACGTTACGATATCAATGCTCGTCATACCCGCAGAAGAAAAGAAGAGAGAGAAAAAGAGAAACAGATAGACCCACCTGCTACCAAAAAGTGTGCGCGTGTGTTTTTTTTCCCCCTCCTCCATCCAGTTCATTGACTTCATTCGACTCCGTCCCGACGCCGTCTCCAGCTTTGATGAAAGCTTCCGCCGCCGAGTGACCGAATTGTGTCCCACACACAAACCCGCACCGCGTACCGTACTTGGCCTGGAGCCCTACCCGGCCCCAATCAGAACCCCCATTTCCCATCTTTTCGAGCCCCTGGGCACTCGCACACACGGACGGCCCTGGTGGTACTTTCTGCCGACTACAACTTTTTGGGCCTCTGGCATCGTCCATCGGGACCTAATATTTCAGCTCTTTTTCAAGGAAAAAGCACCAAGAGAAATAAAAATCTTGATCAACAAAAGTCACTGTCGCGTTCCCAGGGCGTCGACTTAATTCAGCACAGCACCTCGCTCGACTTGAGACTGCTTCTGCTTCACACCGTGGCTCCTATCTAGCCGTTGGACTGTGGACTAAAGTTAGCTGGCCTGGCCTGGACGGACTTGCTTGTGCTTTTTCTTTGGGCGCTTTTTGGGTTGTCTCTAGATGCCCCGCCATCCGTCGCTCGCCATCCTTATCCAGACCTGACAGATCCTGATTCCGCCTCTTTCGTCCGCCTTTCTTCCAACCTCACACTCCCATCCCCTTCGGCCTCGACGTCGACTTCTCTTCATATCCACCCTTCATCATGGATCCCGCCGCTGTGAGGTCCTTGCTCGCCACTAGCTTGGACCCTGATGCAGACAGTCGAAGGCGTGCTGAGCTTCAGTTGAAACAGGTGCGTCCTGCGTTTGTGTTTGCGTCTTTGGTCGAGGTGGTCGAGGGAACTCCTTTGTGCTTGGGTATTGGTAGGGAATCGGCCAGTCATCAGCTCTGCTCTTTGATGCGATGGCTGGCTGGCTTCTCTTCCCTCTACTTTGGGTTTCCTTCTCCGACGCCTCTTCGTGCAGCTGTGTCCCTTGCGCCAGCCTCCAATTCCACAAAGAACTAAGATGCTAATTTGTTCCCGTCTACCTCTCTAGATTGAAGAACAGCCCGGATTTCTCGAATGTCTGCTCGATATTTTACAAGCCGAACAGGAGGCTAGTGTCCGCCTTTCGAGTATGTCTACCAACTCTCGTGCCCTCTATCCAGCCTGTTTGTGCGCTCCCTCATCAGTTCACTTTCTGACCAACTTCCACTCCAGCCGTGATTTATGTCAAGAACCGTGTCAATCGCTCATGGTACAATAATGAGGGGTACTCTCCCGATCCCCCCACCGCTATAATCCCTGAAGAAGAGAAGGCTCGTGTACGAGACCGCCTTCTGCCAATTCTCGCTACGTCCGAAACCCTCGTCCGCCAGCAGCTCATTCCCGTCCTCCAACGAATCCTCCAATATGACTTTCCCGCTCGTTGGCCCAAGTTCATGGACTTCACCGTCGAGCTTCTAAACACGAATAACCCCGGTTCTGTTCTTGCTGGTCTGCAGTGTCTGCTCGCCATCTGCCGTGCGTTCCGCTATAAATCGACCGACAGCGATGATCGACAACACTTTGATAAGATTGTGGAGGCGACATTTCCCCGTCTTCTCGCCATCTGTAACGAGTTGGTGAACCAGGAGAGCGATGAGGCTGGTGAGATGCTTCACTTGGCCCTCAAGGCCTACAAGCATGCGACATGGGTGCGCACTCCCCTGGATATGATATATTTGCTCATGAGCCACGTATTGACCTTGTTCGCAGTTGGAACTCTCGCCTTCGCTACGTCAACGTGACACCAACATCGCTTGGTGCACTGTTTTCCTACACACGGTTTCCAAGGCTTGCCCCGCCAATGCTATGCAGGGTGATCAGCACGAACGTGAGAAGCATCACTGGTGGAAGGCCAAGAAATGGGCTTTCTTCAACCTGAACCGCCTCTTCATTCGGTAGGATTGCTTACATCTGTCAAATGTCAGTAGTCTTGGCTAACATGTAATCTACAGGCATGGCAACCCTGCCAGTCCTGGTAAGGGCGAAGACGCACTTGCTTTCGCCAAGGACTTCACCGCGAACATTGCCCCCGAGATCCTCAAGCACTACCTCCAAGAGATCGAGAAATGGGTTGCCAAAACCTCTTGGCTCAGCCGACCCTGCCTTTCCTATACTCTGGTCTTCCTCGACGAGTCTGTACGACCCAAGGAGATGTGGACACACCTCAAGCCTCATCTTACGAACCTTGTTACTCACTTCGTTTTCCCTGTTCTTTGCCTTACCGAGGAGGATGTCGAGCAGTTCGAGGATGAGCCCGACGAGTACCTTCACCGAAAGCTTAACTACTTCGAGGAAGCGTCTGCTCCTGATGTCGCCGCTACTAACTTCCTCGTCAACCTTACTAAGAACCGTCGCAAGGAGACCTTCGAGATTCTCAAGTTCGTCAATGCTGTTGTCACCGAGTACGAGCAGGCTGCGGATGATCAGAAGAACCACATTGCCAAGGAGGGTGCTCTGCGCATGATCGCTACCCTGGCACCTGTTATTCTGGGCAAGAAGAGTCCCATTGCTGATCAGGTCGAATACTTCCTCGTCCGTTATGTCTTCCCCGACTTCACCAGCCCACAGGGCTACCTCCGCGCTCGTGCTTGCGACACCATCGAGAAGTTTGAGCAGCTCAACTTCCAAGATCAGAACAACCTCCTTACTATCTACCGACACATCCTGGATTGTATGGCCGACCCTGCTCTCCCAGTTCGTGTCACAGCCGCTCTCGCTCTCCAGCCTCTTATCCGCCACGATGTCATTCGAACAAGCATGCAGCAAAACATTCCCACGATTATGCAGCAGTTGCTCAAGCTTGCCAACGAGGCTGATATCGATGCGCTCGCAAACGTCATGGAGGACTTTGTCGAGGTCTTCGCCACTGAGCTCACTCCTTTTGCTGTCGCATTGAGCGAGCAGCTTCGAGACACTTACATGAGAATTGTGCGCGAGCTTCTCGAGAAGGAGAGCAAGGTTGGCGATGACGGTGAGCTCTACAACGAGTATGACGACAAGAGCATTACTGCTCTTGGTGTCCTGCAGACCATCGGAACTCTGATTCTCACACTCGAGAGCACTCCTGACGTCCTGCTCCACATTGAGGCTGTCCTTATGCCCGTCATCAAGGTTACCCTGGAGAACAAGCTTTATGACCTCTACAACGAAGTTTTCGAAATCATCGATAGCTGCACATTCGCTGCCAAGTCCATTTCTCCCACCATGTGGCAGGCCTTCGAGTTGATTCACACTACTTTCAAGGCTGGTGCTGAATACTACCTCGAGGATATGCTGCCTGCTCTGGACAACTTTGTCCAATTTGGTGCTCCCCAGCTCGCTCAGAAGCCCGAGTACACTCAGGCCCTTTACTCCATGGTCGCTGATATGTTCACCGACAGTATTCAGGGAGGTGTCGAGAGGATATGTGCTTGCAAACTGGCCGAGGCCATGATGCTTAGCTTGAAGGGCCAGATTGATAGCTGTGTCGAGGGTTTCATCAACATTGCCATGAGCATCCTTGCCAACCAAGACGTCAAGGTGAAGAGCTACCGCATCCATCTGATGGAGATGGTTATCAACTCGATCCACTACAACCCACTTCTCACCCTTCAAGTCCTTGAGAACAAGGGCTGGACAAACCGTTTCTTCAGTCTCTGGTTTGGCAGCATGACTTCTTTCACCCGTGTTCACGACAAGAAGCTTTGCATCGTTGCCATCTCAGCTCTTCTTAGCCTGAACCCTGAGCACGTGCCATCCAGTGTCTCTGTTGGCTGGCCAAGATTGCTTCAAGGCATTACTGAACTATTCCGCTCCCTCCCTGCCGCTCAGAAGAGTAAGTTTTCTATACCCTTAGTGCCATCGAGTCACAGCTAACAGATGACAGATCGCGATGAGGCTCTCCGTGACGACTTCCACCTCGAGTCCACTTATGACTACGGCGAGGAAGATGAGTGGGATGACGACGAGGCCAACTGGAACGCTGAGGAGGAAGAGGAGACAGGCGAGACTAGCGAGTCTAAGGACGAGAGCACTGCTTACCTCAACTTCTTGAACGAGGAGGTATGTACAATCCTACGCAGTGACTATGATATAACGCTAATGAAACAAAGGCCCAGAAGTTTAGCCGAGCGATTGATGACGTCGAGGAGGACGATCTTGGCGAGGACTCTGTTCTGCTCGAGTCGCCGCTCGACAAGATTGAGCCTTACCAATTATTCCGCGGCACTTTAATGAGTGAGTCAATCTTGTACACGTCGTTAACAACACTGCTGACTTTGATAGAAATGCAACAAGAGCAACCCCAATTCTACAGCAGCTTGGCTGGACACCTCACAGCTGATGATCAGAATGTGATTCAGTCGGTAATGGTCAAGGCCGATGAGATCGCGGCACAGCAGGTGCAGCAAGCCCAGCAAGCTCAGCTTCTCGCTCAACAACAGGCTGCTGCGATGGCGGCCAACCTCAGCGCCCCTAACGGCGGTGCCAGCTAAAGGATGTCGTACACGTATCACGAGTGATCTGAGTTATTGGAGTTGTTTCTACCCCCATTTTGTTATATCCCTTTCCTCGTTCATGTCAGGGCAGGAGTAAAGATTCCCCGGAGACCAAGAAATGTGTTGAGCCCATACCAAAAGAAAGAGATTTAGAACGTGCAAACAATGATGAGCCCACCTACTGGAGGACCCCCTTTCCAAAGAGTGCCGTGGGTATGATTGGTATAGGGGAGCTGGATTACGAAGCAGTTTACGAGGGTGTCTTTTTGGCGGGAAATTTGTGCTGAGGAGAAATGTGAAAATGAGCCGACGACGACGAGACTGCGGATGAAGCGAGCAAGAGGTTCATTTGATTCGAGGATGCGAGCTGAGATGGGACGAAGATGATAGTCATGAGACAAAAAGGAGAGGTGATCTCTTGAGCTGAGCAGTCACAGTTAAAAGGTAAACAAACAAACAAGTAAATACAATCGATAGTTCCATCTTTGGTTCGAAGTCATCGTTCATCCTCACTCTGCCACATGATCATAGAGACAACTATCCTCAGACGCGCTGAAGGGGTGAGTATGCCTCTCTCCCAGTGGTACAACGCAGAAACATTGCCTGTAACCACAATTGGAGATGATAAAAAAAGGGAGAGATAGTTAAGTTCGTGATGTTGAATGTGACAGAAGAGAGTAGACTGGTCTCGTACTATCGGTCAAGCAGGTAGGTTCGTCGAATTTCTCCCAAGACTTGAGGCGGTCTCTCATATCCCGTGGGCAGTCAAGAATAAGGGTCCACCCTCCTCTCTCAAGTAAATTCCGTCATTTTCTCCTTGATCAGGACACTCACAGAAATACACTCCTCCTTCACACCCTCTTCAATACTCTGTTAAATAAGAGGTCGTGGTGGAACCGAAGATGGATTTCCAGTTGTGGGCGACAGAATTATAGCCTGTCACGCCGCCGGAGCGGTTGAGACCTCGGGGAAAGACGTAGATGGAGAGTTCGAGTCTTGTACTTATGTCGAGGGAGCTGCCGGCGAGGAATTTGTGTTTGTCATTGGGGTCATCTCGGATGAGTCGTACGTAGGCGAGGCTAAGGGTCACACAGGAGGAGACATCTGTAGCAAGGTCAGTAACTGAGGCTGAGGAGGGACAGCTTCTTCTTCTGACGGTGAAGCATTGGAAGGAATTAGTATATATAAATGACGAACGGCCCCTGATATTTCGTGGGGTTCGCGTACAGTGTTTCAAAGATTGGTTTGAAGTTATCATAAGTCTTGTACTTACCGTTAGGAATCTCGGCAGGGTATTCAGCGAGTTGTAATTGTTTTCTCAGGGCCTACTGACATACTACGACCTGTAAAGCTGTAGATCAATATTGGTATTATTAGTTGTGGCAAGACGGTTGTGCCCTCCTTGGCACAGGAATCAACCGGCTCACAAGTAGATAGGTTTCGATGACTGATTTCTGCGTTTTTGAGTATTTAAGACTGAGCAAAGCCGAATGTTCAATCTTCACGAAACGTCTCTTCAAGTTAGGTCACAACATCCTTTTCATTTCTTACTCGCTCGTTCAGCTGCATCCAGAGCTGTCTTGATGACCTCGTCCAAGAATCTCTCATTCTCGATCCCCACACTGATTCGTACAAATGCTTAACAACACCATACTCCTCAGCCCATTGAAGCTCGTCGTAATGCGCGAAGAGCGTATATGCACAACCTAGAGTGAAGTTGGTCCCCAAATTTGGCCCTTTTGCCACATCAAGAACGTCGTGGAACGCGATGGCAGCTGCTGGAGTCTTGAAACGAATAGACAGCAGATATCCATACCCCTTTCCTGGACGTTTGTTTTTCTCGTAAAGTTGTTGTGTCGGGCTTCCCTTGGGATAATAGACTTGCTCAACCGAACTGTGCTTGCGAAGTATATCTGCGATGTGTTGTGCATTTTGACTGGCTTTGATAACTCGCTCTTCGAAATCTGCGCTGTTTTTCTCCATAACAATCGTATCCAGCGGAAAGTTGGTGTTGATATAACGATCCTTTAATCGTCTCTTTATATCCCAATGGGCTCCGCCGTTTGGATTCAGGCCCACGCTTCCTCCCATGACGTTGCATCTCCCACTAAACATCTTTGTCAAGCTTGTGCATACAACATCGCAATGTGAGATAACGTCGGCGTTTACCGATGTACCGACTGTGTCATCAACCACGAACAACAAGTCGTATTCGTCGGATATCCTTTCTATTCGCTCTAGATCGACAGAGCCAAGGAGTGGGTTGCCAGGGAACTCTGTAAAGAGGGCCCATAGCTGCAGACCTGAGGCCAAGTCTTCTTCAAGAGTTTCTAAGTCGGATTGTGTAGCGTCATAGAGTTTACACTAGTACCCGTGGATCTTGCTTAAGACTTTGAAAGTATAAACATACAAAAATCTGGATTCGTCGTTAGTCTGGTCAATTATCAGGTTTGTCTTTGACGTACCCGAAGATCGCAACGGTCCTCTTTGTCGCTGTAGTGTAAAGGCTGATAATATCATGGATATGGCTAATATCCGACATGCCGGTGGGATATAATAACACATCACTCTTCTTCAACTTGTTGTCTTTGGTACTAAGCGAGTCTGCAATGCGTTGTTGCATGGCAATCTTGGCCTCTTTGGCCTCAGGCAATTCCCGGCCCCGATTCAAAAAAGGGGCATTCTCTAGCCAATACGTCGCTCTTCGACTCGAGATACCATAGCCGGCATGTTGCCAGAATGCTTTGGCCTCTTTTTCTCCTTGTTGAGGGTAAATGACCACATAGATTTCGTTCAAGTCACTTCCGTTCTCTGACTTTTTCACAGGACGAATATTACCGTCGAAGCCAACCACGAGGACGAATGCTCTCATTCGCTGCCTTTCTAGATATCCTTGAAGATCTTTGGCACAGCAACACGCTGTTAGTAGCATTGCCGATCGTCCGCGCTCTTTCAACGACTGCCTCAGCTCGTCTCGAAATTCGGTTGTAAGAAATCTTGAAGGTAACTCAGAAGTCCATGTGAGTATTCGTTCTGCGAGTTCGTCGACGACAAGAGGGACGAAGAATCGAGGGTATCCGTTCTTTAGCTGGGCTATGAGTTCGGGGTCTCTTTTAGCCCAAGCTATATTGTCTTCCCATATCGGTATACAGACACTGACGCCCTGTTAAAGCTTGTCAGTATAGTGAGATTTGGCGATGTGGTCGAGGTTCATTACATGCTTGTCTCCTGATGGGAGAGAACTCCCAAGCTTTACCCTCATCTCCCCACAATATTTTATCGACGATAATCGATTTACAGTATTCGGATCTTGTTAAGTTGGTCTTATACTGTGCTTCGCCTGCTGCCGTCGTCGAGTTCACGGTAACATCGCCATTGTTAACAACATGATGAAACGGGACGAGAATAGGAAAGAAGCATGACCAGATACCGATGCTTCATGTGCATTTTTGCCACGGAATTATACTGATTTGGGGGCGTTTCACCGCATCAGGTTTTGTGCCGGCGATTGGCAATAGTTTGAGATATGCATAAATACCCGACTTTCGTGAGCCACTATAGCAATGAGGGCCAATGTGGACGATTTACACATTGCCGATCTGCAGTGAGATTACAGTTATGCATAGGCTATCTGTAGATCCTTTAGGCATTGGTATGGCTTCTGTCAGCCGCATATAATGTGCCATACTTTGCTGCTTGTGAGTTAATGCTCTACTGGCGTTGACTTTTGGCTGTGAATTACAGTTCCTGTGTATCATCGATATACCACTTAGAGTGCCATACGCACAAAATCTTAGCCAGTCTTTAAAAACAGGCTCAATCAAGAATAATCTTTCGTAGCCCATAGACTCATCGTATTAGTTCATCATGCAAGAAGGGAAAATGGTGAAACTCCTGCATAGTCTAGGGTATCCCAGTTGCAGTGTGGGAGATCTCATCAATGTGAATGCCGTAATGCAGGAGAGATTGACAGAGGTGTACCATGAATATCCCGAACCAATCAAACCGATCGTCCCCTACAGCTTTGGGCTATCTTAGCGGTCGGCGTTCCCCGCTCAACGCTGCGGCGGCTCCCGTACGTCACCCGGATTTGGAGGTAGGGCAGGTACGACGAGGTCTAGATTACAGTACCTCCTCCTACTTACCTAGGTCAGGCAAGTGCAGGTCACACCGTCTCTCAACCCCCCTCATCTTATCAAAGACAAACAACGAACAGCAAACAACTTCTCCTCCTTTTCTTCCCTCTTACAAATTCATCATCCTACAAAGTATCTTTTACTCCTTCAACATCAACTGAAACCTTGTACCAACTGCAACAATGACAACCCGTTACCGTGTCGAGTGTAAGTTAAGCCGTCAATAACCCCACCTCAAGCCTCCCTTCTTGTCATCCAAACACTCATGGTTACACAAGCTCACAATAGCAAACAGATGCTCTCAAGACACACCGAAGAGACCAATTTATTGGTATGTTGGACTCTACTTGTCCCAGATATCACGAAATTAATTACACACTAAACAGTCTCTCTGATTCATCATTTTTCCATCTCATCCCCGCATCCCATGTCCCACTATCCACGCCTCACATCAGACTCAGCCAGCTAACTCGAATCGCAGAATGGGTCAAGGGTCTTCTAGCTGTTCCTTTCGTTCTCTACTCTCAGCCCACTGGCGTTTTTGGAGATGGACCTAGTGTTACTCAGATGGCCGAAGAGGCTCACCGCCGTTACGCTGAGATTATGCGTGACGTTGAGCTCATGATTGATGATCACAGTAAGCCTTCGTACTCACCTTCATAGCAAACATATCTAATTCCCAAAAGTTAGCCGTCAGCAAGATGATACCATGCTCCCGTCCAAGTTGCGGATGCTGATTCCCACTGCGGGCCCTTTCTTCACCCGCCTGCCCCTGGAAGCAGCTTTCAAGTATCAGGACAGAAAACGGTATATCTCATCACGAAGATTTGTTGCTCCATCCTTCAACGATGTCAGACAGATCCTCAACTCAGCCCAGTCCATGGCTGTAACAAATGGATCACTGCAGTTGGCCACGTTTGATGGTGATGTGACCTTGTATGACGATGGGTTCAATCTTGAGCCATCGAGTCCTGTGATTCCCCGTCTTCTCGGTAAGCTGGTGCACAAAAGTCGAAACTGCAAACTAATGTCTGTCAGACCTCCTACGAAAAAACATCAAGATTGGTATTGTCACGGCTGCTGGTTACACATCTGCCGATCGCTACTATGAGCGCCTCCATGGATTGCTTGACGCAATTACGGAGTCAACTGATCTGGATCCTATTCAGAAGCAAAACATCGTCATCATGGGAGGTGAAGCAAACTACCTGTTTGAGTACTCACCTTCTTCGCCCTACAAGCTCGCTCCTGTCCCGCGCACTCAGTGGCTGACACCCGAGATGGCCTCATGGTCGGATGCTGACATTACAAGATTGCTGGATGTTGCCGAAGGTGCCCTTCGTGACTGTGTCAACAACTTGAACCTGCCTGCCATGATCATGCGCAAGGACCGTGCTGTCGGTATTATCCCCAAGACGCCAGGTACTCGCATCGCCCGTGAGAGCCTTGAGGAGACTGTTCTTGTTGTTCAGCGCATCCTGGAGCTCAGTAGTCTCGGATCCAGCGAAGAGCGCCCGACCAAGCACCGACCCAACTCTCCTCCAATTCCACCTTCAGTGGCGAGCCAATCACGCCGCGTGCCATTCTGTGCATTCAACGGAGGTAATGATGTGTTTGTCGATATTGGTGACAAGAGCTGGGGTGTGACTGTTTGCCAGCAGTGGTTTGGTAGCAAGGAGAATGGTGGCGCCATTCGCGGAGAGAACACACTGCACGTAGGCGATCAATTCTTGAGTGCTGGATCAAATGACTTCAAGGCGAGAAGTGTCGGAACAACAGCCTGGATCGCAAGCCCAGCCGAGACCGTGGAGCTGCTTGACGAGCTGGCTGATCTGATGCAAAAGAAATTGTCCTGATTGCAAGTAGATTTGGGCTTTCTGCATGAGAGATCTGTCTTGGGCATATTCTGATTCTCAATCATGCCGGGAGTAGATTGGCTGTTGTTCGAGGAGAGCCTCGCGTATACGTGGACCTTTGCCTTTGATTGTGGCATCGGCAACAAGCCCGTCTACCTCCTGGCAACACGGGAGATTAATCCGCGTCGACTTGTGTTCAGACGAATGACAGAATTTGCTGACGGATTAATTACTTACTTGGCCTAACCTATCCCAGATATCATGCTGGTTCTAATCAGTCACATATCTTGATTAATCTTTGAGCCGGGGATAATGATGGGATCAAGATCAGTGAACTGTGTTTATTTCTGGGAATAATCTATGTTGGAGTTTGATATCTACTAAGACTTCTAAATACAAATACCCACTGGATTTCACTCTATTTTGAACCTCTTTCACCATTGTCATTCAAATAATGCCAACCTCTCCGATGCTTTAGCAGGTGTGCAAGATTACAATTTCTGATAAACCATGCATAACATATAGAAACATGATCATACTGACTCTCCACATCATCACGAGACATAAGACTTTGACATTTGACAAATATGACGATCAAGAAAGAACCTGAGTCTAGAAGCTCCTAGCAATGTATAGGGATCATATCACAGAATAACAAAGCTTTTTCTCAACCAATTAGCGTCCGGTATGGTGTAGTGGCTAACATTTCGCGCTCTCAACATATAGCTGAGGGATCAGTTCCGCGGAGCCCAGGGTTCGATTCCCTGTACCGGAGTTTCTCTTTTGCATTTTTGACCTGTTGGTCTGTAATATTCATTTTCTATCTAACACCGAAATCTTTATCGTATTGGAGTAGAGCTATACGATGTCGGGTTAAATATGGTCTGATACTGACCGTCACGAGGATATCAAACAACAACACCAACAGCCATCCATATATGCAAATCATGTCAATCAGATACCATTCATCAACGCATGCATGAGAAGTCCGTCTTCCTGCATCTTTTCAGATATAGGAAGTAACTAGCACTGTCCAGTGCTGCGTGGTCTGACTACAAAGCTTCTGAATGTTATCTACCTATCTGTTCACGCATACAACTCATTTCATTCGACGTACCAAGCTTGGGAAACATCTCAGTATACTCAGTTCATTTGTTGCAATCGCCCTCTGAAAGTAGCAACATCGAGACACTTCACGCTTTCCAAGAGTCATCACGAAAGAGTGGCATGCTCCTTATGTGACAACGGAGATTCCTTCACCCAGGAGTATGGCTTCACGGCAGCTCGTGCAAGCATTAAAGCAGTCGATATTCAACAAGTAATACAAGTCCTTTGAATTTGTCCATAATGTATTCGAAACCTTGAGAGCTCGGGTGCGATGGTTATAAATCTGCCACTTCCTGTTCCAGCTCCAATACAGACAAGAAAGAGCCTGTTCACAAACTCGCATGAGCACAATAAGATGCGGGTTTCCTCAGTGGTAGGTCCATCCCTGACCCAGTGGCATTATTGGGGGGGTTCTTCCCAATGGAGTGTTACCACGGACGAAGGTCCGGTTATAACCAGTCTTGGCCATGCCAGCCGCATATTAGCCAAGATTGTGACACTCAAGAAGATACGGCAAGCAAGCAAGCAGCGAACATATCGTATCACAATCGGCTATTTGAACCAACAAGAGACAATAACTAGGGGAGTGTAGTATCAAGTTTTGAAGAATTACGTGTAAGATAATAGTACCTATGGACTGCCCAGTAGTCTCAACGCATTCTTGTGAATGGGGGCGTAAGCTTACACGTATCGCGCATGTATACATTCGCCTTGGCAATGGTGCACTGTTGAAGTAGGTATCAGGCTATATAGCAAAAAGAATTCCCCTTATTTCTCATTCTGTCTTATTTCTTACGTTGGACAAATGAAGCCACGTGATATCATCAAATAGTCTATCCAATTCAATTGCTGTAGTTCAGCTCAGGCTGGTTGGCTTACTTATACCCAGTTAGCTCCCTTCAGCCTCAAGCCACTCGTATCTCCTTCATGGACTACACCGGAGGACTCAGCTCTGAGGAAATCCGCCGAATTGATCGAATAATGGATTTGGAATGGATGGAATTCGCTGAAGGGTGGGAGTGGCATGCACTGAACTATGTTAATCCTCTTCCTCCTATGATACCTTATCCCTCTTACTGTGTCAGTCGTCGATGTGGATGGTGCCGCTTTACGATTAAGCCCGGCGACCTCATCACAGCCAGTCAGTTCCATATTCCTCCAACGTCAAGAAACAATACTAATTCTCTGAAAGGAGCATCTGGTGGCACCGAAACAGTTGCTTTTGAATCGTGCGATTCCTTCAACGATAACAAGTTTCGCGCAACTTTCAGGCGCTGCACAAGTGATCACGAATCATGTGCGACAATCGGGTATCACGTTGAGTGCTCCGAGATAGCTTCATCATTCGGTCTTGATAAGAGAGCATTTGTGCAAGTTGCCCGATATTCTTACGAGCCCTCAGTTCAAGAAGATGAGCGGCGACGGGAGTGGATTTTGAATCACTTACACCGGATCATGAGTCAGAAGTTCGCAGATCTACCACCAGAGATACTGTTGATGGTGAACAAACATTTAGTCCTTCATTATGCGATATCTTCGCTGTCTCGTGTCTCCGAGTCGAGTCAATGCACGATTGAGCCATTGAAGGATGTATGGGCCACTCATCTCGACCTGGACGGAATTGAGTATGTAGCTTCCTTGTCGAACACGCCGCAGCCGGGAAGTCGACTACTCTGGAGAGAGTTTCAGGGTCAGGAAGAGAATCATATTTTCATCTCAGAAGATCATCTCGGCATCCGCCAGATCGTTAATGATCCTGGAGCTGTTACATCGGCACAAGGTAGTTCAGGCTGGTGGCGAACACTCCCGATCACCAGCAAAGTCCTCTCATTCTCAGACGATGTAAGCTCTGCACCTTTGATCCACAGTTACAGTTCTAATGTCAAGACAGGGCCTCAAATTGCGCAGTTTCGCTGCCGCTCCGTTGAATCCCACCATTTGTTGGCCGTATCCTATGGCCCCAGATGCGTTGAAGAGCATGGCTTACCACGTCACAAAAGACTCATCTTCAAGTCTTGGTATGACTATCGAAGCTCGCATGGTGGCCTTGGAGTTCAACGAGCCTGAGATCACAGGATATTCTGCTTGTTGGTATAAGGACCAGCTGGTCGATCTTCACACGCACAAGACTGAAGAGTCCTTGGCCTTTTATCGTGAGCTGGACGAAATGGCGAAGCACAAGTTGGCCAGGAAAAAGTCAGATGATTCGACCGCAAGTTCATCCCCTCATTGGACTTACCATCCGTTGAATCCCGGTGAACGTCTTGGACAAGTCTGGTTGCGCACAAAGAAGGAAGCAGACGAAAAGGATACGTCTGAAGACGAAAGACGACCAAAGACATCAGATACTGCCAACGAGACTGCGGTAGTGGTAAGACTAGACACACCGTAACCCACTTGAAGCTTGAAGCTGACTCGTATTAGCTGGTCACCAATCAGTCGCGAACGCTTACCATGGGAAGAAGCAGCTCACCACACAGCGAGTGGAAATGCGTAGCCAAAGAGTCGCCGGACATTCCAATGCTAGTCTACCTCAGCCCTCGTCTTGACGGCATTTCTTTGCTCGCATCGCCAACTGTAGAAGGAAGCGACAAGGATCCCTTGCCAGCAGTACTTGTTCCCGGATCCGAAACAGATCCAGTTGAGACCTCAGAAGTCTCGCTCGATGCTGTTAAAGAGGTTCAGATCTGCAGAGAACAATCTCAGAAAGGGATCAGTTCGATATCCGGCTTGTTGTTTCGATACAAAGATGGAAGCCAGGCATGTTTTGGGAGATTTCGCTTCGATCATGCGAAAGAGGTTCTGTCTGTTGCCGATTCAGTGTGCTTCTATCTCGGTACCATATACTTGGATGGAGGTAACCGAGTCTTGGGAGAATTCTGCTTGTCGAAGCCAGAGTATGAGGATGAATCTTTGGAGTGGAAGAGTACTCTGTGGAAAGGAAGTTTCCCACGGGAGATAATGCTCATGATGGACAATTAAATGAGTGTGCTGAATATGCAATGATTGACAAGTAAATAAACTACCAATATCTGTTTAATTTTATAAGAACCTGTCTCACTAGTCTCTTTGGTCAGTAACGTGAGGCGAACGCAGGCAGAGAGAGAAGTCAGGGGGGCCCAAGAAGAATACCATATTTTGACCACTTGAAGTGATGAGTTTAAGCAAGTCTAGCCTAAGCTATCTCAAATTGATCCTAATCCTTATGATGATATTTCCTTAACTTATAGAAGTTACTGATAATCCTACCCAGAGAGGCCTAACTATAGCGGTTTGCGCTTCTGGCTGCGCTTCTGGATATCGTTCTGGTTTTTAATAACCACCTAGACAGGGTTCGTTTTATAAAGTTTGGCTACAGCTCTGTGAAGACTTGCTGAAGATATTTGAATTCTTATTGTTGTGTTAACGCTGGTATGCTATGTCGTTATCGGCAAGTGGTATCCCATTATTCTCGCTGAAATTATTTGCTTTTTGCCGTATTGATAGAGTTGCATAGAGAATGTTCATTCCTGGCTCTTGTTCCACTGATCACTTCAGCTAAGGAAGGATAAAGAAAAGAATATCCCGTATTCACCAAGATAGATGATCAGTAAAGAATCTAAATATCTCTTTACTAAACCTACCATTATAAAAGCAAAGAAATCGTTTGCCATTTCTGTAGACACCTAGTATCGGTTCTCGCATGTTTGTGATCATAGTGATAAAGAGCCGCATATCTGTGATCAAAGTGATGCGGGGCGGGAATGTGGCTCTCTCTGGGGAGTGTTATAGCCCGTCGTGTAATACCCTGGGGGAAGGGGGGGATCATGGTAGTGGCGACTTGTTGATAATCTATGACTGGTAGGTAGTAAGAAGATTTTGCCAACCATCACAGTACCAAAATACGCGACATTCTTGGTGTCAGATCAGCTTACAAGGAAAATCTCCATATGTTTCTATTATTATCAGCGGATCATTGATATCAGAATTGGGTACAATCACATGTTGGAAGCTCGAGATGTGCGTGTTACAATTACGTCAATTGCTCGTAAACGGTGTCTCAAGGTTAGCCACAGCATAATGACAGTGAGACAGCAATGGCTTTCCCTTATATCAATGGTTCATGCAACTCAAAGATCATCTATTGATGCTGCTCCCGCTATTGGAATTGGTGTCTGCGTTTCTTCGATTAGAAATAAAAGTGCCAATGTCAACATGGTTGAGCACCACAACGACATCTCACAGTCTACGCCCAGCAGACTTGGCAACGATTATACCAAAAGTACTTTTGCTAAAGCATGCTCAGATCATTCTGAAACCCCATCTGCAGCAATCGTGAACTCCAAAGACGAAAAGCTCAGCCCTCTCCAGAAACACGTTCAATTCTGGGACCGCGACAATGACGGCATCATCAACCCATGGGACGTCTACAATGGCTTCCGCGAGCTCGGTTTCGGTCTCTTCTTCTCAACAGGCTCTCTTCTCATCCCTATCTTCTTTTCATATCCAACACGGCTCGGTCATAGTTGGCTGCCTGACCCCTTGTTCCGCATCTATGTCAATGACATCCACAAGGCCAAGCATGGTTCTGATACAGGCATCTTCGACTTTGACGGGAACTTCAGCCCCCAGAGATTCGAGCAGATGTTTCAGCGGTTCGATACCTCAGGTGAGGGAGGTTTGACTGCTGGTGACCTCTGGAGATTATGGGCGAAGGATCGCTGTGCGGCGGACCCAGCTGGTTGGACCTTTGCTTTTATGGAGTGGTGGACATCATATGTGCTTCTCCAAGAGGATGGGGTCGTGAAAAAAGATGACCTGAGAGCCTGTTATGACGGAAGCCTGTTTTGGAGGATCAGAGACGAGAGAGAGAGAAGCAGCGAGTACATGGGTAGAAAGAGCTTTGGCATGAGAAACTTCTTTGCTTCAATCTAGCAGGCTCTCGAAAAACATAGCCTCAATTCCTTCAACGAGATCGTCTACAAGCCCCATGGAGTCAACTAGATAGCAAAACTAGAGAATACTAATCTTCCATCAAATCTGTGAGTTGGTTATCTCAAGCCCCTACTAACGTTCGAGAGAATCGTCGAAACCTCAAACAGACTTTCGTAGAAATGATCCGGGAGACCTTTGTCGGAAGCCAAGAGGTTTTCGATAACCTCATCAGCACGACCAACTTGAGCCAGCGTGTTGTGAGTGGTTTCCTGTAAGAACGTGATTCGTGTTTCTGCATCTAAATGCTTCTCTCTAAGCATTTGGATATGGCGTAAGAGTCTCTGCCCTCGGCTTGAATCTACGGGTTCTGAACCTTGCCAAGGGTACCGCGTCCGTGTTGAAGTTGGCGAACTAAAACCAAGACTTTGCGATTGGGCTACAGGTGATGGCATCGACTTCTGAAAATAATGGTTGTCTGATTGAAATTCCTGTGCAATAGTTGAACCCAATAAAGGTAAGTGAGCTGTGTATTTGCATGGGCTATCGTCAACGCTTGAAACTGAGTATTCGTTACTGACGAATCCTTTTCGCCCAAGGTAACGTCGCATGTCCATTTGGAGTCCGGCCTTGCCATGCATGTTATTTGAACGCATATCTAGAGGCATTCTCTTCGCTTTATCGTTTGCAGACTCTGTCTGCCTCATGCTCCTTGCTTGTCGATTCAAGTCCACTTAGTTGCTATCCTTTCCTCCCTCATTCTCCCGGGTCGGCGCGTGCAGAGGAGAGAAGTTATCATCATCAACCTTTGTGTCAAGCACTTCGAGATCCTTGCACGAGATCTCAAGCGGAGAACTCGAGGCATTCAACACATAACGCGAACGAGTAGGTGGGATGTCCCAAACGGGTGTCACCACCAATTGCTGTCCCTTATAGCTCATAACGAGACACTGCTGAGGATGTCGAGGGTGGCGATGTGTTGGTACCGGGAGAGGGGGCTCTGCCAAAGTTATACAGAACGAGGAGATAAGACTGATGCAAAGAGAATACGAGCATATTACAAGTCTTACATCTTGATAGGACACTAAACACAACTGCGTATGCCTGCAGGACAGGACGGATAATGACTGGCTACTCCTTACATAACGCATATCACTTACTATGCTGTGCTGCACCAGAACAAGACGGGGAACATCATTAGTAACCACAGAACATGGAAGTCGTAAGCTGTGCTCAGCTCTTAATGCGTGTCATATACACATTGCGACTCAATTGTGATGGTTGATCTGGAGTAACCACGGTCTTTATGAAACGACTGATTCGAAAGTGATATCAGAGAGATAACTTTCTCCTGTATTATTACTTCACTGAAAGCACTTGCTCTCTGGAACTTATCGAAGACATGGAGGTGATATTACGACTTTTCGGGGCCCCGATCATAAAGTAAGTTGGGAGACTCTTCGATTCCCATGCACTGGCTGACCGATCACAAGGGCGAAATATGAGAGCAAGTCTTCCATGCTCGATGACCTGTCAATCATCTGTGATTTGGATCCCCAAAATGATGACTATTATGTAAAAAGCACACCACGATCGTCACCGGAAATCCAACCACCTCGCCCATCATTCAGTTTGTGCGGAATCGGGTCTCAGTTCTGTTGAGTGCTCTTGGGGATCGGGAAGAGAAACAAGAGGACATGGCATGGCATGACAGGGTTCATTGCCTCTACTCATACCTACACTGCCTAACGACTGGCTCTCAACTAGCAAATTATACGCTTTTTCTACCGATGACTCTTGTATGGATCCTCAGGGTTTCCCCCAGCATCAGAAGCTCACTTCTTAAAGGGCTTTGGTGTCCCTGACTTTTTCAATTCCTCCTCTGTCTTCCCTGTCTCCTCTGCCTCGCGTTTCCACGCCTCCGCAAGGCTGGCCTTTCTAGCAGCACTTTCCTCTGGCGTCGACGGAAGACGGAGCCTCTGCTCGAGCGGGTTGCAAGGATTCCTACCAAAAGGGTGTCCCTTCGATATTATATCCTTCCAGGCATACAACCGGCGGAGAGCAGGAGATGCGTCTACGTGATTTGCCCCAAGCCATGCCGCGAGCGTCGCCCTGGCAAGTCCAAGTACATACTTCTGCTCAACCTTTTCCTCGTAGGTAAGTTGATTAGAGCCTAACAAAGACACTGGGATCAACGGGACGATCGATCCCATGTGCCCTTTCTTGTTTACCCCTTGGGGCTTCTTCTTTGTTGCGCCTTGTTGCTGGGAATCTTTGGAATCAGACGGCGCCAGCACGCCAAATGGCACCTCAGCTAAGCCTACGTATACCTTGCGTTGGTAGATTTGGGCGAACACCCCAATCATTTTATACCGATCAACCATTGTTATGGTCATGTATTCCTCCTCGGTCGGCGGGTGGTCGGCGGCCAAGATGTGCCAGGTTCGCAGTGGTATTAGTTTCATAATCGCTGATGCCCATTCCGAGGCAGATTTCAACTTGAGAATTTCCTCCCACTGGTCGGTCTTTGGCAAGGTCATGAGTGTTTCGACAATGTGTTCCATACGCTTTTGCACTTCGTCTTGCTTCGCTTCGAATACTGCGACTCGCTCTGGGGTAGCATCCATTGGGTGTTGCCATGGAGTTCGTGGACGACTTCGGCGCAGGATATCGATTCCCTTCCGTTCTTGAATCTGTCTGAGCTGGCCCCTGACACTGAAAATACTTCGGTCCATCCGAATTGCGATGTAGTCCAGACTGAATATTGGCCGTTTAATGAACCCTTCGAGCTGGGCCAATTCCTCCTCGGTCCATGGCCTTCCTTTCACCTTGGGCTCATCTCTTGGGTCTGAGGATAGGATAGGAAGATCTAGGGTCGGGGCATCACTGTCACCGACGTCTTGGTCTCTGGTAACATCGTTGTCTGCTTGAGTCGATTCGTCTTTGATAGGCGCCACATCATCACTCGTCTCGTAGGAAGTGTCGAGTTTGGTACCCTCCTCAGCAGCAATATCGCTGTTGATCTGTGTTGATTGGTCTGACTTCGCATCGTCACCGGCGTGAAGAAATCTTGGTTGCTGGAGAGAGAGGAGGCGAATTGGGCTAGGTTGTCGTCTAGAAACCGCGAGTGTGTTTCGATGTTGACGTAAAAGGTTCAAGGAAAGTCTACGGCTCGCGTTTGACAACTGATACAAGGAAAATGATGCCATTTTCGAGGGAGCTGAGCAAGACCTCGTCGCGTTTGAATTCAATGGCGATAGTTGGAAACGGTGCATAGAGCAGAGCTAAAGGTAACACGTGACATGGTTTTCACGGATAAGACCATCTTACGGCTACCAGCCATGCGTGCCATTTTTGCAGAAGGTCTTATTTTACTCGCTCGAAACAAATACTGCTTATATATGCAGCACTAGTTACTGGTTATTTTCCGGTGCGGTCATGCGCAAACAAGCTCGTTAATTCAAAGATGTCGATGGCGGTCATAAAGAACCCACAGCGACAGCTTGGGCACAGCTAAGGAGTATACATCATGCACCACAATGGACATTTAAAACAGCATAAGGTATGTTGATATATTCCCCTTGAAGCGATAGGTACGTAATGTCGTGTGATCTAGAACTAGACCATTATTATTATGCAACATCTGCAGCATCCATCTCAAGCGAGAACTTAGAGAGAAACACATCCATCCGCGCTGTCCTCAAGGAAGATACCACCGTAAATAAGTCCCTCGTTCAAGTTGGCCTCCTGGAATCCAGAGTTGGCAACATCATCGGTACCAGTGGGCTTCTTGAGGATACCAATCTGGAACTGTCCCTGGCCAGTCAAATTGCGGGCGATGGGCTGAGTGGCGACCTTGAGAGGCTTGCATCCCTTGGAGTAGTAGGCTTGGATGGTGCTGCGATTGTTAGCTACGCTCTTCGTGCTGCGTTGCTGGTAGGGGACTTACTTCTTCTCGTAGTTGAGAGTGATGGCAAAGTTCTGCCACACCTTCTTGAGCATAGGAGTCTCCCAGAGAAGCTTGAAGTCCTGGTCGAGAAGCTTCCAGGTAGCAGCAGTGCCGTTCTGTCCGATGAGTTGACCAGCCTGGAACTGGAACTGGTTACCGGAGAAATCGGCCTTCTCGTGCCAAACATTCTATCCTCGTTAGCATCAACAACGTCAATTATGATTCCAGGTATGCTCACCAGGTACTCATGGCTAAGGTTGAGAGGGCGCTTGTCATCCTGCATAATGCTAAAGTGCAGAGTCTTGACGCCCTCAGATCCAGGGCTGCCCTCATTGCTATCCTTGTTGAACTGCAGACCAGCGCGCCTGAAGCCAAGCTGCTTCATGAAGATACTCTTGTCGCTGATGGTGACCTCAAGGGGGATAGTACCAGCCTCAGTATCGAAGCGCGACTTAGTCTTGGTCTTGGGAAGCTGAAGAATCTCGGACCAGGAGATGTTGTTTCCCTTGACGAAGCCGGGGTTGTAAGGGTTCCAGCCGCCGCCATTCGCCGTGTCGAAGTCGGTCAGAGAGGCATTGGCAGGGACTCGGCCATCGAAGACGACGGGGCAAGTCTCGCTTGCTCTGGCAAGAACCTGAGAGCGTTGGCCGAAGGGAGTAGCAGAGACCACGGAGGCCAGAAGAGTGATGAATGCAGCGGTGCGCATGGTGAACGAGGGAACGATATATAGGATTGATAAATGAATGAATGAATGAATGAATGAAATACAAAGAAATGAATGGATACTAGCCAGTAGTAACTTGAAGACAAAATGCTACAGAACCAGGCATATTACGATGCAACAGCGTCTTAATATACATCTTGACAAGAACCTTTTTCAGATCGGGTAATTCGGTAGGTGCTCCGTTTCAGGCCATGTTTGTAATCTTGTGTACGCGGCAGTTGAACAAGACATCCCACTTTGGGAATGAGAGTCGGTTATTCCACCCGTAAATTTATATCTGCCATTGGAGGAATTATTTATCTGGACAGTTGACGGTGTATCTGAAACGTTTTCCAGAAGCCAGAGAAACTTTAACTGGGCGCAATAAGCTTAGATCCTAATAAGGTTTAATTAAGGAACCGGAGCCGGGTTGTAGCGGACTTCCGATATTTCGACGATAGTTTCAAGAATAGAACACGGGGCAGATGGTGGATATATTCTTGAGACGAGATAAAAACTTATTTACTCTATGCTGATGATATGTTAGAAAGTTCCTAGATCATCTTTGGACGAATCTCCGACGAGCGGAACTCCTCGGAGAGAGGACAGTTTACCTCCTCCACCAGCTCCGGGACGAAGCGGACCCACCGTCGGCCGTGCTCCATATTAAATGCCGTCCATATCGGCACTTGAAAGCTCTTGGCTGCCGAAAGTACCCATGAACAAGGGAAGTCCATATTAAAAAGTATATCAGGTATCATTCCATTTTAAGCTTACACAAAAGTGAGCGCTATCATTTTCGCATTCCTACGATTGACGGCACGGCAAGTTTATTCTTCTTCCCCGCCATCAAGCTCAGGCTTTGCAAAGTAACAGTCCACCAAGAGTCTATGTAAGTAAGTAGGTAGCCCTCAAACCTTGACTTGGACCTTCACAAAACTCTGTATCTATTCTCACTCCCCCCCATCCCTCGGCCAGCCTCTTTCCCCAGGATTCTCGTGTTACATCTGGGGAAGACACTTCCATTCTCCGATGTCCCAACAATCACAACTTCTCCGTGGGCAACACAAACAAAAGAGAGAGAAACACCTCCACCCCCACGAAATCTCCAATGCGGGCACGAATCAGCCCTCCTACCTCTCGGCACCGATATCCGAGGAGGCTTCTATCGGTGTGCCATTTCTCTCTCGTGCAGCGCGGTAGTCGCGCTTGATCAGCCTCAGTTCTTGTCATGTTTCGCTCGGCACGTTATTTCCGCGAAGCTGCATTAGCTGTGAACCGGAGTAAGTGTTAAGCACGACCGGTCACGCGGATCATGCATGTTAAACCACTCCAGAGGGAGTAATGTGATCTGAAGCCAGAGCTTGTGAGCCAGAAACCGGTCGTGAGACTCTCTCTGCTCCGACAAATCCTCTTGACCACGTGGGGGGTTGACATTGTGTCTCAACCTTGTCCAGAACCTTCGTGTTGATGACAACTTCAACCTTAGCCAGGTACCCGGAACGGACACCCAACACCAGTGAAACTCAGTGGAAACCCACGACGACCGGTGAGGGATATCGTGAGGGCGTATCAGCGTCACGCCCTTCTCTCATTCACATTCACATGTCCTAATGCATCACAATTTCCATCCAGTGCTCAGCGTCATCGCAAAGCCTCACTTTTGTGTCCAAGTCCAATGAGATCCTGTGACATTTCCACTTTCACTGCTACTATTGATCAGCGGTGAGACCGCTCCAGCATTATATCCAAGCCAATATATCGCTCATTCCGACTTCGCTTTGGTTATGGCCGATACAGTATAAACCATCGTCGTGGTGAGACATGCGTGCATATCCCGTGGGATGCTTTCCGTCGCTTCTGGATATGTAACACCGAAAACTCCCAGCCCGCAGCATCGGCGCATCCGTACACGCCACAGAGGAGTGTGTGTTCATCTGTCCCAAAATGCCGGGTGAGTAGACATTCAGGTAAATAAACATCATTCTTGCAGTAACGACATGTGATATAACGTGCTACGATACCAACAAGTGGAATGCTTCCATCATCCTTCTGGTAAAACAGATCTCGCTTCAATCCTTGTAAATCTAGATAATGCTCTTACTCAATCGTCAGGCGATTGATAACCGCTATCTCTGAAAGGTCAAAGCACCTGATGAAGACGTCAAATATCGCGGCCACAACACCAAGTGGTCCCGAAAACGGCCCTTCTTTTATGGATACTCAAGACGAACCGAGGCTGGAGTAAATAATGATTGAATAAACAAGGAACCCAAGTCTATTGTGCTAGTTCGCAGAAAAGACTGGTAGCAATGGCACCAGAGCACCAGAGCAGCAAGCCCATGTATATACATACGTGCGTATATGTAAGTGATACTTGTAAGAATAAACTATCTTCAAGGGGGTCGCGCACATCTTTGAATCCAAAAACACGTAGAAAAGAATAAACGGGCGAATTGATAAACCCCCATGGTCATCCTTCTGCCCGGCTTTTCTGTCCCATCTGTAGACCAATGGCATGTTAAATATCCATTATCTACTAGATTTCAAAAGAGCAAGAGACTGTTTCTTCGGGGGTATTAAGTCTGCTTTGCTTGTAAGACATCCCCCATCCTCGTCGGCTGTAGTGCGTCGTCGTCCGACGGCAACAGGGAAAATGTTGTATATTATGTACAGGTTGGAGTGTAAAAGAAAAGAAGCGACAGAAAATTCACCAACTCCAAACCATGCAGGCCTGGGCCATCATCCATGGCCAGCTTGATCCTAACGCCAATATAGGTGAATGCAAAAGTTATAGGCGCACAATCCAATGTTGCTCTTATTATCAAAGAAATGGTTGTTTAGTGTTTGTAGGACATTTCAAATGTCGTTCCATCAGTCATTAAGTCGTCTAGTAACCCGGCTGGCCTGGCATCTTGCCCAATGAGTGGGAGCCAGTGCCCTTCGGGGGTAGATGGTTGTGGCAAAAGATCTTTTTGTTGCCGTTGGCTGTGTTGTCCTTCTTGGTCGCATCGATGAGAAGAGCGGGGTCATCGTAGGATTCCAGCTGGCAGCACTCGACGTTCTTCAGCCAGCGGTTGTGGATGACGTCCTCGATGCTGATACGCTTTTGCGGATCAGGGTTCAACATCTGTAGCACAAGACGACGGAGAGCAGGTGGGGACATGCCCACGTCGAGGGCGTAGCATTTGGGGTAATCCGTATCAGAGATAGTGGCGTCGGACTCTGGATGCTTCCCATACCATGTTTCCCAGCCCTTGACAAGCTTATCATAATGGAGCTCTCCTGGGACAGCGCGGGACCAGATGGCGCCACCAAAAGTGAGATAAATCATGACAATCGCAGAACTCCACACATCGAGTGCTCGGGGGTCGTAGTTTTCCTTCTTGGCGAGGACCTCGGGGGCGATGTAGGGCTCACTTCCACAGATACCAGGCGAGCAAAGGCGGATCTCGCCGCTCATGTTACGGCCGCATTGTCCACCAGCTTCACGAAGACCGGGGTGAGTACCACAGAAAACTTCCGATACACCAAAATCGGTAATCTTGAGCTTACTGTCCTTGGTGATCAGAAGGTTCTCAAGCTTGATGTCACGATGGGCAATGCCATTGGCATGCAAGTAATGGACACCTTGAATAAGCTGCTTGAAGAGACACATGCGGTCCTTCTTGCGGTCATCGCCCTTGAGATGACCCTTGGAGACCAAGCTGAAAAGATCACCTTCCGAGCAGTATTCCATAACATGGTTCCATCGCCCGTGATCGGTACATAGGCGGAAAGTCTCGACAATATTGGGGTGGTGCAAGCTCTTCGCAATGCTGAATTCTGACTTGATCTTGTTCTCGTAGTCCTGTTGACTTTCTCGGTGCGATTTGCCGCGGAACTCCTTCACGGCGTAGAGCTCTTCTGGGTAGCCTTTTCGCATCATAAGGGTAACCTTAGAAGCCGCTCCCTTGCCAAGATGCTTGCCATGACGACCGAGGAATTTGCGCTGGTATTCGAATTCATTCTGTAGCTCAGCTATGTCCACGGCGAAATCATCAGGGAGGCTCAAACTCATTCGTCGAGCCTTGGCACCAGTACCGGAGTCAGGAGGAAGAGGCCAGACACTTCGTTCAGGTGGGTACATTGTTTCGTCGCCTTCCGCGGGAGGTGGGAGAGGGGTACTGGGTCGGCTACCGTCATAGCTGCTAGCTCTGCGGGTGAATTCAGGACGCTTGTGCCCGGTTCCTCGGCTGGTGTTATGAGCGCCAACGAAGTTAATAGCTCGGCCACGCAGAGTCAGACCAGTCGATGCACGGTTCTTCTTGAAGTCTCCTTGACTGGGAAGAGACTTGTCAGAGGCACGTTCGCAGTGTGCGGGAGCCATTTCCAATCCATTGTCGCTAGGCGAAGGGGGTGAGTTGGAACGAGTAGTTGCAGAAGAGCGATTCATGGAGAAACGACGGCGAGCTGCAGCACGTGGTTGGCCATTTGTTTGAGGCTCCGTTGGTGCGGACACGACGGAGGGTGTTGCAGATTCCGAAGGTATATAATCGTTCTTGACGTGGGAGTTTGATCGGCGGAAGAAGCTCGACATGGTGCGCTTGAAACTCGAGGTGGAGATGGAACCTCGGGTTGACTGACGGGTGAGAGAACTGCCTGGCTCAGGTTCTGTTGCTCTTGGAGTACTTGGTTCGTAGGTAGTAGGAGGCCGGCTGTTATTTACGGATTGTGATATATATGTTCCTTTGTTGGGGTTGCCCGAGTTGGGGATCGCGATAGGTACAACTCCTGAAGATGTGGCTGAAGCCGTCTGGTAAGACTGCAGATTTTGGAGGTCCTGCAGGTCCTGGCTCTGAAGGGTGAAGTCCTGGGACTGGCGACCACTAACAGGTGTAACGGGTTCAACGGCGGATTCGCTTCCAGATTCACCACCTTCTTCTAGGACAATTGATTCAGTAAGGTCGGTACTATATTCGCGAGGCGACGATAGGGACTGGAACTGGTTTGGGCGAAAGGTAGAGGGTGAGGTACTTTTATCTATGGCGGGAGCAAGCAAAAAGACGTCAGCAGGCAGGGATGACTTGATCTTGATGTTGGAGAAGTTGCAGTTGCAGGGTTCGGGTTGACCTGGGACAAGCCTAGGGGAACTAGGGATCAACCGGGGGGGTGCATGAGGCAGAAATAGAATGGAACGTGAGTTGTGAGTAAGAGGGAACGAGAACGAGTGACCATGCAGTAAAATAAATAAACTGGATCGAGACCCCCAAAGTGTGCCAAGGCTCAGCAAATGTCATGAATTTGTAAAGTCTAGGCTCAGCCCAACAAGGCACAGCGAAGGGAAGTGACAGTGATAGTGACATTAACGGAATTATAATGGGGAAATGGTGATGGAAATAAACAAATGGCGAATGTCCGGAGAGCCCAACCTTCTGGTTGCATCCATCCAATTGCCGCTGTTTACTTTGTTCTTTTTTTTGCATTTGCTTTCTCAGCAAATAACGAAGTGAAAAGCGCAAGCCCACTTACAAAAGCCGTCGCCCAAAGCCGATTTGATTCAGCCAAGTCTAGCTTCAGTTGCAGGTCCCACGTTTATCGCGTCACTACGCAACTTGCAGCTTGGTCCACGGCGCAGGGTCCACGGAGATGGAGAGACTTCTCGCTTCCGGTGGACGTGGGAATGACGAAATGAATGTGAGAAGACAAAAGCGGAGAAACAACCAAGTGAAATGAAATGAGTTGCTGCTCATCAAAGAGAAACCCAAGACATGAACACGAGGGGGAATAGAAACAGGAATAGGCTTGACTTGAAACGGGCGAATGGATGGGCAATGCTTGCCCAGATGGGTTTGGGTGAGGGTAGAAAGAGGCGAATCAAGGAGAAACAGTTGATTACAGAGACAGGCAACAGTAAGAGAATTGTATGTCCATACCTGTGAGGGTGGAGGGTCCCTGTGGTTGGTGCTGGTGGGGTGCTACCATGGCCCTTGGGGCCGAGAGTGCCGCCATAATGCCCATCTTTTTGGAAGTCGGGTGCTGAGAAATAGCGAGATTGAGCCTTGAGGGCGCTTCTGCTGTTTTATCTCGGACGGGGCTTGCGGCGAATGGCGACGGTGTCGAATAGAGGGGTACAGAGCTTCGGTGTACAGGCGGCGCCTAAAGTACAGAGCAGGTGCTGTCGGTTGGGGGAGGGCAGCTGGTCACTAACAGAAGCGAGGGACCAAGAACTTGAAGTCAGAGCCACACACCATCCAAGGATTGGGGTCAGTTGAGTGATGGGGACGGTTCAGCGACTAGAGTGCTGTGTTGTGCTTCTGTCGCTGGGCGAATGGCGTTTGTGGTTGGTTCGTCGGCAAAATGCGAGAAACGCTTGACGGCACTACCGAATCGTTGCGGCGAAATGGTATCCAAGATTTGCGATCTTGGCAGAAGACTCTGGCCCAGAGGAATAGCCACGAGGTTGCTGTAGAATACCGTGATCAAGAAAAAGGTGTTGCGTTCGAGCGTATGGTGCCTTTCTTCAAAAGTTGACAACTGATAGATTGTAACGGTCGATTATGCCGGGGCCTTTGACTGAGTTGATCAAGATCTCGTGCCCGTGTAAGCCTAGAATGCTTGTCGAATGTCGATGTGGTTCAAACGGGGTTCGATGTCCGTTTTTCGGTCTTCAATTGAACATTGACTGTCCTCTATTGTATTCAACCACGTTGTTGTCCGTTGTATGATCTCCCACGATTGTTGAATGGGATGCTAGAGAAACCGCATGGGACGTCGACTTGGTCGTAGGAGGATGTGAAGACGAGGAGGGGGCGGCATCAAAAGTAGTAGCCGGGTGATTATAACCGTGAGAGTGAAGCAAATAGAGCAGCACGATCGACAAGTTTTCTCATTTAGGTGATATAAATAAGGGAAAGAAGATGTTTAAATAAAAGTTAAAGGGGAGAGGAAAGCTGAAGTAAGGAGACGAGCAGAAAAAAAGCGCGCAGCTTGTCTTTTGTGTCCGTACAAGTTATGAAGCTGCTACACTATTACTTACTCGGTGCAGTCGATCAATTCGGTCCCTTCACCAGTCTATCTCCAGCCCACCAGAGCCAAACCGAACTAAGGAACCCTCCACTCTTTCTTTGGCAAAGCTTCAAGGTGGATCACAGACCACAACTCGACGTGGGGAACATGGACAAGGGTCAGGATATGGATGTGGATGGGCCATGGGGAGGGGCGTGCGCATACTCTCATTCTCACTCTCACTCTCGTCCAAGAGTGCTGAAGCGATATGCACGTACAGTATCGAGTGTACGTACAGATACACAAAGCCAAAAACTTTCACTGATTCTGTATTGGATGCAATGATTGACATGCAGGTTACTCTGCCTGGGTTGGGGTAGAGAAAAATGGTTCATGTGTGAGTGGGGGTACTTGATTTTGGAGATCGGGATACGGAGAAAGAGGCCGAGAATTGATATGGATGAGTTATCCAGATCATCAACTGCTTGCTTCATCAAGAGAACATCAGCAATCAATAAGTGTCCTCTGGTTTATTAATCCCGTCCATGGAACCCTTGGATAGATAAACGAAACTTGACTGGTCCATTTTGCTCCGTCGGCTAGTAAAATACGTACATATAAGCACAGTGCGTGATTTATCTACTAAAAATCCACATCTTATGCGACCCAGTGGGTGACTTGAATCGCCTTTTACCCAGAAAGATGCAGCCCAGTTAGGGGTGCGGCGAGAGTGCGGAATTCTTCAACTACGTAGGTGCAAGACCAGATAGCAAAGGCATTTCTTCTGATGGACAGCCCGAGATACTAACAAAGGTTACGGGAATTCTCAACTTGGAGATCACAGGCCAGCCTCAGGGTATGCCATAATTTCATCAGTGGTTGAGTAGAGGCGCCAACACGGAAATTATGCGTGGGTGAGCCATGGAAAAAGCTTGGCTAACTGTCTTTCCCTTCACGATGACCGAAGTGCCCCAATTTTCCAGGTTCTGTCTCTGCATCTCCATTGCATTACTGAGGTCCAGTGCTCCTGAGTCTGCCCTGGCCCTGGCTTAACATTGGATGCCAAAAAATAAACTCATTAAAGAGCCTCGGAGCTCATGCTAATTTACCTCAGTATTTTTGTCTCTTAGTTTGGAGATCCCAAAGTTTTCTCGTCTGGCTTGCCCTGCCCTGCCCTGAGCCTCTTGTTTACAGTACCTGATCCATTCGATGACAGCAGCTGCCTTTTGGGTTCTAGAGCTGCAGCGCCTCGACCACACAGCAGCAGCGGGAGACCTAATAATAGTTTATTTTTATGTTTCTTTTGGCTTCTGAAGAAACGCAGGTGCGCGTTTGATGCAACTGCTCTCCTGAATCTTCAAGACAAGCTCCCGCTAATCAAATGACAATGCAGGTGCCATCAAATCAATGTTGTACAGTACCTGCTGAGAAGCCTCGGCGAGCAATTCGGCCAGTTTTTCGTGTTCTCTCATTGGCCCACTCACCTTGACCTGGCCTCTCTTTCCCCATCTGGGGTCCCTTGGAGTGAGCGGTGCAAGTGCGACAGCCACTCATCCATCATTCACCTGCATCGACTCCACCGCCAGTCAAATCTGGTGTAAGCGCATTGTCTTGAGTGCCAAAATCTTCAAACATCATGAATAGGTGCAAAAGCATCATGAACTTTCCTTGTACGCCTTTGCGTGATGAACTGAGCTATTGCAACCTCGTTGTTGCATTTTGCACATCGTCACAAACTGTTGCCAAAAGTTTATGTCTCGAAATCGTGTTTGTTGAGATCTTGTCTCGCCATCTCAGTTTAACCCCATGCAATTCCAGAGCGACCATCTGCCCGAGACCCTGTTACAGCCAAGACTTTTCAAAAAGCGATCGTGACGCTGCACAACGGGACTCATAATCTTCCAGCTCATCAAATAATCCAGTTACATCATCGAGAAATCGATCAGGAACAGCGGTCAATTCCATGATGAGTACTCGTGTCTCGTGCTCAATGCTCGCCCTTTGTGACGATCTTCCACGTATCATGAATCTCCACATGAAGCATTCGTGTTTCTGCCCTCAGCAAATCATTAGGGTTACCGTCTCCTGAACAAGGCGCAAGCAGTCAATAATCCCGCGCCTCTCCCCAGCCCTGTCTCGCCCGGCCTCGAAAGGGAGCGAATCTGGCGTCAGCAACTGGCGGTGCAATGGCTGAATGCCATGTCAAGTTTCTCCTTCAACCCCTTGCGGCATGTCGGCCAGCTCGCGTGCCTTTGAGCCAATTTCAGCCATCATTCAAAGCCAATTTAGCTGACCGACTGGACCACTGCATCGTGACAAAAAAAAAAATGCCCCACGCAAGTCGCGGGTTTATGTTCTAGGGATTTCCACAAGAGGCAAGGTATTTTGGATGAAATTAGCCTATGATTTAAGGAAGTTATGATGGCCTAATGAAGAGTATAGCCCACGATTGCATTCAACTTATGCTCTCCTAAAGACACTCAATTGAAGGATAATGGGATTCTATGGGGTACCAACAGCGGACAATACCAGCACCGCGCTACCAGCTATCACCCACTAGTACCCGCTCTGTCACCTCGCCTGAGTCGACGGAGAGGTTGGACCTGAGAGCATGAAACGGAGCCTGGGAAATTTAATTATAGGTTTCTCGGTCCTCTATAGCCGGCTGCACTGCTACCACTCAGGGCAAGGGCAGCATCAAAATCCACCAGGATAGGCGCCTCAAGCCGTTGATTGGAGTTGCTCGGGAGAGACGGCAGTTCTCATCAAGAGTAGGACGGCCAGCATTTTCCACGGAGCCGGAGTTGAGTGTAACTGATCAACAACACGTCGATTTTCCTCCCCTCAACTTCGACTGCATTTGCATGCGAATCATGAGTCTTGCCATGGTGCCGGATCTTGGCTGGGATTGGTCGCCTCGACATCCAAGAGCCGCAATCAGACATATCCTTTCATCCGCAACACCGCGGTTGTTAAAATCAGCCCAGTTTTTGCCTGCCGTTGCGGCTCTGATATCGGACATTGGACGGCGCTTATCCGGTCAACATGCCTCCAATCATGCGAAAATCCCGGTTCGCTATCCGGAGCTATCTCATGTGAAGTTTTAGACCAACATATCTTCAGCGGTCTTCTTTCGACCTCAGAAGCTGCGACCAGTGCCATTGCTTCCGGTTTGGTTTCAACCTGCCGACAGTGATTGCCTTCACTTCGTCACTACTGTCTGCAGTATCCCCTGTTCAACTTCGCAAGAGACGCGCACGCAAGGTGCTGCTGTGTAGCCGGACGACGAATGTCCTTTGACACAGATCTGCGCATGCGCGTCCCTCTCCGTCAAAGCTCTCGCTATATTGCGATTGCGCCTCAAAGTGACGCACAAGTAAGACAAGTTGCGCGGCGGTTTGAGATTATTCAAAGTAAGCTTGAATTCTAACTCATACCTGTCACGCTTGATCGGCGTTGATAGACATAGCAAGCGGCATTTACGTTTCCTTATGTGCAACGCAAATCGCATGGGATTTGATTAAGCGCAAATTGGATTTCGGGAAGCCCCCTGGCGTGACGAAGTGTCGGTCTGTGTCTCTGTGATCTCTCTGAGCAAGCCAGGAATAAGGAAGCTTCTCCAGGCATTTGACATCGAGCAAATAATAAAAACAGGAAATGATGGTCATCAAAATTTCCACTTATTCGCGAATCAAGGGGATACAGAGGTCGCACCGCAAATCTGGCTTCACGACGATGATATCTGCACTGTCTGCCATTTCAAGTCCCTTGTCGCCAAGACCGTCAATGTCTCCCCCTGTTCTAGCAGCCCTGAGTGGCTCGACACCGAGATCTTGACCAGTGCAGCGAATCAAGGGACTTTTCTAGGGCTGCCTAGCTCGCCTTTAATCACAACTCATAGTTGGTGGAATCCTGTCCCATCCTCCACGATCTTAGGAAGCCTATGACTCTATCGTCATATTCACACGCGCCTGCAGCGGCTGTTGTTTCGAGGTTGAGTGATCTCGTGGTTTTATAAACCTGAAAGCGCCTACTGAAGGTCGGGAGCTCCTCCAAAACCGGTCCGGTGCGGGATCTCCATTGCACGCCCACCCCAGGCCACACCATTCAAGCCATCTCTCTCGCCTCTGCATGACAGGGATGGCTGACACGGGTACGAGTGCGTCATATGCGCCCCGGAGAGACAAGGAGGTGGAGTTGATCCCTGGATCTCCCGTGGCACGGTCCCCTGTCTCTTGGGTCTCTTACACACTCTCGATCGCTCATTGGACACTGGATATCGTTAATCCTGTCTTGGCCGTAGGTTATCCGCGTGTAAGAAACAAAGTCTTGTACACGTTGAGTTAAACAACTCACGATCGACGGTCGTTTCTAATTCAAACTGAGTTTCTGTCGGCCCGTGCCCGATGGGAGTGTTGATAATTTTGATGCCTTGATGGACTCAAACTAAGGTCTTGGTATTCAGGTATTTGCTGCTGATCAGGGGCTAAGGTTCAATTATGAGGCTGTCAAGTCAAGTTCTCGAGCTTCACCACCGGCAAACAATCTCACATTGACTCAGACACGGCATTTAGAGTGCATTAAAGTCTGTGATTCACTTTGGCAATTTGGGCCACCGCACCGAAAGTGCTTGGCAGACGGACGCTGCTACATCATCCATGGGTTAATTGTTTAATTCTACCTTAATTCTGCCTTCACCGCAGCCTTAATGGTGATCTGCCGAACGTGCTTTGCAAATCACTTTTACTTTTCGGCAAGGGTCAATCATCAAGCCCAAAGAGTCGAATGCTTAAAGATGCCAAGCAAGGCATTTTCAAGGGTCTTGATGAACTGGGCAAGAGGGCTCTGATCAGATACTGATGCCTGACCAAAGGAAGCTTCATCGGGCGGTACCTCATCGTAGGCTTATCGAGTGCCAAACACTGAAGAGCATGCTGAAGTATGCTGTTACACGTGGTTCTTATTACGCAGTTCTACGTCAGGTATGAATCTCGTCATCATGAGGATCGGCCCCAGACGCTTACCGACACGTGAGGGCACTCAAGTTGAACGCACGATCCGCCTCATATCAGCTGAAATCAGAGGATTTGGAAGTTCTGGTAAGTGCAAAGACGTCACTTGCGAGCACGTAATACCTACAAGCGACGCGATGGCACAAGAAACCAAAGCACAGCGGCAAACCTCAAGTGCTCTCTCCATGCTCAGTTGCTCCATTTCCATGACATGAAGTGGCTCTCTCCAGTATTGACTCCGCTGCTATCATTATCACACATGCCGATATCCACGAAACTTGCATTTACCTTTGAGCTAACGGACAGTAGTCTGCATCAACAAGCCGGCTTTTGCCTCGTGACTTTTATAGCCATGTCTCAAGGTCTCACGAATGGGCATTTGGTTCTTTACTGCAAATCAGGCTCGTCGACAGAGATTCCTCGATCCTATCGGGGTACTCTCATAATGGATGCGAGACCTAGGACCTCCAGATTCATCCATGAACTTGTCATGCCATACAGGCAGGAGAGACGCCAAGAAGCTCCATCTGAACAAACGTCAATGGGAACGATAATTACCTGATCACGGCGTTGAAGTCCGAGAGAGGTTGCGTTCTTGGCCCCGTTGGCCCGCAAGTATCTGTTATTGGATTTCGAAAAAAGAAAGTTTTGCATCGTGCATCAAACAGTGGCGGATAAGACTTGCATGAGCCCATGGAATATCACGTCGATTGGCTTGAACATCGCAACACCCTCAAGATAACTAAGCCCAAATAGTCTGATGAGGCACCTTCAAGATCTAAGCAAATGCCGGATCTTGCCACACCTTTTCGATCTCTCTCTCTGGGTCGAGACGTACTACACCTAGGACGGTAAAGACCAAGTCAACCTCAGCTCTTGCTGTCGATACACAAAAGTCAAAAGAAAGCTTAGGCGCGGCTCGCATCTGAAAGGTGAAGCCGAAGAACAGCTACTGATAACGCGTGGTCTGAAGTTAGATCCAGTTCTGATAACTGTGCCAGCTACGACCAGGAGGGAGTGTGCATCCGTGGCCAATGTCGGTCCGCCCGTGATTAGCTTACACGACGCTATCGTCGTTCAATTGACATTGAATCTGTCGATAATAGCGTCTCGCTGCCGGTTGACAACTGCAGGGCCATAGACATCCCACGCTGATGCACTGGACCTGGCGTTGTTTCGATGCCTTGCATACATTGAGGTCTCACGTTTTTTTCGGAGCACAAAGAGATATGACATTTTCGCTCAGCCCTGTGACACTCATTTGAAGCCAGACCAGCTCGACGACGCAAAAGAGCTGCCAACAAATAAACAACCCCCCTGTCAGATCAATTGAGAACTCTCAGGCCATGATCTTTCATGTCGTCCAGGTGCAGGTAGACATGAACTGCTCCTCTTGTTTGGTCAATTGCTTGGCGAAAGCTGCCATGCTAACGCCCACGATGTTCCAGACTCGAGACCCGCTGCAAGTGCAAGACCTGACACGTACAAGGCCAGGGCATAATGAGAGGACATATGCATCAGCACTGTACTGTCTGTATGGATAAAGACGGTAGTTACGGTGCGACAGCGACAGGCTCCGCTTGAGAGTTGACGAGGGACAGAAAATGCCTCACCACAACAAGCCAACTTAGCCAAGCCAAGCAAGCTAACAAGGCACATTGAACGGCTTTCAGCGGATAACTTTTATTTACTTGCCTGAGTTGGTAAGTGGCTCCATTGGACTGAATCCAACAGTCTGGAAACACGAGCTCCATCACAACTCAATTGCTTGCTGTACAGCAACCTATTGATGGATGGAATGAATCAACAGCAACATCAGCCATGGACTGTTCAGGTCATGGTGGCGTCATTCATCTCGGCACATAGAGCATCATTTGCTTGATGGATTCAGCTTTTTTTCTTCTTTGAATTGAGAGTCTCTTGGAATAAGCGCACCTGTCGTTTGTCAATGCCATGCTTCGGTACGGCAGAGCGAGCGAGTCTCATCCAGACACACCAATTACGTATCATCATGAGACGTGGGGTCGCGGTTACAGTACAGAACTGCAGCATGACATTTAAACTCAAGGAAGCTATATCGATCTGGGCTATGGCGTTAGTTTGAATGACGAGTGACAGTTGTAGACGCTGCACAAGGCATGTCACCAGGTGTTGGCGTTTTACCCTACTTGTCGGTTAGGTTACTGAGATGAGGGGTGAGATGATGCTATCGAGCCTCTCCCCTCAGTCTCTCGGCGCCCAAAGGCAGCCACGGGATTGGCCAATTCGAGGATCGCCGAGCATCTGACAAAGACCATCATGGTCTGGGTATTTTTACTCTTTCCATGCATCTTTTCTAGACCCCTTTGGCGTCGGCTTGGCCGCGCAACTGACCACAAGCTTTTTGACAAGCTTACCGTTTGAACTGTAACTGACGAGGGGTTCCCACGGCCAAGAAAGACAGTGCAATGCTATTTTAGGTGAGGGGAAACAAGCTCTTTCTCAACGCAGCAACGTGCATTCTCAGCGGCACAGCTCGTCGCTCGAACCTTGGCTTTTCTTGGCCCGGTGGTCTCGCCTAAGAAACACATAAAGTTGTCGAGACAGGCACCTACGCCCAAAGCTTCAAACTCAGCTGAGAAGCTATCTTCTGTACTACGAGGATAACTGTGGATGAGGAGCAAGCCACTTCCGTTTTCCCCCGCCATGTACCCCATATTCTTGGCGGAGACGTCTGCTTTAAGTCGAACGAAGAACCTGGGGGACCAGACTAAACCTACCTGATGGTGATGGAGTCTGCCACGCGATTCTCTGCGTTGGGTATCACCAAATTCATCTGCATCTGGGGTGCATCGGTGGCGGGAAAGCAGGACTCAAATCGGCCCTTGCGCACCCTTTACAGCGCGTAGATGGTGCTACACAGTATAATTTCACGAAGCCGTGAGCTGAGTTGAGCTGGGAGGAGACCCAATCATCAAGAAAGCTGCATTCTGCCCTTGCTCAATACTTTCTGTTGCATAACATCACACCAACTCGAGTTAACAAAGCAGCAGACAGGACCTCGATCTTACCTTCTCCCGCTTGTCCGTTCTCAAGAACCGAGGGTATAGACTGTTTGGGTGTTGTGTTGAGCTGCTACCTTCCAGGCTGGTTACTGGTTACAGTGAGCACTGGACGTCATTCCCTTGTGCTTACTCTGCCGATGTGATATACATGAGGGCACATGAAACACTCGCTCGGTACGAAGACGAGCAAGTTCAGAACTGTTATCGGTTGGTATCCGACACTTGTGCTACTGCCGAGTGGTGGCAAAGTGAATGCAACAATGAAAATCAGGCATGACCATGGTGTCCAGTTGGCCTGTTTGACACACATACAACTTGGCCCCCGGAACCCGACACAATACAATGCCTGCATTCAACTTCTTTCAACACCTCCATCTCGGCGTTACGGAACTTTCACGATCTTTGTCTTGCATTTGCCTCTGTGTTTTATCTGTCGAGGGGCGTCTCTTGCAATGGAATTTCTTCCCGAGATCGTCCACGACTCAACTGCTTTGTGACTAACACGTGGGGGCTTCACCACGATAATCATCACCCAGTGAAATGACCATGTGAGAATATTCTCTCACAAGTACAGTAACCACGCTGTTGTCTGATTGTCTTAGTGGAATGGTTTAGAGAAATGGTAAGCCGATCAGTGATGTAAGGGCCATAGATGCCGTTAGCCGAGCTGAGAGCATCACGACGAGGGCATTTAATCAGTATGCTTTGGAGCTTGTTACCATTTCGAAAGCCTTGAGGGCTGCTTTGAAGTTAAGGCAAGCTGCTGTCGGACAAAGCAATGCTCCCAAAGTATTATCCGGCCGTCTGTCATTCTGTTTGGCGAGCTGAGGGGTGTCAACCCGGGACACGCTTGTAGGAATGGTCGCTGTTCGGCATGTTCAAGCACCATTCGTTCATGTGCTGGATCGACGGCTCAAGACAGGTAAAGCTCATCAGACGACACTTGCAATTCATTGGCATACACAGCTATTTCGATTTACAGTGTAGGCTGCGTGTAATTACTACTCAATTCCTAAGGTATATCTGATGTAGCACCTATAACAAAGAGCCCATCCACCATCCAGCAACGCCGATCCAACAATAATTATAAAACAAGGCAAGTTTGAAGGAAGCTTGCTCCATCAGAGACTTCTAGTCATCCCCAACCAACCTGCATAGTCCAGAACGCCTGATTCTCTCTCTTTATTTGTTACTTGACTTCCTGTGCAGTGGGCTGTACAGGGTCGTTGATTTCCATATCTAACGGTTCGTTGTCCATCCATCCAGAAAAGTCATCATCGTCGTCTGCTGCTGCTGAAGCGGCAGGTGTTGCCTCTATAGGACTGGCTGATTTTTCATCTTCTTGCACAAGTGAGGACTCGTTGGTGATCATCGAGGGAGGATGAGATGTTCCGCTATCTGTCACTGTCTGCTCATCACTTGAAGCCCACACTTGATGGTTTGAAGGGTCATCACCCGATGGTGTAGCGGGCTGAGAGTCCTCTGGGGCGGCAACGACGAATACATTCTGTCCATTGTCCGGCTCAGGTGCGTGGCTCTGTCTACGTCGTCCGCGAGAAGGTAAAGAAGGACGGTATTCGCCATGCTTCTCATGCTCATGCTCGTGCTCAGGATGGTATTCGTGACGAGTCTCAAGAGATTCTACCGAATTATGGCCAGGGACTGGCTTCCTCGTAGGAACACTCGTCGGGGGTGCTATCCGCGTCATGCCATTTGTAGGCTTAGGGAGAGGTGTCCCTGGAGGAGGTAGTGGTTGACCTCTTCCCATGGGCTGACTGAGATCAAGATGGCTGGCTTGCTCTGCCTGTCTGCGAGCTTCCTTGTGTCGTTGATAAGCATTCCAGCCCCATTGCTTGGCTTGCAATGCTGCATTTGAAACAGCCGCCAGCGTAGTCTGTCTCTGGAGTGGATTATTCTGATGATCCCGAGAAGCTTCACTGTCGTCCGTCTCCTCTTCCACTTGAACAGGTACCTCCGGATGCTCACGGCGTGTAAAGAAACTCCTTCCCAGTGACCCTGTCTGACTCTTGATGGACTCTTTCAAAGAGGCAGCGGAGGAACCTGGTCTTTCATCTGTGTGAGATGAACCAGTCGACGAGGTCGTGTTACGGCGGCCCATGGCAACTGGAGTCTTCTGAGTGTCTTCCGGTACATCATTGTTGAGGGCTTCGTTTGCTGATGAGGAAGAGCGTGAAGATCGGGTTGACCGTTGGGAAGCAGACGATGACTCCAAGGGCGCATCTGAAGTCTGAGGGGGTTTGGGAGAAGCGTCGTGTGAGCGGGAGTGCAGAGCCGCCATGTAATTGGTCGCATGATCAGGGGGTGATGTCGATGGCTTGAATATATCAGCGTGAGCGGCATCAGTACCCACGATAGGTTGTAGGGACGTCTTGGAGATCTTGGGCTTCAATACTGGGCTCGCACCTGGTCCCTTAGAGTCGACACTGGTTGATGAAGCAGAAGCTTGAGGGTTGGTGCCTGTCCTGCTAAGTCTACGCCCAAAGAGACCCGTTGGCGGCGGTGTTGCTTCCATGATGGGGACTGTCTGGCTCTTTTCCAGAGGTTTCGTCTCCTCTGTTAAATCTGGGTTTCCATCAAGATGGCTGACAGCTGTGACATCTCCTGCCGCAGCAACTATACTTTCAGCATCATCAGTGGGAACCGTGGCGTCATCTCCTTCAAAGATACCGCCTCGCCACTGCTTGTGCTCCGTCTTGAAGAAGGGCATATCGTCCCAGAATGGCAATACGACTGTTTCTGCAATGACTTCCTTTATACGGTTCTCAATCTGTCGAAGAATGACTGTATAAGTGATTTGTCTCGCACTAACGATGGGTTCGATATCCATTTCCATCTTGGGCATGCTCTGGAAAGTTACCCAAACTCGGTTGCTCGGTGGCGGTTTGATCTTGAACAGCATATGACCCTCAGCTCTCTTGAGAACAGCTGCAAGAACAAGGTTAACTTCTCGTGCTTTAAATCTAGCGCCGAGGTCGATCTTTGCCGTGGCAGCAATTTCGATACGAGCGTTTCCTGAGTATTTGACGTCGGCTTCAACGACACATTCTCCCTCAACTGTAAGATCCTTGAGTTTGAAGTTCGTAAAGTAAGGTGCTGCCGAGCCGGTGTCAATTCCATTAATGGTAATGTGAGTAAGAAATGAAGGTCGTTTAACGCGAGAGATCTTTTTGGTAAGCTTCTCACGGATGAAAGCCTCAATATCCTTCGTCTTGTTGACTCCTAGGAAGACTCTCCCAAGCAATGCATTCAGCCATCTCGAATGGATGTTCTCTTCCGTAGAGTGAAGCTTCTGGACCAGTGAGATGATATTCTTAACATCGAAATGCAACGGCTTCGGCACTTGGCCATCCACCCCAAAACTCTGCTCTTGGTTTTTGAGCAGGGCAAAGTAGAAGTCTTCTTTTGCTGAACAGTTTTCAGAAAATAGGAAGAAAGGTTTAGAAACAGGGCTGTCAGAGGTCAATTCGGTACCAGCCCGTTTTCGGGACAGTCGGATCGCATTTCGCTTGATGAAGAGTTCGCCTTCAGGAGTGACATCACCGCCTGAGTATATACTGATTTCATGGTATGCCAGGGAAACAACATGTCTAACTTCAACTTGCTCTTCGTCGTCAAACAACATAAGATGGCCATGTCTGGACAAAGGTCAGCGAAGGGATGTGGGGTATGGATAAGCAGCACAAACCTCAAAACCACATAGAAAACGTTGCCAGCATTCTTGGGCCGTTGACTCGTACTGTTACTATTGTTGTCTAGAGGTCCTGGTGTGGGCTTCCTCTCGAATATGCTCCGGTACATGGTCTGATAGACGCTGGGGCTCGAAGGAGCCACGGTCGTGGATCCCACGGGTGTTGACCGTTCGATAGGCTTCGCATTGATCCCCATAGGCGTGTACTCTCTGCACACAGCGAAGAAGCCGGCGGCGACATCGAGGTCGTTTTCGTGCGCGCGGTTGTCCTTCTTGTGCGACCGCTTAGCGGCCTCGAGGGCGGTGGTATCATCGTCCTTGTCGACGACAGGGCTGTGTTTCGGTTCGTTCGCGGTGTCGTCGACGATGGGAGAGGTATAGAATATGAACGCCAGCACAGACACTATCACCAGCGGTATAAACGTCAACCCGCCGAGGACGTATGCTATAAGAAGAGACTTGAAGCTGGCCATGGCTCCGAATTCCGGAGCCACAGAGGCTCTCTCAAGGGAGCTTTGTGCGCAGGAGGGGCACTATACTACACCCTAGGCTATAGCTAGAGGATACAGCGAGAAGGACGCATCGGATGGAGTGGAAAAGATTAAAGTCGATCAGGTACTGAAGGGAGAAAAAAGTAGTTGACGATGCGAGATCTTGGTTGGGGGAGACTGAATGATTATACGCGGAGTTAGTTGATAGGCTGGCACTTTCAAGTGAGTGTAAGTGACACCGCTAGAGGCTAGAGGTACCACAGGGAAGGTGAGGCAAGGCTAAGGTACCTCGAGCTTACGGGCTACATACGTCATGTGATGAATCCACTGGCTGGTAGGCCCCCGCCGTTCACGACTAGGACAAGGTACCTTGTAGAGCCTAAATATTCACGGAGACAGCGGCAAGAGAATGAAGGAGCTTCAGCGGGTCTCATGGGGATATACAGTGATCCGTCACTAATATTCTCATGATTACATCCAGTAAATAAATATCTCTCAAGTCCCGTACATCGTGAGAGGTGCAGTTCTCTGACGTACAACAAGATACTTGATTTGGCAAAACTAATGATCGCCGTAGAAGCACTAATTCTTCGATGGGAATGGGCTGAAATACGTACCACACTAACAACCATGAAAGTCGAGGCCAGTTCTGCTGGGACCTGAAACTCAAATCCTGTGGAGGCATCACAAGGTCTCTCTGGTTTCTGGGTGGAGGCTACATATGACCACTATCAACTGAAATCTGTCCTCGGCCACGGTTAACAAGTGCAAACAGCCCATAAACTCAACACTTTTATGGCTTAAATGACAACGTTGGGCTGTCTAGAGCCATTAAACGAATCACTTGCTTTCAAGGTCGTTACAACTCGAAATGAACAGTAATACAATAGACAGACAGACCTCACAACGCATCAATCAGTCTAATACGAAAATCTCATTCAGTCATCAGTACCCCTCGCCTAGAAACTCTCCAAGCACATCGCGTCTATACGCAAGCTCCTTCTTCTCTTTTGACCACAGCCTCGAGAACATTACATGAATCAATACTTCTCAGGTGAGCTGTGCTATACTAGACAACACCTGGACAGTAGACAAGGCCAAAACTCCTGTAGGTCCGTTCCCAGCTTCCCATGCGCTGATCCGATTGAGAGAGGTCTGCTCAAACAATGTGTTGGCTAAAATGCAGTGTGGTGTGGTGTGTTGATGTTTTTTGGTGTTTTCCGTCTCCGTCGATACTAGACTCGACCGGCAGATCTAATTGTGGTTGGTTGGTTGCAATGGCGTTTGCATACAGTAT